GGAGGCTGATGGAGACAGCAGTGCAGGTGAGCGGCGCGAGGTGGGATCTGTGTCTTCCTCGCTGCGGCCCCTGCTCCTTCTCTTTGGCGGGGGTTTTAAGCACCAGCCGCGCCTCGCTGCACCTGCGCAGTGACTACAGGTGGGCACTTCCTGGCAGTGGGGCGGGGTCTCCACCTGGCTTCTGCCCGGCTGCTCTAGCTCTGAAACTCAGCAGCCAGCTCTGCCCACCTCCTAGTGGTCCTCTCAGAAGCCTGCCGGGCTCCCACACACTTAGTGTGACCTCTGGCCCTTATGCTAACTCAATTCCCAGCCACTGTAGGGGATTACAAACCTGTCGTGTCAGTGAAGTTTGTCAGGCTTTTACGCCATGGGCCTCTGTGGCTATCACCTGCGGCCTTCTTAAAGTAGAGGGCGTGTGAATGTGGGGCACGTGTGCCTGACTGTGGACACCTGAGCATGGGTGTGTGCGCATGTGCAGGTGTGCACCATCCAACCTGGAAGTCAGGGATATAAGGGCGGCGTTAGAGAGGGCTAGGGCAGAATGGCCAGGAGAGGAAGAGGCCACAAGAGAACGCCAGAGAAAGGCCAGAGAAAAGAGCATGTAGAGATTCACAGGGGGTGTCTCCCCCACACCCTTTGCCATGAAAACCTGTAAAAATAATGCGAAGGGCTCACTCAAAAATTCTCCTTCAAGTCACTAGAACTGACGGTGAATCTACCTGGGCTGGGATGACTGGGGATAACACATGCCATCCCCCAATTTTTTTTTTTGCAAAATTTGATTTCGTGGGAGGGAAGGTTCTGAAGGTCAGGTAGAGATCGCTTCTGAAAAAGATGTTTACATATGAACTTCTCTGAGAGTGTCTCCCAGAGAGGCCCCATCTCTTTCCCAGGAAAAGGCAGAATTTGAATATGTATTCCTTTTGTTTGTGGTGCTTTTCTTGGTAAACTTTCTTTTCCCTCACCCACCCTTGTTTTAGCTAAGCTGTTTTAAGATGGCATCTGAAGCCACATGGGCAAGTTAGTCCTGTTGGGTTTCTCCCACATAGGGGGACAGATGTTATTATTAAACTTCTTAACTTTTTTCTTATAAATCATCTGATGCCTGTTTGATTACTTGCTAGTCTAAAAAAATCCAAAGAGTTATGGGATTATTTCTTTGTGTCTCCAACACTTCTGTTATCTTATGTTGATGATATTATTTCAAAAACTAGTGGAGCGCAGCCTTGAGATTTCCAGGAGCAGATAAAACCTCTTGAGTCAGAAAAAGTCATTTAGCTTCATTCACATGTCTACCATAATCTAGGTCATTTCTTGATAATGCCTTTGGACATTATAAGGAACATTTAAACTGTTTCCCAAAATTGATATGAGGCAACCATCACCCAATTCTTTTCTAAGAAAGTTCCAATATTAACAATGGCTCACTACGAAGAACAGTTTCACTACCTTCTCATATAGAAACTGCTCTGTAACAATTTACCCCTGAGCCCCATTCCATGTTTTGGCTTGAGTGCTCAGGTTTGCAAGTTGTCATTCCAGTATGTGCACAATAAACTTGTACTAAGTACTACTTCAGTGGGTCATTAGTGTTATTTCTGCACTGTTGGCAATCAGAGGAAAGTGGGGAGAAGAGAACGTGCAGGGCACACACCATGCCCCAAGCTCTGCTGCTGTTATCATATGCACATTGCTTTTCCTGTCATCTCTCCAGAGTCAACAAGATATGCATTTTAGTTAAAAGTTCCCACTCCCCCTAGTGTTATGGGCTAAGTTGTACCCTCCCCTCTAATTATTGTGACTCTAGATGTGACTAGGTTTGGAGATAGGGCTTTTTTTTTTAAGATTTATTTATGCATACAATAACTGGGGTACAGGCCAGAGGTCCGGGGGTGGGGGTGAGAGGTTTCAGCAGAGACAGAGTGGGGAATAGAGCAGGCAGACTGACTGAAATGCACTGTTGAGGGGAGCAGTGGGTGAGACAGGAGAGATCTGCTGCGCCATGTGGGTAGCTCCCTGGCTGGCTGGAGATCCTACCAGGGAGGCCCTGGAGAGGGGCCTTTAAGGCAGCAGTTAAGGCTAAAGGAGGTCTTAAGCATAGGGCCCTAATTTGATCTCAATGATATACTATAAAAAGAGACACCTGGGCCCCTCTCTCTGTTCCTCCCTCCCTTCACTCCCTTTGCCCTCCCTCTCCTTCCCCTTCCCACTCTCTCCTACCTCCACCTCCCACTTCTCTCATGAAAATAGAAAAAACGCCCTGTGAAGGTATAGGGAGAGAGCAGCCATCAAACTACCAAGGAGAAAGGCTTTACTAGAAACCAACATTGCTGGCATCTTGACCTTGGAGTTCCAGCCGCCAGAAAAATGGGAAAATAAAGGTCTATTGGGTAGGCCACCCATATGGTGGTATTTTGTTATGACAATCCAAGTGGCCTAAGAGACCTGGAGATCCCGATTTAATGCTCTGGGCAAGTTGGGATTGGTATCACTGCTATCTCTAGGTTTCCTGGACTTCACTGCCCACTGGAGTCACAGTCCATACATCCCCCCAGCCCCGTCATCCACAACCTGGCTTCAAGCTTCCCTTCCATATTCCCTTCGTTCTTATTCCCATATTTTTCTTAGTACTTACCATGTCATTCTATTGCCCAAAAACCCATCTGCAACTCAGAGATATTCTTTAGGAGGTTGTTTTCATGCCATTTCTTCATTGATGACCTGCAGTTCAGATGGATTGCAAATTCATCCTCTCTCTCTCTTCACTCAGGCCCCTTAAAGAAGATATTTCCAAAAAAAAAAAAAAAAGAAGATATTTCCCCCACTCTGTCCCCCATACTGGCGGACAGGACAGAAACCCTTTAAGGAAGAACAAAGAACAAAGAGATTCTTATTAAGGAGGCTGAGCTGGCTGTGAGGAAGGACTAAATCCTGTAAGATTCTGGAAATAATCTTCCTGTCCTGGGAGTCCATCCCCTGTCTCAGGGTGTCATCTTAAAAATAAAGTAATGGGCCCAGAATTGGAGAAAGGGTTTTTCAAAACAAAGGAGCCAGCACAGAGGAGCCTAGGGAGAGGGCCTGGGTTTTTAAGCCAGACTCCTGTGGGTTTGCTTTCTGGCTGAGTCTCACTGAGAGCTCTTAAGCAAGTCATGCCATCCATGTCTCTGAACTGCATTTTTCTCTTCTGGTAAATGGGAATAATAACCCTTGATTTGCAGGGTTGCAGTGAAGATTTCACATCTACTCCACTCATCTGCATCTTTGTGAGTCAGTCTTACTGGCAGATCTGAACTATAGCTCTCCCCCTGCATTGTAGCTTGGGGTGTGTGTGTGTGTGTGTGTGTGTGTGTGTGTGTGTGGATTACAGGCAGGTTTGGAGGGGTAGCTGCTTTTTAAAAAAACTGATTTATATTCTTTTTGTTCATTTAAGAAGTATATCCTCAAAAAATGCTGACAAACCCCAATCCCTACCCAAGCACATCTTACGAGAGTAAACCCACCCTCCCAAGGATGCATCAGGGAACAATCATTCTCAGACTGTTGATGATACTGGCAACTGGCAGCAGGGATGTTTTTAATGTACAAGTGAAGGGATAAATGAAGACCTTGTCAGGGCCTGGTTTACTGTATTTCCATTCTCGGGCTTCTCACTCCTCTACTTCTTTCAGGATGGATGGTTCGGCGAGCCAAGATTGAGTGCATTGAATTTATCACCCACATTCTGCAGAAAATACCCTTCAGAGATGGTACTTTCTAGGGGGTCTTTTCTATTTTTTTAAAGGATTTATTTATTTATGCATACAAGAACTGGGTTACAGGCCAGAAGTGTGGGGGTTAAGAGGACTCACCAGAGACAGAGTGGGGAACAGAACAGGCAGATTGCTGAGGGGAGCAAAGGGTGAGTCAGGAGAGGTCTGCTGCACGATGTGGGTCAGCAACCTGGCAGGGGGATTAACTCATGCTGCAGTGGCGGCGGATAGCTTCATAGGTTGCATCTTAACACCTTGTGCCACCAGGGAGGCCCTGGGGGGTTATTTCTTCAGGTTGTTTCTCAGACACAGTGATGCCCCTTTGGGTATGTTATGCTTTGTGGTGGGAACACTGTGTGAGATGTACCCACATGTTACCTCCTGCCTTGTTTTCTATTTTGAAATCTAAGGAAGGGTCGTGCAGGGATGTGGAAGAAAGAAGACAAGGAAGCTATGTAGTCCTGCTTGATATGTGTGTTGAGACTTGTAATCTGTCCAGTGTGGGTGGTGTGGGAGGTAAGATGTCACTGTAGAGTAAACAGTAGAGGATTTAGAGCCCCAAATTGGCCACTTCCTTACTGGCTAGTTATACTTGGGCAACCAGTTTACTTTCAGAAGCCCTGCTGTTTCGCATATAAAAGAGAAATGGTGGGGAAAAAAATAAAAAGAGCCATCCTGGGGATGGTGTGTGGATTACATGTACTAGGGAATGCAAAAAGGCTTAGCTGAGGAGTAAACTGCTAAATATTTATCATGGTGTAGATTCTGACTTGGGGTCAGACAGCTGGGCTGTTTTAGACTCTATGACAGCCCATTAGTATCCTGCACCACTCCCGGGAGTCTGACTTGGTCATGTGATTTGGACAATGTGAATGGAAGTCCCCCCACATTTCCACCAGGCACTTTACAAGCTTATTAGCAATCTCTCAGCGCTCCTTCCCCTGGTCTGCGATAAGGAAGCATGGAAGAAGGGCCTTGGGGAGCCAGGGCCCTGCGGAGTGAGTAATGAGATTAAACACAGCTCTCAAACTGTTCTCCATGGACCCACACCACCAGCTGTTTTAGGTCCCTGGGATTTGGGGGTTGATGTCACAGTACCAAATCCTAGTCCGACCTCACCAGTACACCCGAAATCTGTTTCTGCACGGCATTTAATAGAAAAAGAAAGAAAAACACCACACAAAGAAAACACATACATATTCACACCGAGCACAGCTGTGGGTAGAGCTCAGCGACAGATGGAGCCGAGCGCTATTTGCTGCTGCTCTTGGGAAGGGGCCGGTACACTCCGATGACCACCGCGTGGTCCCTCTCATAGGGCTCCAGGGTCAGCTGCTCTTGCGGCTTTAAGTTCTCCTGCTGCAGCTTCCTCACCTCAGAAGCAAACACCGCCTCGGCAGAGGCGGTGGAGTCGATGCAGTTGGCCTTGATGGAAATGAGAAAGTGGCCGCCGTTGCGCAGAAAGGTATGGGCGTTCAGAGCCACGATGCGGGACTGGTCCGGCTGGGCCACATCGGCAAAGATCACATCCACCATCCCGATGAGCATGCGGTACTTGAGCGGGTGCCGGGCGTCTTCCAGGACCGGGATGATGTTGGTTCGCTTCTTGGCCACGTTGACCAGATCGCGGCCCGCGCGGTGCGAGAACTCGACCGCGTACACCAGCCCGTCGGGGCCGATGATGTCGGAGACGTGGGACACGGTGGTGCCCGAGGCGGCGCCCAGGTACAGCACCTTGGACTTGGGCTTGATGTGGATCTGGTCGACCCCGCCCAGGATGGCGGCGGCCAGCTTGGAGCGGAAGGGGTTCCAGGTGCGGTACTCCAGCTTGCTGCCGCCCTCGCTCACCGTGACGCGCCGCTCGCCGTACACCGACTGGCCGGGCACCATGTTGAGCGTGACGAGCGCGTCCTCCGCGCCGCGGTAGATGAAGACGCCCTCGTGGCGGTGCGGCTCCACCGACACCATGTTGGCAAGCTTCCTGCGGCGGTTCTTGCCCTTGGCCACGCCGCCGCGCCTCTGCCCGCCGCCGCGGTCCCGCCCGTCCCCGCCGCCGCGCCCCCGGCCCCGGCCGCCGCCGAAGCCGCGCGTCCGCGCCCCGAAGCCCCCCTTGGCCCCCGGCCCGCCGCCGTCGCCCCCTCCCTTGCCCCCCCCGCTGCTGCCGCCGCCGCGCCCCCCGCCCCAGCCGCCGCCCCCCCAGCCGCCCCCGCCTCGGCCTCCAGATCCGCCGCCTCTTGAGCTCGACTTCATGGCGCGCCCGGGGCGCACGGGGCTGAGGGTGGTCGTGGGGGGCTACCGGCCGGCGGGGCAGCGGTCAGGGGCCTGGCGCGGGGCGCGGGTGGCGGCGGCGGGCTGCGGAGCTGCGGAGCCGAGCGGGCGCCGACTGCACCCCGCTTTCTCCCCGTCTCCGCGTCCCCGGAGCCGCCCCTTGACGCAGGAGAGGCGTGATTACATCACACCCGCTAGGCCACCCCGCACCCCGGAAGCCCCCCTTTCCGGCCCGGGCGCACAGCAGCCTGCTCCCCAATAATGCGCGCCCTCTGCCCTCCCTTCTGCTTTTTCACGGACCTGGCACTTCTGGGCCTCCGGGAAGGGGCATCGCCTTGTCAGGAAACGGGGAGACCAAAAGCATGGGCTTCGGGCGTGGGGGGCTGCTACTCGCTTGCTGTGTGGTCTGAGGAAGCTACCCGAGCCTCTCTGAGGATCTTGCCTCACTCGGACAAGTTTTTTGACGTATCTGGGTCTCATCATCCCATTTGTAGAATAGAATCTACCACACAGGTTTGGTTAAAAGCGCCATGTAAGTTTACCATGGTGCATGTTAAAGTGTCTATTAGCATTAGCTTTTTTGTTTTTTAGGTATCTCTTTTTGTCTATTAAGGTGTAGTTTACATACACAACGATACACCAAATGTTTTGTTTTAAACGAATGTATCGTTGTTAGAATTTTAGCCACTAAAGAATGATTTTGATCCTCTTACACAGTGTTGGTGGGAGTGCAAATTGGTACAGTTTAACAAAACGCTTAATGTACCTATACTTCAATTTAATTATTCCATGTTGAAAACTTTATCCAGAAGGGATGATGCCCGTAATAAGTGATGGTAATTAGAGCTAGAGGAGGGAGGGTGATATGGCAGTAGTGGAGATGATCGTTGTTGTCATGAAAGCAATGGTGGAGGTGAGATAAAGTAGACTAATGCAAGAGGTATTTAGAAGATAAAATTCACAGAACTTTATGATAGATTGAATGGGAAGTCAGAAAGAGGAAAATTCCAAGTCAGGGACTGCCAATGTGTAGTGCTTCCCCTGCTGTGGTTAATGGCCTGTGATCTACAGCCCCGGTTCCTCTCTACTTAGCTCTGCTCGCTTTTATTAGCTGTGTTAAATCTCAGAACCTGTTCTGGGAATATGAGGCAGCAAGGAAATGCTGATTCTTCAGTGCTAATGGCAACACAGAGACAAGAGCCCTAAATCCTATAATACACTACAGCAAAGCCAAACTCTTATGTTTATCTTTGAACTATGCTTCAAAAAACCTGCTCTTTAAGTCTGCAGCATTTAAAATTAAAAAAAAAAAAAAAAATCGGGCAGCACCACGGACAGCGAAACAGGTCTCAACGCAAAGCCTGCGCCTGTTGTCAGCACCACGGACAGCAGCATCTCTTGGCGCTACTCCGGCTACCAGAGGGAGACTTGGGGCTCACCAAGACCCGCGGACCGTGGTGTAAGCAATTGACAGACCTCCCTCTTTGCCCCTCCCCGTTAGCGGAACTTAGATTAGGGCAAATGTCAACTAGGGAACACTGAATGAATGTGCACAGAGCAAAACTTTTATTCCATCCTGGACTGGGACTTCCTCTCTTCAGTTCATGGACTGAAATCAGGTCTGACTTTCCCTGAGGGTCTGTGTAACTCATTAGCAATGTGTTGGAATGTGGACAAGGGGTTAGAGAATGCTATGTACAGTTCCTGAGGTGGATGGTTCACATAAAACTCTCCTTAGAGGTTTCTGCTATCATTATAAATTGAGGTCCCAGGAGACACTGGGTAGGGCATTAACAGTGCCTGTTTCACTTGGAATACATCTCATATACAACCAAAATTTTTAACTTAGAAAATGTGCATGAGCTCATAAAACTAGTGTATCAAGAAAGTCATACTATACATTCACCTGCAATACAGGTGTTCAATTTAGCAGAACAGAACTGTCATTAGTAAACGTTCGTATTTTTCACTCTGGTAGGTAGTATCATGGAAGCCTGAGTCATATTTGAATAGCTTCTTCCCTCTTTGTTTAATAAGGGTACCAAAGCCCAATCTCTCACAAAGAACCCTCTCCACTATGCCTCCAGGGTACTGAAAGAGATCTGCATGCAACACCAAAGGATCTGCCCAACTTTTACTTAAAATAGTTCAGATAATTCTGTTCTCTACTCCAGGTAAAAGCCTTAGAGGTCATACCCAATGACACACTTTGACCTGTCTTAGCACTTTGTTGTGCTAATGTTGCCATTAAATCTTCACGATACAAATATCTCCCAAGCCCCTGCTCATAGCCTCTGCTTTAAATGGACTGAGAGGATCTTTCTATTGTACTATATGAGCTGCTCATTTTCGAATGGATGCTCTCAAGGGTGCCATGCATTCTCATGTGATAGATCACATGGAATCCACTGGGAGGGATGACTAGTGATTACAAACTCTAAATCTAATGAGCAACATCTCTGTGAGTGTTGAGTTGTACTCTGGGAGTAACTACTGTGGACTAGCAACAGAAGTGACCCGCTCACCTCTGCCCATTTCCTCAGGTTCTGGTGGCTTACACTATTCACTAGTTTTCACACCAGGGCTTGGGGAAGCCTTAACTACACTCTAGCAATGATGATTCCTCCAAATATCTTTTCTCCTCTGCCCCCAGCTGCTCATCAGTTTCACCACATCACTGCTGTCATTTTCAACAATGGACTAGGGGTTCCAGAGCCACCCTCCCTCAAGGTTGGCAAGCCTAAGGTGGTTTTCTCAGGACTCTTACCATTGCCTCATTGCCAGTGGCACTCTCAGGACTGATGCAACTATGATTTCAAATCTTGCTTCTGACTAGAGTTATCCTTTCCCCATCAGTGTTTTGATAATTTGCAGAAACTTTTTCTGTCTCTTGGTTTGGATTCCAACCTGGCATAGCCATTTCTTACAGCCTGTTTGTAGGGATGCTACAGCCTGGGAGTGCCCATCAGTCAGCAAGACTATCAGTCTACTTGAGCATGTTCCACCCATTCTATGCATGACCTCAGAATGCCAACAGGGCAGGAACTCATGCCAAGTATTGCTGTCATGAGGTGAGGGAAGTGTGGAAAAAAACCTTCCATTAAAATTATACTGGGGGGGCCTCCCCGGTGGCGCAGCAGTTGAGCGCTGGGTTGCGAAGCTGCCCGTCAGCCTCGGCAGCGCTGGTTCGATCCCTGGCTGCTCCCTGGCCACCGGAGGAGGATCCCAGATGGCGCGCAGACCTCTTCTGCCACCCGCTGCTCCCTGCTCTGGCTCTGGTGAATTCTCTCACCCTCCCGCGCTTCTGACTGTACCCAGTGCTTGTATAAATAAATAAATCAATCTTTAAAAAAAATTATACTCAGGGGCCTCCCCGGTGGTGCAGTGGTGGTGCACCCGGGGGTGCAGCTTCACCACACTGTGAAGCTGTCCGCAGCCTCTGCTGTGTGGGTTTGATCCCGGCTGGCTGGCGAGAATCCCACATGGCACAGCAGACCTCTCCTGTCATGCCCACTGCTCCCCTCAGCAGTGTATTTCTGTTGTCTGCCTGTTCTGCTCCCTGCTCTGCCTCTGGTGAATCCTCTCACCCTCCCGTGCCTCTGGCCTGTACCCCAGCTCTTGTATAAAAATAAATAAATCTTTAAAAAAAATTATACTCAGAAGCCACTGATCACATTGAAATCAGTCTTATTCCCACACGTTCTTTGGCAGCAAGTCCAATGTACTCAAGATGTTTTCTAAAGGGATAAGCTGGCATTGTGAGCCATACATTTTTCTCTGATAACTAAATATACCTTTTTTTTTAAATATAAATATACCTTTGTTTAAAATTGACTTCTTATTCTGCAAGGTAAGATCTATAGTGATGTCTGACCTCATTAGTTAACAGAGTATATTTGTCCTATCCACAGATCAAAGGTATACGTATGAGGAACTTGGCTTTGTTTTTCTCATACACCACTCCAACTAATTGCGTAAGGAGTAATTAGCCATGATTTAGATAAAACCAGCTAGAAGGTTGTGAAACCCCACCCCTGTTCTCATTAGTACTTAAACATTTACCCACAAAGAGGCTTTCCCAGACTATTTTCTATAGGCCTTGGTTCACTTTCAGTGGTGACTCCAGGGAGAGATTTGCATCTCTACCCGCAGTGATATGAATGGCTGTAGCTGGTCAAGATAAGCTGGACTACAATGCAGTAACATCTCCATTAGCTAACAAATCTTAAAGGAATGATAAACTATGTTTAATTTTTTGCTTACATTTCATGTCCATTGAAGGTCCATGGGAGGGAAGTTTGGTCTACAAAGTCACTGAAAAAATCAGGCACCAGCATCCTGTGATTTTAACATGAGAAACAAGAGAGCATCCATTGTTACCACTGAGGGGGAAGGGCACATGGAGAGCTCACATGCTTTCTATGTTTTGGTACAAACTTTGATGAAGTCATTTCTAGATACAACTCATTGATCACAACTAGTTATATTCTTGTGTAACTGAAAGGCAGCTGGGAAATGTGGGTGGGAAACAGCTGCAGTGAACAATAATGGTTGTATAATATCAAGCTGGCACCCCTGGATCAGTATATCCAACACAGACATCAAAGATGAAATTTACTGTTCAATAGCCATATATTTAAATACATCAAGGCAAAACAGAATGCCTTTTTACTAACAAATGACTAAAACCCAGAACCACAACCAATTCTCAATTACATATTTAATGCTATTTAATATAGTTTGTTAAAAAAGTACTCATCTATTCTAGTCTCTGGGCATTGGAGAATAGCTAAAGTCCCTTAATTGGAATCTGATTAACATTTGATCATTACCTCTACCTGGTTTGGTACTTAAACTCTGAGCTGACACAGACTCTCATTCCATTTCTCCCAGTAGAATTAGTGACTGGCTCTCAGTAAATACACAAAAAACTTAGATGGGCATACCACATTGCTTTCTCCACTCATGGACACCTCGCTGTTTCCATTATTTGGCTATTATAAATCATGCTGCAATCAACATAGGGTGGCAGAAAAATTTTTTGAATTTCTGATTTCATTTATTTCAGGCATATATCCAAAAGTAGAGTTGGCTAGATTATATAGGCCTACTTTTAATTTTTTTAAATTAATGGCTCTACCAATTTATAGTCCTATCAACAGTAAAAAAGAGTTTTCTTCATAGATTCATTTTGAAATGAAAATGGCCATTTTAACAGGTTTGAAGTGGTATCTCACAGGGGTCTTGATTTGTGTTTCTGAGGATTAGTTTTGGGAACATTTTCATGAACCTGTTGATTATCTTCGTTGAATGTCTAGTAAGATCCTTTGCTTATTTTTATCTATTGCCTATTTTTTAATCAGACTATTTGGTTTGTTTTGTTGGCTATCAAGTTGTATGAGTTCCTTATGTATTTTGGACATTAACTCCTTATCAGGTATGTGCTTTATAAATACTTTCTCCCATTTCATAGATTGCCCTTTTACTTGTTTTGTCACTGTGCATAAACATTTGTTTGATGTAATCCCCTTTAATTTTGCCCTTATTACTTGTGGTTTTGATGTCATATCTAAAAAATTATTGCCAAGACCAATGTAAAGGAGATTTTTCCCATTTTCTTCTAGGAGGTCTATGATTTCAGATCTTGCATTTAAGTTTTAATTCATTTTGAGTTAATTTTGTAAGTGGTATAAGACAGCAGTCCAGCTTCATTCCAGTAGGCATTCAGCAGTTTCATTTTTTTGAATGATTATTAGTTTTTCAAACACCTTTTATTTAAGAGACTATCTTTTTCTCTTGAGTAGTCTTGCTTCCTTTGTAAAAGATAAAAATTGTTAATGGTTAAAACATAGGTCTTCTTCAGTGTAACAACCCTACCTCATATTTCACCTTCATTGAACTCTTTTGCCCTGGTCATAATATGAAATTGTTTTGGACGAAAATATTCAAGCTCCCTAAACATGTTAAGAAACAGCGGCTTTAGGGCCTCCCTGGCGGCACAAGGGGTTAAGACGCAGCACTATGAAACTATCAGTAGCCACTCTAGCATGAGTTTGACCCCTGGCCAGGGAGCTGACACACATGGCACAGCAGACCTCTCCTGTTTCGACCACTGCTCCCCTCAGCAGTGTATTTCAGTACATCTGCCTGTTGGGCTCCTCCTTCTCTGGTGAATCCTCTTACCTCATCACACCTCTGGCCTGTACACAAGTTCTTGTATACATAAATAAATCTTAAAAAAAAAAAAAATCCAGGGCCTCCCCTATGGCGCAGCGGTTGAGCGCTGGGTTGCGAAGCTGCCCGCAGCCTCTGCAGAGCTGGTTTGATCCCCGGCTGCTCCCCGGCCACCAGAGGAGGGTCCCACATGGCGTGCAGACCTCTCCTGCTGCCCGCTGCTCCCCTCAGCGGTGTACTTCGGTCTTTCTGCCTGCTCTGCTCCCCGCTCTGGCTCTGGTGAATTCTCTCACCCTCCTGCGCTTCTGACTGTACCCAGTGGTTGTATAAATAAATAAATAAATAAATAAATCTTTAAAAAAAAAAAAAAAATCCAAGTGGGCTGAAAGAAAAAGGAAGGAATCTGAAAAGTAAACCAGAAGAGGAGAGGAAGAAAGGAAAGTGCAGAAGGAAACACGTGTACTTCAAGGCAAACAAGCATGGCTGGCAGTCTTGCTTCAGAATTGCTAAGTATGTCCTCAATGAGTAATGAGGTAATTGTAAGGATTATTGAACCTTACAATAGGTGCTCAGTAATGAGTAGTTCTTATCAAAGATATTAAGTCAGAACAAGTACAGAGGGGCTTATGATGTTGGCAGTGTGTTTACTGCTTGATATTCGTACATCCTTACTTAACTATGCTTGCAACCCCTTAAGAAGTGAGATATTTACCCATCAAGAATAGGAGAGTTTGCTCCTTCCCCATCTCTGCTCTTATTTCAATCTCTTGTGAAATTGGTGCCTCAGCCTTCCTATGATTTTGCAATTAACCAGGCAAACCCAGCAACAGGTAACTGAACTGCAGGCCAAAGGAGCTGCAAGGATTATTTTTCCAAAGAGGTGAGTAGATTCTTGGCAAGGATAAACAGTTCATTTGACCAGTAATCTTGTTGATCCAGCCCTCTACTTTAGAGTTCACAAATATACTCTCTGAATTGTCAGGCATTATGAAATGTTTCTCTGAGATTGATTCCAAAAGTATTTCTAAGGAAAGAAAAATTCTTATTTGTTCATGGCACTGAGCCAACTGTTTCACTTTCCATTATCCCAACAGTAATCCTGGGACGTAGGTATTATTTCCATTGGATAGATGAATAGAGAGGAAGTAACATTTACAAGCCAAGTCATAGAGTTACAATGAACATCTTTTGAGTGTCTACCCAGTCATCTCTTATTACTAATAGTAGTAGTGCTATTTTTTTTTTAACACTTTGCATTTATCCTCCCTAACTACACACAATGAAATTAACGTGTCCAGAATTACACAGCTAATAACTAATGGGACCACATGCAACCTTACAAATTCTGCCCTGAACTGCAGTGCTTATAACTCCATCCCTTTTTTTATTACATAATGAAATACCAGACTGGGGGGTTTGAACAACAGAAATTTTTTCAGTTCTGGAGGCTATAAAACTGGAGATCTACCTGCCAGCACAGTTTTTTGGTGAGACCTCCTTGGCTTACCAATACCACCTTCTTGTTAGTTCTTACAAGGCCTTTCTTCTTGGGGGCAGGGAAGGTGTGTGGGAGGGAACAGGAGGGAGAGATTTCTCCAGTATCTCTTCCTCTTACTATAAGGTCAGCAATCCTACAAAAAAAGGCAGCTTTTCTGCCTGCCTGTGCCTATGCAGGTGTTTCTTCTCACAAACGTGTCCATTTCAGGGGCAGCTTTTTCCACCCACTTGTATCTGTGCAAGTGTCCCTTCCTTTCCCTTTTATAAATAAACCTGCCCTATTGGACATTTTTAAAAAAAGTCACATTTAATCCTATCAGATTAGGGCCCCATTCTTGTGACCTCATTTAACTACCTCTTTAAAAGCCCTGTTTCCAAATTCAGTCACACTGAGGGTTAGGGAATCAACATATGAAAGTGGAAAGGGAGGGGCGCTCTGTAACACTGTTCTGAGTTGGCAGGCAATGTGAATGAAGGTCTGGAGAGATTAAGTATCTCTTCCAGAGTCAAACAGCAGGAAAATAAGTGGTTGGACTGGATAAAAACCCAATCCATACTCAGGATTTCCTTCTTCAGAGCAAGGACATATGTTTCTCTTGTATTTTAACACAGTTAAACAATTTTAGGCTGATTGATTTTCCTAGCACTAACCTTGCATTGTCAATCCTGTCAAACTAGATAGCCAGGGTTGGGTATGGTTCTAGAAACAGAATTTCCTACATTGCTGCCGGGACTGTGGGGTTGTATCCTCTCTCTAGAGTCATTTGGTAATGTGGGCTGAATCCTTTAATATTCCACTTCTTAATGTTTATTAGGAGATGATCATGGGTATGTGCAATGATTTAGCTCCATGAACCTTCACTGCAGTATCATCTGAAAAAGCATAAATTAAGAAATAAGCTCCAAGTTCCAACAATAAGGGGGCAGTGATCTGATGTGGAGGTCAGATTGACATACCTACCAGTCTATGTGTACATGGCAAGTAGGTTCCCTTGAAGAAGCGTGATATAATTCCTGTTTGTTTACTGCACTTGTTTTTCCAGGTATTGTGTTAGTTTCTTTATATGAGTTCTCATTTCAGCTTTGGTTTGTATTGGCAGATTACATTAACCACTGACCCAACCATCTTGAACCACCGCCACTCCCCCTTGCTCCCACCACACACACACACACACACACACACACACACACACACACACACACACTCTCTCTCTCTCTCTCTCTCTACCTTTTGTGATGCCAGAATAACTCCAGATTCACAGTGTGAAATAATATGCCAAGCCTAGGGGATGAAACTTGACTTATCTAAGCAAATCATGACAATCCCATTCTTTACTTAGATACTTGTTTTCCACCTTCCCTTGAAATTACAATTGGCATATGACTAGAAAGAATTAATCTGGAGCTTCAAGAAAATTCTAGTCTCTTAAATTTTCTTGTGTCACCCACCCCCCCAACCCTGCCCCGGTTGTCTTTCGCTGAAATGGAAAGAGCTTAACTTTGGGAATTAGACACACATGGATACGAGTCTTGATTTTGTTCCTAAGCAATTCAGGGCAGGTTTCTTATTTCCAAAGAGTCTCAGTTTTGTCAAACAAGGATAAGTATCTACAACAGAACAATGGAATAAAGAATAAATGGGACAGCAAAGTAATTTTTTCTTTTCAGAAGTCTAGTACTTAGTGATAAAGAGTCACATATTACTTAGCTAGTTGAGAAACTTCCTTTACTTGTTTTTATATCCACATGATTGTAAAAAAGCAAACAGTACTAATGGCCACTTTGGTAAAAACGGTGTTCAAATCTAAGATTACATTCTTTGGACAGGTTTTATTCCCAGGATATCGAACCCCTTGGCCATGACAGCAGCTACTGCTTCACATAGCAGCATTCGCCACATGTTCACCTTCAACACTTTTCCTGAGAAGACAGAATAAAGAAAACATTAATTTTTCTTTTTGAAAACCATTATTAATGAATCTGTTATTTCTGGATTTTACTGAGAAGTGAGTAGTTTCACTTACAGATGTTTTTAGGCTTTAACTAGAATCACCTTACCTTAAACAATAAAGAAAAATAAATGAAGACATTTCTGTTCAAGAAGTTTTCTCCTAACTGATAATCAGGACAAGAGATGAAAGGTTTGCTATGATTAGAATTTTAAATTTTATATTACTTTTGAAAACTCAGGGTTCTTCTTTCTGAAGCTTGGAAATAGCTATAAACTTTAATACCATACAGTTAATAACAGTAATAATTCAAAACAGTGGTGAATTTTTTGTGAATAAAGTTTCAGTTCTCAGAGATTCCAGCTTGCCCTGAAACTGACAGATTCAGTCTATGTCATTAACTATGTAAATGATAGAGCCCAGGGTAAAAAAAAGATAACACATTTTTTCCAAGGTCAGTTTACATTATCAAGATCCCTTAAAGAGACTCATTCTGGGACCCGCAGTCCCATTTTGTTTCATTTGCAGTGGTCCTTCAACTGTATTCTTTGCAGTCCTAAAAGTTGCATGCATGTGCCTGAGGGTGGGAAATAGATTAAATAGGAAGAATTGTGTATGTGTGTGTGTGTGGGGGGGGGAGAGGGGGTAAATTTCCATAAACAAAACAAGTTTGAACACAGGAGGACATACTCACCAGTTTGTCGATCTTTCTCCACACAATAGCAGCTATCATAGAATTCTGTAAAAGTAGTTGCCAGCTCATAGATATAATCACAGAGTGTATGGAGAAGTAAGTCATCTAAAATCTTTTGCAGAATCTCAGGGAAACGTAAAATGCACCGGCCTAGCTTCCATTCCTTCTCATGGTCCAAAATGATCTTGGTTTCTCGAGCAGCTTTCTGAAGCATCTCTTCATCAATGTTGGCTAGACGTGTAATAGACCTGAACAATCAGGCAATAACCATCATTCCCTTATGTTAAACACAGCCATTCTTCTCCATTCAAATATATATAATAATAAGTGACAAACACAGACATTATCATTTGATTCAAAACAAAACAATGCTGTACCCACAATTACCTGATTCTAGTGAAGGCATACAACAAGTAAGCAGCTGTGTTTCCTCTGTCGTCCAGCATTTTGTCAAAGGAGAAGATGTAGTCATTCAATCGGTTATGGGAAAGATCAGCATATTTGATACAGCCATAAGCAACAGATGTCTGAGCAGCCTTCAATTCTTCTGCAGTTAAGACCTTTGGAAAAAAACAAAACAATACTTCATAGTGTTAAGACACTGCCTCTACCCTGGCGTCACACAGGCAGAAGATGAGACATTTGTTAGTTATGCATATGAAGAACATGTTTATGACAAACATGATTTGTAAAAAGCAAGTGCAACTTGATTACTTTCCCCCCAAGATATGAAACTGAAAACAACCATTATTAGTTTATTTAATTTAATTCCATAAAGATTCTGAGGCAGCTTATAGGAAATAGAATAATACAATAAAAATTTTTTAATTTGGGTGGGTCAAATGATTAAGTGAAATCAAAACAGGGTGTCAAGGTTAGAGAGAACTTAGGCACTGCTTTGCTAATAACTGGTCCTACATTCTGAAGCATTACAAAGGTCACAAGTAACCACATTAAGAGTTCCTATTCTGGGCCTCCCCGGTGGCGCAGCGGTTGAGCGCTGGGTTGCGAAGCTGCCCGCGGCCTCTGTGGCGCCGGTTCGATCCCCGGCTGCTCCCCGGCCACCGGAGGAGGGTCCCACATGGCGCACAGACCTCTCCTGCCGCCCGCTGCTCCCCTCAGCAGTGTACTTCGGTCCTTCTGCCTGCTCTGCTCCCCGCTCTGGCTCTGGTGAATTCTCTCACCCTCCCGCGCTTCTGACTGTACCCAGTGCATGTATAAACAAACAAACAAACAAACCAGCAAACAAATAAATAAAGCATGCCTCTATAAAAAAAAAAAAAAAAAAGAGTTCCTATTCTGGCTATAATAGTGTATAATAAACTAACTCTTTAGATTGTTTAAAAGCTAGATTCATTATAATAAACACCTGAAGTCAACACTCAAGCAAAGTTTGAGGGGCAATGACCCTTGGGAGAAGGAGATGAATTCCACACATATCTGGCTTTTTCCTAAGGATATTTTCCAACACACAGCAGTGGGCAAGCAGAGAATAGCCCAAGTGGAAAATGGTCTGAGTGGAATAGGAGCTTAGGGCTGCCAAAGAGGAGAGAATAAAATCCCTAAGAAGAGGAAACAACAACATAAAAAACCTACCACACTCCTTTTAAACTGCTGGCATGCAGAAGGCAAGGCTCCTGAAAATCCAGCAGGAAAGCGCAAGTGGGTGGTTAAAGGGCCAAGCAAAGATCTCTGCAGATCTGTGTGTGATGCAGGGTAGTCCCAGCAGCAGCAAAGAGAAGAGCAATATATAGTAAACATTCCCTTGAAACCAGAAAAGCCAAATTTCAGGAGTAAGGGCCTCACTCTAGAAATCCAGGTAAAATTGAAACAATTTGGTCCTAACATATAAAGACCAAGACTGATAGGATCAAGACAATGAGCTGTTACGCTGGCAAGAAGAAAGCTTAACCATTCTTTGGAGGAACATGGCATCACCCAGAAACTATAATTTTTAAAAAAATATTTGTTTTTGGGCCTCCCCGGTGGCGCAGCGGTTGAGCGCTGGGTTGTGAAGCTGCCCGCAGCCTCTGCAGCGCCGGTTCGATCCCCGGCTGCTCCCCAGCCACGGGAGGAGGGTCCCACATGGTGCGCAGACCTCTCCTGCAGCCCGCTGCTCCCCTCAGCAGTGTACTTCGGTCCTTCTGCCTGCTCTGCTCCCCACTCTGGCTCTGGTGAATTCTCTCACCCTCCCGCGCTTCTGACTGTACCCAGTGCATGTATAAACAAAACAAACAAACAAACAAATAAATAAAGCATGCCTCTATTAAAAAAAAAAGAATTAAAAAAAAAAAAGAATTATTTAAAAAAAATATTTATTTTTATTTATTTATGCATACAGGAACTGGGGTGTAGGCCAGAAGTATGTAAGCGGATTCACCAGAGACAGAGTGGGGAGCAGAGGGCAAGATAGGCGAGGTATGCTACACCACTGGGTTTGCTCCCTGGCTGGAGATGGAACTCATGCTGAAGTGGCTAGCGATAGCTTGACAGCACTGAAGCTTTAACCCGTGTGCGGTCAGGGAGGCCCAGAAACCATATTTTTTTTTTAAAAAAGATTTATTTATTTATTTATACAAGCACTGGGTACAGTCAGAAGCGCGGGAGGGTGAGAGGATTCACCAGAGACAGAACAGGGAGCAGAACAGGCAGACTGATGAAATACACTGCTGAGGGGAGCAGCGGGTGCGGCAGGAGAGGTCTGCACACCATGTGGGACCCTTGCTGGCGGCCGGGGATCAAACTGGCGCTGCAGAGGATGCGGGCAGCTTCGCAGCCCAGCACTCAACTGCTGCGCCACCGGGGAGGCCCCAGAAACTATAATATTTTTTTTTTTTATAGAGGCATGTTTTATTTATTTATTTGTTTGTTTGTTTGTTTTTGTTTATACATGCACTGGGTACAGTCAGAAGTGCGGGAGGGTGAGAGAATTCACCAGAGCCAGAACGGGGAGCAGAGCAGGCAGAAGGACCGAAGTACACTGCTGAGGGGAGCAGCGGGCGGCAGGAGAGGTCTGCGCACCATGTGGGACCCTACTCCGGTGGCCAGGGAGCAGCCGGGGATCAAACAGGCACCGCAGAGGACGCGGGCAGCTTCGCAACCCAGTGCTCAACCGCTGCGCCACCGGGGAGGCCCAGAAACTATAATTTTTTATTCACAACATCCAGCCTAGAAAGTAATGAGGACTGCTAAAAGCCAGAGGTAATGATTAAAAATCAAGGGTCTGGAGCCTCTCCTGGTGGCACAGGCAGTTGAGCGCCACACTGTGAAGCTGTCCACAGCCTCTGCAGCGCCGGTTCGATCCTAGCCAGCCGGCGAGGGTCCCACATGGCGTGGCAAACCTCTCCTGTCTCGCCCGCTACTCGCCTCAGCAGTATATTTCAATTGGTCTGCCTGTTCTGTTCCATACTCTGTCTCTGGTGAATCCTCTCACCCTCCGGCAAATCTGGCCTGCACCCTGGTTCTCATACAAATAAATAAATAAATAAATAAATCTTAAAAAAAAAAAAAATCAAGGGTTTGGGGAAGGGAGAAACAAGAAATAGAAACAAAAGAAAAAAGGCAACAACAATATAAGGTAAACAATTAAGAACTATTAATTACAAAGGGAGAAATAACAACTTTATAGCAGGAAAAAACCTAGCAGTATTACCTTAACGAAGTTAAGATCAAAGTTAATATTAAGAATCATGAGGCTTATCAACATAATGTGCTTCTTGAAATAATGAAGTGAGAACGCTACACTTATTCTTGCCAAGATTGCATAATTCTACTTTCTGTTGAGAAATATTACATGTCCTCTTAAAAAGTGTGCAAAAGTCAGAAAGAACAAGGAGCTGTCCAGATTAAAAAAGACTAAGGAGACATGACAAGTAATGGTTCCATGTGAGCCTGGATTGGATCCTGAACTAGATAAAAGGACATTTTGTGAAACGTGAATCAGATCTACAGTTCAGATTGCTGTATCAAGGCTGCTTTTCTCTAGACTTTGAATAAAATGACACTATATCAGGACCTGGTTTCATTATGTTGTTCTGCATAGAGTCAGTTTCCTACTGATGACTACTGCCAATACAAAGTAAGGACTTACAATATAAGATATTACTATTTGGGAACATTAACACGGATATCCTTTGTATAATTTTGCAATTTTGTAGGACTAAAATTATTTGAAAATGCCAAAAATCAATATGGTATGTTAAGTTTAAAAGTTTTGAGGAAATGAAGACAAAACTGGATGAAATGATACAAAATTTTAGCAGAAATGCAGAATACAGAATAGCAAAATAGTCTATCTGAAGTAGAAAATAATCAAAATGAAGCATAAAGAAAATGGGGGGAAAAAATGAGTATGAGAGATACTAGGGACAGAGTCAGAAGTTCTAACATAATATATATACTTATAGTTTCAGAAAGAACACAAAGGGGCAATCTGAAGAGATATGGCTAAGCATTTTCCTAACCTGATGAAAATCCCAAGCAAGGTAAGTATGAAAGAAACAATTCCCTGCAAAAGCTCCACACCACACATAGATATTACTTTTTATTAGTGTTCTCTTGATACTTCATAGTCAAAGTACTGAAAACAAAACCTAAGGAAAATGTTTAAAAAAGAACCACTACCTTCAAAGGAGCAGCAATGTGACAACTGATATTCAAAAGAAACTGAAAATTAAAAAATAATCGAATGCCATCTTCAAAATGGTGACAGAAAACAGCTGTCAGCTGTATTTTACATTTCTATTGTTCAAAAGTGAAGGTGAAATAAAGATTTTTCAGACAAACAAATGCTCTTAGAACTCGTTACCAGGGCCTCCCCGGTGGCGCAGCGGTTGAGCGCCGGGTTGTGAAGCTGTCCGCGGCCTCTGCGGCACCGGTTCGATCCCCAGCTGCTCCCTGGCCACCGGAGGAGGGTCCCACATGGCGTGCAGACCTCTCCTGCCGCCCGCTGCTCCCCTCAGCAGTGTACTTTGGTCCTTCTGCCTGCTCTGCTCCCCGCTCTGGCTCTGGTGAATTCTCTCACCCTCCCGCGCTTCTGACTGTACCCAGTGCATGTATAAACAAACAAACAAATAAATAAATAAATAAAACATGCCTCTATAAAAAAAAAAAAAAAAAAAAAAAAAAGAACTCGTTACCAGCAGGTCTGCACTACAGAAAAAAATACTACAAGGAAATCTTCACACTGAAGAAAAATAATCCTAGATAGAAGCAAAAAATGCAGGAAAGGGTAAATATGTGGATAAATGAATAGTGATCATTTAAAACAATAATGGGCACAAGATTTCAACAAATTCTTCATAGGAGATATGTAAATGCCCAATAAGCATGAAAAAAAGCAGTCAATGTAAATGCCCAATAAGTAGGAGAAAAACTAGTCAAAATTGTAATTCATTGGGAAGTGCAAATGTCAACCACATGAGATGCCACTAATCACCAGTCAGAAAGGTCAAAATAAAACAAAATCAAGTGTTGGTATAGATATGGGGGAACTGGAAAAAAAATCATGTAATGGTGGGAGAATAAACATCTCTGTCCTTGCTAGTTTTAATAAAATTAAACACAAGTCAAACATATAACCCAGTAATGCTATTTCTAGATATGTGTCCAAGTGAAAAAAGAAGAGAGAGAGAGAGAGTGAGTGTGTGTGTGTGTCACTCCACCAAGCTTTACATTGTACTTTACACACATTTACTTAACAAATGCTTTTGGGATGAAAGGCCATGGTATTTTGTAATGGCCAAGAAACTAATTTTCTAATTTAATATTTACTAATTCATAAAACCCTACTGTGCAATAAAATCTGGTAAATATAAGTTTGCCCTTATAAGCTTCACAATTCTCTCAACAATAACAAAAATGAATTATGACCACATGATGCATGGTGCACAATAGCCTAATAAGGCCTGGATTACCTTATCTCTTTCTTTTTCTTTCAATTTCTCCATTGATCGCTTTAGTCCTTCTTCCAGAAGGTCTATGAGGCGCACTGTTTCACCTGAACGTGTTTTAAACTTTTTCCTTAAAAAAAAATTCAGTCCCAATTAAATAGATTTTGAAACAGTTCTGTCAACCTACAATCCTGAAAATGAAGGTTTGACAGTGCCTTTATTCCAGCTGGCAACTAGGCAGGATGCCAAAAGAAATGAGTATTTATTTTCAACTATCTTTCATCTCTAGCCCTCAATTCAAAGCATTCGATATCTCTGTAACAGCATTCTCTACATGTTCCCTTTTAATACAGCTAGAAGGTGTCCAATGGATAACAAAGATGACTAAATGATAAATTATTTATTGTGAAAAGTTTTAAAATGAAAATTTCACTAAAATACAGACAATAGAACTTGTGAGGATTTTAATATTAATAAATATTTAAAATAAGGTAGGCTGTCCTCGTTAACTATTATTGAATGGTTTAGAATGCCATTTATTACATGATGTTGAGAGTACAGAAATATTTAAAAAATTTAAAAAAACCTCTTAGCCATTACATGACAATTTAAATGCTGAAATAGGGACACATATCAGTTATAATAAATTTCATAATTTTGCCCAACTGTAGGAATAATGCTAATCAAAAACAATCAACAGTTTTAGAACTATGACACTATAAGCAATACTCAGTTCACTGGTTTTTAAGCACTCTCTTAGGACCACGATCACTATAAAACTCAGTGTCATATTCGCCCACTGCTCCCCTTAGCAGTATCTTCAGTCCATCTGCCTGTTCTGCTCCCCGCTCTCCCTGGTGAATTCTCTCACCCTCCCGTACCTGATCTGTACCCCAGTTCTTGTATAAATAAATAAATCTTAAAAAAAAATACAGCTTGACAAAGAGTTGCATGTTATAATTAAAACTGTTTGATGTTGAATCCAACAGGGTCTTTGATCTCCATATAATCTACATCTAAGATAATGCCATCAGATACTTAACCCACCTTTTATATGCTTATTTAGGGCTTTTGTACACTAGCTGATGAAGCATCTTGTGTTACTTTCTGTGGTTTTTCACAAGCATTACCCCCTTTGTGTGATGACAGTATCTGTACCAAACCACACATCTAAGATGCCATTTTAAGAAATATGCTGATTAAATACCTACACGATCCTAAGATAGTATGGAATATAATGTTAAAAATTTTGTGCCTTTGAATTGATGATGACTACCACCACATTTGCATGCATTTTCCTTTTTATTTCATAAACACTGAGCAGAGTGGGGGGAAATGACTGAAAAATTTAAAAAGTCCTAAGTATGGATATTCACATGTAGGTCCCAATAAACTTAGTATTTTTGAGACAAACACAGAAATGGAAAGCCATGAATCTTAACACTTACTTGGAATCTCAATAAACCTATACACATCAACCAAGTGTTCAACCATGAAGGAAAACCACAGACATTTACAAGATGCTTGAAATCTAAGATGGTACTTTGATAGATTTTACAATGTAGCTCTGTGGAAATGGGAAGCCTCTTTATCACCTGTTAAGTCTACAGTCTGGTTTTGATTTAATTGTACAATTCTCCCTAACAGGCTACATTATCTGGCAGTACACAAGTACAAATGGCTCAATTTGATTAGCCATTACAACATATGTAGACTAAAGAAAATGGTGGACTTTATTAAATCCAATATGATTTATCAAAAGAATCATAGCCTTTTCCAAAGAAACTTGGGGGTCAGGTATGTACTATTACTACCTTGGGTTTTCCAGACTTACTTGTCTTCCCCCAGCACCACACCGAATCCAGCGTGAGAAACTCGAGTTACTTTAGGGTCATACCAACCAATCATTTGAGCAGCACCGAATATTGTCTGAAAATGCACAGCCTAGAAAGAAAGAGAAACAAAAAGTTACTTGTTAAACTTTCTTCTTTTTTTTTCTCCAAAGATTTATTTATTTATATAAGCACTGGGGTACAGGCCAGAGGGGTGAGAGAATCCACTGGAGAGAGCAGGGAGCAGAACAGGCAGTAGGACTGAAATACACTGCTGAGGGGAGCAGTGGGCGAGACAGGAGAGGTCTGCTGTGCCATGTGGGAATATCCCTGGCTGGCCAGGAATTGAACCCACGCTGCAGAGGCTGTGGACAATTCCACAGCGCTGCGCTCAAGCCGCTGCGCCTCCGGGGAGACCCCACTTGCTAAACTTCTAACCATAAAAAAAAAACTTAAAGTTGTTTTACTTAAGGATAAGAATTTGTAAACTTCACATTACTCACAAATCTTGTGAGGCAAGCATAATCATGAAAGCTCTTTGATTCCCTTCATATGAGAAAGAAGGGCAAGGCTGTTAATATACTTTTTGTTTAAAAGGTTTTTAAAGCAACTTAAGGGCACTTTACATGTAAGCATTTCATTTAAACTTTAGGTCTCACAATCACCTTCTCAGATAGCAACAGTCCCTGAAGTTCAGAGAAATGACCTTTTCCAGTTTACAGAGACAAACTGGAAAGCGGCGAATAGCAAGTTTGGCCAAATCCAAATATGGTATGCTAAATTTCAGTCTTTGGGGAAAATTTATAGTTTTATGGTGCTACATGACATGAACCTCACCACACTGTCTTCGCTCCAGTGAAACAATTTAAGTATACAGTTCTATAAAACTCACTTGTCCACTGTCCACCACATATATAATCATATCTGCTTTCTCCTCAAATAGTCTTTGTTTAATTGCTGCCAGGTCAGATGTATCATAGGTATAACCTCCATCTGATTTTACTATGGTTAATGGTACGGAACATCCTGGGACAAATACAATCTTTCTGCCATCATCCACTTGCACATATCCTAGGGAAAAAAATCTTTATTAACATTTATGTTAAAAGAACCCTAAACAAACATAAATGGTTAACCATTCTAGGATATTTATTAGAGAGCTAGAGATAGCATGATTTCTTTTCTCACCATGACCTCCAATGAGCCTTGGAAAATGGCTGTGGTTAAGGTTGTCTGGGTGCCATGGGTGTTATGAGGCTGCAAAGTAAGATAAGCAGCAGTTTTCTTGGCTCACACTACACTTGGATCCCAAGCTCTTTTCAGAGCACCTCACTGGAGCCCACCTGCTCAGCAGACCCAGCATGTGGAAATCGAATCCATGGTAGTTATCAAGCTGGAACCACAGCCTTCCTCTGACAAAAAGATGCAATTTCTAACACTGCCTCTTAAAATGTACTGAAAAGAAATTACAATTGTAATAGGATCCTGGGACAAACATGGCAGGATTTAGTATTTTGAATGAGAACTGAGGGCGAAAAAACCCCCATGTTCATATATCAAAAATGATGAAAAAATGCAAAATTCTTGGATGCAAGCATGGGTAGGAAAGAACATAACAGTTATGAGTGCTACCATGTGCCACTGTTATGCTAACTCTAAAGTTGAACCTTTGTAATAACTCTATGCAATAAGTGTAATTGTTACCATTTTTTTTATAGATAAGGAAACTGAAGCTTGGAAAGGAAAAGGCAGCTTAAAACAATGGTTATAAACAAGCTCTGAAGAGAGACTGCTTAGATTTCATTCATTTCTCAGCTATGTGCCCCTAGTACATATTGTCATTAAAAAGTCTTTAAAATTTATTATCTAAAAAAGGTGGTGCCTTGATTTTAATGGTGATTGGTGATTGACAGCACTTCCTATTTAAGGAATCAGGCTTTCTTGGAGCCATGACTTACTTCTAGATCTGAAGGAAGAAATGTGCAAAATGAAATACTGTGTACAAAGTAAGCAAAGGATCAAAGACTAGGGGGTGAAGGAAACAAACCCAAAAACAGGGAGCTAATTTGAGTGGGCTACATTAACCAAATAAGGGACAATTGAGCATTAAAAAGAATAAAGGTAACTGATTAAAAATGTATAAAATATATTAAATCCCTTTGCAACAATGCTGAAAACAAGTCATTTGTCACACATCTGGAAGATGCTAAGAAATTAACTTATTGTGAAAATTGATAAAGAATCAATCACTTACACTTCTTATCAAGATGAATTTTACCTCAGAGTAACCAAAATCATTGTGATACAGTTTTCACAGAATTCCAGGTAACAAAGGAACAGAAAATGAAAGAATACTACCATTTTCCAACCTTTCAGGAAGTAATGAAATCAGTTATAATCATCAATGGCTGCTAAAACCAGTAGGAGAAAATCTACTGGGGAAAATTATATAGACATCAGGCTGATAATACCAGGATCCACTAATCTATCTTAACATTGCACTATGTATATTAGAAATTGTCTATTTCTACAATAATTAAAGGGGGTTGAAGGAAGCAAATCTATGTAGAATTTAAGAAATGTATGAACAAATATATAATTTCTGAAAAAAGGATGATTGAAAAAGATTATGAGGGCCTCCCCGGTGACACAGCTGTTTAGTGCTGGGTTGCGAAGCTGCCCGCGGCCTCTGCAGCGCCGGTTCGATCCCCGGCTGCTTCCCGGCCACCGGAGGAGGGTCCCACATGGCGCACAGACCTCTCCTGCCACCCGCTGCTCCCCTCAGCAGTGCACTTCGGTCCTTCTGACTGCTCTGTTCCCCGCTCTGACTCTAGTGAATTCTCTCACCCTTCCGTGCTTCTGACTGTACCCAGTGATTGTATAAATAAATAAATCTTTAAAAAAAAAAAGATTATGAATCAACTTGGGAGATTTGAACTCTGGCTATTCAATGATACTAAGAAATTATTAATTTTCATAGATAATGCTTCATGGTGTGGAGTGGGAGGAAGGGCATGTTCTTTCAGACATACCAAAGCAGTTACAAATGAAATCTGATGTAAGCAGTGACACAGGAATACATCAATATAAGACTGGCCTACACTCATATTTGGTGAATTTGGAGATCACTATGCTATTCTCTCCATTGTTTTGAAAATTTTCATAAAGTTTTAAGGTAAAGTGTTTACCTTTATCTTCAAATTCCTTTACAACATCATCCATCCTATCTTGATAGAAGGACTCTCCCCTCTCTACTAAAGAGATGTCCAAAGCATCGTAGATTTTATTAAACTCTAGGGACAAAAAGATCACAAAATAAAAATATATGAATTTAAACAAATAGGAAACATGCATCTTACTTTACATTTATTAAATAACTCAAACACTGAGAAGGAAAATTAATCATATTTAAAAAGTATGGTAAGAACATTATATACACACATTGTTATTTTGGAAATGTTAAAAGTATCTAAAACTTTTTCTATAAGGAACATGTACATATAAGGTTTAAAAAATTTTTTTTAAAATATGTAGCTGAGGTGAAAAATCTTAATTGGAGATCAAATATATTTACTGAATTTTCTTATTAAGTCTAATTTGTACCATTCATTTGTCTATCTGGCGATGCATCAGTGACATAATATTACCCATTGTAGCATCACTTTACTATTTAAGTGCTGCAAACCGCCATCATTAGTTTTTTTCAAAGATCTACTGGCTATTTTTCAACTTTAAAATTACTTTGTCAAGTGTAAAAACTTGAAATTATCTTAAAACTAAAGATGAATTTGAAAAACTAGGGGACTTTGCTTGATCCCCTTTTCAAACATTCTATTCCATTCTTCTGTGTTATTTTGCTTCATTTTTATTTATTTTATTTTTTTTTTTTTAAAGATTTATTTATTTATTTAATTCATTTATACAGGCACTGGGTACAGTCAGAAGCGCGGGAGGGTGAGAGAATTCACCAGAGCCAGAGCAGGGAGCAGAACAGGCAGAAGGACCGAAGTACACTGCTGAGGGGAGCAGCGGGCGGCAGGAGAGGTCTGCGCGCCATGCGGGACCCTCCTCCGGTGACCGGGGAGCAGCCGGGGATAGAACCGGCGCTGCAGAGGCTGCGGGCAGCTTCACAACCCAGCGCTCAACCGCTGCGCCACCGGGGAGGCCCATTGCTTCATTTTTAGATAAACATTTTTAGATAAACTGATCCCTAACTGCTTTACAGACTTGGTTGCTGTGAATCCAATTATTTCCTATTTTATATTCTAATTAACTTTTGCTGACTTAAGAAATTTAAATTTTGGATCTGCCTGCCTTAATAATATTTCTTAATATAAAATAAGCTTCACTTAACATGGTCAATAGGTTCTTTAAAACTGTGACTTTAAAGAAAATGATATATAATAACCAGGTCTTCAAATACCATTGTGTTACAATGTTAATTAGAAAAAAAATCTCAGCTTACATTATACAATATAATGTTAGCAGAAGCTCTGTAGTGGTAATAATTTCAAAAATATTTAAGGAAAAAAATCTATTTGCTAGTCTTTGAAAGTTTCACATGTCACTCAAGGTCAATTGTGAATAAAGATTCAAGGAGGGCCTCCCTGGTGGCGCAGCGGTTGAGCGCTGGGTTGTAAAGCTGCCCGCAGCCTCTGCAGCGCCGGTTTGATCCCTGGCTGCTCCCCGGCTGCCAGGCGAGGGTCCCACATGGCGCGCAGACCTCTCCTGCCACCCGCTGCTCCCCTCAGCAGTGTACTTCGGTCCTTATGTCTGCTCTGCTCCTGCTCTGGCTCTGTTGAATTCTCTCTGGTGAGAGAATTCTCTGGTGGTGAATTCTCTCACCAGAAGCACCTCTCGTGCTTCTGACTGCACCCAGTGCTTGTATAAATGAATGAATGAATAAATAAATAAATAAATAACTCTTAAAAAAAAAAAAAAAAAAAGTATTAATAAAGACTCAAGGGAACTATATACAGCAATATTTGGTGTATGAATGAACAAAGCTCCCCAAATCACCTTGGCGGGAGACATCACAGATAAGTTTCCAAGCTTTTATGATATCTGGATTTTTACTCTGGAGCAGAACCACACACTGGTAGGCTCGCTTCTTAAATTCTTCCTCGGTGTCAAACCTCTTCTTGGATTCCTGCATTTAAAAAAACCGTAAAACTTAAGAAAAGTAAAAAGTAAAAAGATTCAACCTCATATTTTTAAATAAAAAATTGATTTCTTAAAAAAAAAAAAAACCCAAACCTAAACAGGTAAAACCTAAAACAAAAATTCCACATACACAAAAAAATCCTCAAGAGTAAGGAAGAAAAAATTTAGACCAGAACAGAAGTGCTCTATACAATAGTCAAGTACATTGTTACAAGGGAGTGTGCCAATTCTTTTCAAATATTTTTTCCTGAATATACAAAATTGTTACCACAGCATTCCCTCCACGTTTCCAATTTATAGAAGACCACTTCACAACTAATGATTTTGTTTTCAGGAGAAATGAAAAATGGCGAATAGGTGACACTGAATTTTCTGGGCTCCATTTTCTATTCTGGATGTGTTATGGGATGAATAAATTTTTTGTTACCCAAAATAAAACTGCTCTTGTCATTTTAATCCTGTTTGAAAGCAATACACGCTAATTAAAAAAACAAAATAAAAAACTGTTACCCCACTCCAAACTAACCAGTGATAACATCTTGGTGTCTAATTCTAGATATTTCTTTGCAAATACAGTATCTATGTGTTTTAACAAAAACCGGAAATATTTAACTTTTTATCTTGGTTCTTAAACTTAGAAATGTATTATAAACATTTTCTTACATTAGTAAATCTTCCTCATTATATTAAGAACATGAAATTGTAACAGATTATAGTTATTTTACCCATCTCGTATCAATACACATTTAACTTCTTTTCAATCTTTTCTTAGAAACTACTTTCCAGGGGCTAATGCTCAGCACTATCACTATAATTGCCCACCACAATTGCCTGAGTTCCATCCCCAGCCAAGGTGCTAACCCATATGGCACAGCAGACCTTTACTGTCTCGCCACTACTCCCCTTAGCAGGATATCTGCCTGTTCTGTTCCCCACTCTGTCTCTGGTGAATCCTCTTATTCCTCCACATACCTCTGGCCTACATCCCCGTTCTTCTACACAGGGAAATAAACCCAGAATTCTCTAAAAAATAAAAACCTACACATAAACAAAATTATTTATAGAAAAGATAACAATGCCTCCCCAATGGAAAAAATATCAAGAGTTGGTACATCAATCCAAGAAAACAATGCGCAGTCATACTATAAAGTAAAACGAATGATTATATTGAAAATTAAACAGAATACAAAAAGCATATGTAATTTTTTTGTTGTTGTTCTTTCCTTACATTATTTCCTCCAAGAGCCATGGGTTTGTTCCTATGCTTCTTCCAACTTCTTGAATTGAATACTTATTTTCAACCTGCCTTCTCTGCTGATAAATTTATTTATAGCTATACATTTCCTCCTAGTAACTGATTTTGCTGTCTCCCACAAATGTTGCATGTAGTGTTATTATTTAGTTCTGTTTCTAAAGTCATTTTTGTCATTTATTTCATCCAAGATTTATTTTTTTTAAGATTTATTTATTTATTTATACAAGCACTGGGCAGTGTCAGAAGCACGGGAGTGAGAGAATTCACCAGAGCCAGAGAGGAGAGCAGAGCAGGCAGACTCGACGAAGTATACTGTTGAGGGGAGCAGCGGGCAGCAGAGGAGGTCTGTGCGCCATGTGGGACCCTGAGGGGAGCAGCAGGCGGCAGAGGAGGTCTGTGTGCCATGTGGGACCCTCGCCGGCAGCCGGGGAGTAAACCGGCGCTGCAGAGGCTGCGGGCAGCTTCGCAACCCAGGGCTCAACCGCTGGCCACCGGGGAGGTCCTATTTTTACATTTTATTTTATTTTTTTAAAGATTTATTTATTTATTTATACAGGCACTGGGTACAGTCAGAAGGGCGAGAGGGTGAGAGAATTCACCAGAGCCAGAGCGGGGAGCAGAAGGTGGCAGGAGAGGTCTGCACGCCATGTGGGACCCTCCTCTGGTGGCCGGGGAGCAGCCAGGGATCGAACCGGCGCTGCAGAGGCTGTGGGCAGCTTCGCAACCCAGCGCTCAACCGCTGCACCACCGGGGAGGCCCTATTTTTACATTTTAAAAGGACAGTTTTATTAGGAAAAGAGAGACACCTGCATAGTCACAAGGGGGCAGTATACATAATTTAAAAAATAATTATAAAAAACTGTTTGTGTAGGGCCTCCCCGGTGGCGCAGCGGTTGAGCGCTGGGTTGCGAAGCTGCCGCGCAGCCCCTGCAGTGCCGGTTCGCTCCCCGGCCTCCAGGCAAGGGTCCCACATGGCTCACAGACCTCTCTTTTTGTAACCACTGCTCCCCTCAGCAATGTACTTCATCAGTCTGCCTGCTCTGCTCTCCCCTCTGGCTCTGGTGAATTCTCTCATCCTCCCACACTTCTGACTGTACCCAGTGCTTGTATAAATAAATAAACAAACAAACAAACAAATAAATAAATAAATCTTTAAAAAACCAAAAAACTGTGTATGGGTAAGTCAAGAAGTCAAAGAAAGTTGATCACAATGAGTGATTTAAAATTATGGATTATGGGCCTCTCCCATGGCACAGCGGGTTGAGCGCAGAGCTGTGAAGCTGTCTGCAGCCTCTGCAGCATGGGTTTGATTCCTGCCAGCAGGGGAGATTCCCACATGGTGCAGCAGACCTGTCCTGTCACGCCTGCTACTCCCCTCAGCAGTACTTTTGGTCCATCTGCCTGTTCTGCGTCCCACTCTGTCTCTGGTGAATCCTCTCACCCTCCCGTGGCTTTACCCTGTACCCCATCTATTGTATAAATAAAAAATAAATCTTAAAAAAAAAAATTATGGTAAATATATACTTAATATTTTAAAAATACATGAAAGGGTTTAAATACTAATTATATATTCTGATGAACAAATCCCCATATTCACTTAACAATGAATGGACAACGTGGCAATGACTGTTACATTTAGCATTTTATACCCAGTGACAACAATAAAAAGCAAAAGACATGTTAAGGAGTGAGAGATTAGCAATTTCTATGTAACCCCATAGTAGCTTCAAGTACCATTTTGAGCCCCCTAATGAAAAGATAATTATAATGAATGGTATAAACACATAAATAAAATAACAATAAGTAGTATCCAACCTTATAGAAGGCCTGAAGATCTCCAATAGGGGGTGAAACTGTTAAGTAATCTGGAAATTTATCTTGCAGGTGAGCGATGAGCATGCCAAACTGAGTGCCCCAGTCTCCTATATGGTTTAATCTAATACCGATCAGAGAACACAGAATCATTTAAAAAATGATTAACATTTAAATTCAAGTCATTATATTCCATTAGGAACCACTAACATTTAAATGCCAATACTTTTTATTTAGTAGTATCTTGTCTATTTGGTTATTTCCTCAATTGGTTGCAAGCTCCACTAAGAGGAAAAGGCAATGACTGTTACATTTAGCATTTTATACCCAGTGACAAGTCGCACATAGCTGGCATATAGGATTTGCTGAATGAATAAAGTTCCTGTAATGAACTATGATCTTTTGTTGTATAGTTAACTGGAAAAATTGCAGTTAACTCACTGTTGGTCAACCACTTCATGAAAATTTAACTCTTCAACCAATTATCTTAGTGTTAAGACCAGTGGCTCCTAAATGACAGTGGATAAATTTTTCAAAATATGTCTTTCTAATTACCTGCCATCTCTGCTTTCAGCTAATCTCAAACCACTAGATCATCTCTTAACTGGATTATTAAAATAGTCTTCTAAATTAACTACAGAGCTCCCTACTCTGTCTAGGTTCTTCCAAGAAGCCAGAGTAATCTTTAATTAGAGCAACTGCTCTACTAATTATGACTCCAATAGCTTTCCATTACACTTAAACTAAAATTATAATTTCCTACCTGACCTACAAGTCCAAGCATAAGCTGTTTCGTGCCTAGCTCTCTCTCTACCAGAATGTAAGCCCCCAGTATACAGGAGGCACTCAAGAAATATTTGAGGAATGAATGGGGGAGGCTTTTTTCTTGACTCCATCTCCAGAGAGTCTAAGATAATAGTTCAAAGGACATAATTTATTTAAAAAAAAAAAAAAGACTGCTAGGTGATTATGAAGCAGAACCACATTTATAACTAACTGATTTGGCCAAAGAGTCTTCCTCAAGCGACATTTTTCATTTCCTATAGAAATCTCAAGCAAAAGCAAGAGTACATACCTTAGCACATCATATCCTGCAAATTCAAAGAGGCGGCACATGCTCTCTCCAATGATAGTTGACCTGAGATGGCCCACATGCATCTCTTTAGCTATGTTGGGAGAGGAAAAGTCAACTACAACCTAAGATAGACAATAAGAAGAGAGCTTTTAAAAAGAGTAATTAACATTTAATCCATACCATGTTCATTAATAACATTTAATCATAAACTCAGATTTAGACATTGCTTGGATTGTAGTGTGTTAGGCTTTCTGACCAACCTACTTGTCCATTATTAACTAGAAAGAGAACAGAGTTTGTTTATATAAATAATCTGTCCTCAACTTCATAGATATTAGCTGGCTACCTCAAATGACTTGTGGAATGAAGAGGAAAATAATATAACAAGCAAGACCCAGGACAAAGGTTGCTTCATGTTCATATCCCAAACATCGATGATTAAATCTCAATAAAAAGAGAAAGTCATTTACCAGTTATAGCACTTTCCATCCAATTCTACTAAGATACTAATTAATCAATTGAAGATTGTACACATACCTTTTTATTCTTTCCAAGAGAAGGGAGCTGAACACCATTCACCAAGAGATTGGTCAACTGTTTTGATACAAAGTCCTTTTTTAAGTGGATATTAATAAAACCTAATGAAAATAAAGAGAGGGAAAAAAAAAATCATATCCAATCTTGAACGACTCCCGAAGACTCCATTTCACTTATGCTGGCTCCAGAGTGCTACTGATATGGTTCTGGCAAACTTTTCCTATTCCTAAATAACACAGGGCCTTGACATGAGCCCTTGTCACACAAGCTCCTTTTTCAGCATCTATTTCACACCTTTACCATTCTCCTAAAAGCCCCCTACTAATAAATTTAGGGCCCCACCACATTCAGCTAGTGGCCTGTGCACCTCTTAATAGAAAATAGATGACTCGCGAGCAGAAGACCTATTTGCCATTATGGATCTGCTTCTGCTACAAAAAACTGAATCACAGGGAAGAAAAACTCACCCAAGATCAGGCAGCATGGTCTAGAGTAAAATCTGTTTCCTAACTCACAGTCCAAGGGACTTTACTACCTTTTTCAACATACAAGTTTTAACCCTACGTTTATATTTATTTTTAAAAAGTTTCATTTATTTGTGCATACAAGAACTGGGGTGTAGGCCAGAGATACAGGGGTGAGAGTATTCATCAGAGACAGAGTGGGGAGCAGAACAGCCTTATCTACTAAAATACACTGCTGAGGGGAGCAAGACAGGAGAGGTGTGCTGTTCCATGTGGGTTAGCTCTCTGCCCAGGGTTCGAACTCATGCTACAGTGGCTGGTGACAGCTTGATAGTGCTGAGACTTTAACCCCTGAGCCACCAGGGAGACCCCCTTACATTTATATTTAAAATGGCTTCTTTTATTCCCAAAAGAACTCAGCATCAATACAACCACATGGAAGGATAAAATAAACTCATACCAGGACCAGCAATTTCAACTTTTTCAATACATTCACTGTCTGGGAGGTGTTTGGTAATGTTTTCGGCAATTTCTCTTGGATTAACTTTTTGTTCCTTGGTTTTCAGTAGCTGTAACACAGTATGAAATGATTCATTTTATGATAGCTTTCAGCAAGTTACTCAAATGCAAAACTGACAAATCTGACAAAAAACTTATAAAAAAAGCAGAGGCAAATCTTTCTATCTTAAAAAAAAAAAAGCAGAGGCAGGAAAGTCCAATAACCTTGTGAAAGGACAGATTAAAGCATCAAGCATCAATAGTGCCAAGAGCAATACAAAAGTACCAAAACTACATCATCTTTATCTCAAAAGGAGTTGTCATATAGCTAGAACTTTTCAACAAAGATAAAAGCTTCCAGCATATTTACATTTCACTAACAAAAAGCATTCTTTTTTTTTTTTTGTGGTGCCCTCGCCGGCGGCCAGGGAACAAACTGGCGCTGCACAGGCTGCGGGCAGCCTTGCAGCCCAGCACTCAACTGCTGCGCCACCAGGGGAGGCCCAAAAAAGCATTCTTATACTACTTAACCCCCATGTTGTCACATAAAAATTATCTAGAAAAACTCAGAACTCTTTAATCCTTTCTATAGCAAAGAAAGGAAAGCAAAGACAGGGTCAAATGACCACAAACACATTACACAATGTAGCTATCAAAAACTGGGAAATATTGACTGAAAATGAAATATACCACAAAGACACCACAGTTACATTAAATATTTAATGGGAATGCTCACTGATAAATGACTAACTTAATCGTTCACCTTCCAACACTCACAAATAACAGCCAATTCTGGACACAGTAGTAGAGAAATACTAAAACAGCACCAACTATTGCCCTTAAATAATTAAATATATGTAAAATTTAACTGAATACTCATATTTGTGTTTTAAAATTAAAAAACACAAAACCCCTATTCTCAGGTTTTTCAGATCTGTGAATGACAGTGTTATTTTCATTGAAGATACAATAATTCGTTATTATCTATATAAGTACTGATGATACTGGCTTAAGAAAGTCAAACCCCCAAGAGAGATTCATAGTAACATAATCACCTGAGAGATGCCCATTGCACTATTGCACTGATAATCCCCAAACTTGGGCTGTTGACTTGGTGTCACTATCAGAGGAGGATTTTCCAGATCTGGATAAGCAGACTTAATGGCACAACCAAAAACCTCCTGTAGGCGGCTGTTGATGTTAATCATGTTTTTAGTTGGTCTGTTCCTTTCTGCCTGAAGACTCTGTAGGAAAAGAATGGAAATGTTGACAAAATATTAAATCATTATACAAAATTTCCCCAAATATTTTAAGAGACCCATAAATATCATGAGAAGAACCAAAGGTAACATACATTCACAGTGTAGCCCTCTCACATCTGGGATGCGCTGAGCAATACAATAGGACACATCTATCCCATAACATTCAAGACACATGAAAAATGTCCAGTTCTTTCTTATTTAATCAGAATTGAGGGCCTCCCCGGTGGCGCAGCGGTTGAGCGCTGGGTTGCGAAGCTGCCCGCGGCCTCTGCAGCGCCAGTTCGATCCCCGGCTGTTCCTCGGCCACCGGAGGAGGGTCCCACGTGGCGTGCAGACCTCTCCTGCCGCCCGCTGCTCCCCTCAGCAGTGTACTTCGGTCCTTCTGCCTGCTCTGCTCCCCGCTCTGGCTCTGGTGAATTCTCTCACCCTCCCGCGCTTCTGACTGTACCCAGTGCATGTATAAACAAAACAAACAAACCAGCAAACAAATAAATAAAGCATGCCTCTATAAAAAAAAAAAAAAATCAGAATTGAAACTGGGAGATGGGAGTCAAAAGGATTGAATGAAGCTTTTCTTTTTTTGTTTCTTTTTTAAAAAGATTTATTTTCATTTATTTATACAAGCACTGGGTACAGTCAGAAACGCAGGAGGGTGAAAGAATTCACCAGAGCCAGAGCGGGGAGCAGAACAGGCATAAGGACCGAAGTACACTGCTGAGGGGAGCAGCAGGCGGCAGGAGAGGTCTGCGTGCCATGTGGGACCCTCCTCTGGTGGCCGGGGAGCAGCCGGGAATTGAACCGGCACTGCAGAGGCTGTGGGCAGCTTCGCAGCCCAGCGCTCAACCGCTGTGCCACCGGGGAGATCCTGAAGCTTCTTTTCTTTTCCTCCTAAGTGCTGAGAAAGTAACAGGATAACACCAATCCTAAACAACTTTGTATAGAATGCCTGAAGTGAAAAAAAAGTGAGAAACAAAAACATATATATTCTTGCCATTAAAATGTTGACCCCCTCAAGGCATGAAGTGAAAGAGAACAAAGTAGTAAATCTCAAAGCATCAGAACATACTTAGCTTTGTCTTATTGTTAAATAATCTGAAATTGGATCACTACTTTCTATTTCTCATTTTCTTTGAAGCAGAATATATTCATTGAAGATGTGTACTTTCATACATTCTTAAAATTATGTTTCCACCAGACTTCTAGGTGGAGGTAAGTGTCTTATCCACGGCTATATTCCTGGCACCGAGCACTGCACTTTTCAGGTTATCATGAAATGATGACTGAACACTTGTGGTTGTCGGACTGGAGCTAAACCTTTAATCTAGCAATTTAGTTTAATCCACTATGCAACATTCCTCAGAGCCACAGTGATGGGTTGCTTAATTTATAACAAGATATTCTGTTCCATCTGATGCTGCTGCTAACACATCAGTGCCTGATGAACACCAGGACACCATTCTCCACTGATAACACAGAATAAAGCAACTATTCTAGGAAGGTCATCGATAATCCTGGGATTGACTGTTCCGAGACTACTTGTTGCCTTCTCAGATATGAGCATAAGGAAACCCTTCCCCACATTCCTCATGTCTTTGAACGCCTTTCTTTTCTATAATGTTCCTATACTCACTACTAGGGAGATGGTCTTTTTTTGGAGTACTAACAGCTTTTCTCCCATGGAGGCACCATATGTTATTAAGTCAATTCCTCTGTGGAAACAATCTTGTGGTTCATAGTCTAGTTTTCTAAATGGAGGGTGACAGAACCCAGTATTAGGTCTGTAACAACTTATGTTTCTAGCAGAATACAAGTGAAAGGGCTACCTACACACTAATTTTAATTTTCTGTTAATCAAATATTATGTGCAATTCTAATGGGAACAAAGAAAGTTATTAAGTGTATACTGAGTCAAGTGCTTTAGTTTGTATGTATTACCTTAGTTCATTTATACAACAAAAGTTGAGTTTTACTATTATCACCATTTCCTGTGGGCTAGAAATGAAAAACTTGGAAAAGATAAGTCAGGATTCAAACTCAGTTCTGCTGGAATGAAGAATCCAAGTTCTATACTTCCTCATAACCCTCCTACCCTATGAAAGAAATTATATTCTTAAATCCACTAAAAAACTGATTTAAGTTTTTATCAACCAGTAAGTAATGATTCCTTTCTGTGGTAATACACTCAAAGGAAAAGATATGCTTTTCACAAACTAAAGATTTCCAATAGCAAATATTAAATTTACTGGACTCTAAAACCACTATAATCTCAATCTTGTATTTTTTTTTTAAAGATTTATTTTTATTTATTTATACAAGCACTGGGTACAGTCAGAAGCACGGGAGGGTGAGAGAATTCACCAGAGCCAGAGCTGGGAGCAGAGCAGTCATAAGGACCGAAGTACACTGCTGAGGGGAGCAGCGGGTGGCAGGAGAGGTCTGCGTGCCATGTGGGACCCTCCTCCGGTGGCCGGGGAGCAGCCGGGGATCCAACTGGCACTGCAGAGGCTGCGGGCAGCTTCGCAACCCAGCGCTCAACCGCTGCGCCACCAAGGAGGCCTACAATCTTGTATTTTTTTAAAGGATAGAAATACTAGTATGTAAGTACATGTGTATGTTTTTGTGAGCATACACATGAGAAATCCACTGTACTTGATTTCTGCACCATGCAATTTAATGTTTGATCAAATTAAATGATTATTATCTTCTTGTGTGTTTCATATGTGCAAGTCTCTTCTCCCCCAAAATGGTAAGTAATTTTATTAGGTTAAGGAATATTACATTACATATGATACAAACATTTTTTGCTGTAACACAATGTAAGCCTTCTAAAAAACTCACACTACGCTGGGCCTCCCCAGTGGCGCAGAGGTTGAGCGCTGGGTTGCGAAGCTGCCCGCAGCCTCTGCAGCACTGGTTCGATCCCCGGCCGCCGGGCAAGGGTCCCACATGATGCGCAGACCTCTCCTGCCGCCCACTGCTCCCCTCAGCAGTGTATTTCGTCAGTGTGCCTGCTCTGCTCTCCCCTCTGGCTCTGGTAAATCCTTTCACCCTCCCGCGCTTCTGACTGTACCCAGTGCTTATATAAATAAAAATAAAATAAAATCTTGAAAAAAAAAAAATTTCCTTTAAAAAAAAAAAAAAAAAAACTCACCCTATGCAAAAAAAAGAAAAGTATCCTTAAAATAACATCACCTTTGAGAAAATTAGAATCAGACACAAGTGACTCAAACTCTGTGTGGTTATAATAAGAGCACACTCATAACTGCAATCCTAAAATCATTACTGTTAGAAAGGCACACCTATAATTACTAGTAAATACTGAATAAATATAAGATTTTATCTTATAAAAAGATAAGGGCAGCTCAATGGGAAGGGCCTAAGGTAGACTTAAGCTGAGGTAATGAGACAAGGGCAAAATGCTCCTGAGCCAACCATATAATAAGTGTTTGAGTCAGAGCATGTGGCCCAAGTGAGCCAGGGGAAGAAGGAAGGGCGAACAGATATCCCAAGCAGCAACTTTAGTGCTCAGTGGCTTAGTGTTTCCAGTTGTATTTTGTACTTAGTATTTAGCAGCTACTCAGTAGAGCAAAATGTAACAATGTGCTTCCCTCATCACACTGACAGCATTGTCCTACCTTTCCCCTAGTACTAATCTACATTACTAAGGTGTATTAGAATACGAGGCATTTCCTTTAGTATCCTTTCCTTCATAATCTCTAGCACATATTAGGCATTTTATAATATTTTTGAATTGAAATAAATATAACTGAGAAATAAATGTAAGTGCGGAATACATGAAGTAATCAGAAAGGTGAGACATTCTGAGGAACATTTCATGGAAAAGGAATTGTGTGCTTTGAGAAGACTCAAAGACAAAGCTATCACAAACAGAAACAGATCACAATTAGGCAATATGACACTTCATGGCTGTGGCATAGGTAGAGTCTAATATGAATGTGGTGAGTTTAGGAAAAAAGATAAAAAGCTAGTGCAGCCCTGCTGAAAGCAGAACATACACAGGAGAACAATTATGGGAGTGAGGTCATCACTAGGATGTGTCATAAGACCTGAAAGACAAGACTAAAAATTAAAACCCCAACAGAAATAAGCTCAATTTTTTGACAAAACTAATAAATACTGTCATGAAGTCATTAAATAACAACCCAGCATAAGCTTAATGGGACAAATAAAAGTTTGAACTAATAAGTGGGGAAAAAAACACAACCAAATGTGACATTGTAGAACAAATAACTCAGGGTGGAAAGAAGGATTGTGGGTGTATTTTAAAATACTTCCCTTTGATATAGGCAGTTATTTAAAATTCAAAAGTTTTTTTTTTTTTAAAAAAGGGACTGTTGAAAGTAATGTCTCTATCCTACTTGGAGGCTACCTGAATTTAGCCAAACATATGATGAAATATTTCAAAGGGCCCCGGAAGGTGTTAAAATCAAAGGCAAATGGAGACTAGCCTTGAAAATTTCCTGAGCAGAGGAAACCAATTTAGTTGCACAAGTAAAGCTTAATTTAGCTTATTTTTGCAAGACTAACTTGATCTAGAAATCTTAAGTAAAAGGTAAACTGTTTCCTAAAGTTGTTATGAGGTAGCCACTAATTGATTATTTAAGAAAATTAAATCATTTAAGAAAATTCTAAAATTACAATCCAGTCACTGTGAAGAAGAAATAGTCACTGCCTTCTCACTGTATTAGCTGCTAATATTCTACCCTGAGCCCCATTCCATGTTTGATTTGAATGCTCAGGTTTGCAAACTATCATTCTGTTGTGGGAACAATAAACCTTTAATTACTATTTGAGTGATTCATTGGTTTCATTTCAGCCATTTCTGAACTTCTGACAAAGGGCAGGACAATACTAACCTTTCCATTAATTGAATCCACAACTTAGTCCTGACTTGTCTAATGCAGGGAAATGACTTGTGTTTTCCAAATTCCTCAAGGTACATTCTCAGAATCTATTAGTAACAAGGGTTTTTAATAAGACACAATAATTCAAATCACAGAATAAAATCAGAGCCCATGGTACTTACCTTCTGAAGGATATTTAGTCGATACTTTAATTTTAAATTTTCTTCTCTCAACTGTTCCAAATTTGGAGAAGCTTCTGAGCAGCCACAGTTTTTCAAACGATCAATTTCAGCAGTCAGAGACTTGATCTCTTTTTCCTAACAAAGAAAAGGTACTTTGTTCTGTCCAGTAAAACCGAACACTTCCTGAATAAGATAAATTGTACCATTAAATTGCTTCCTCATTTTGCCTCTCCACAAGGGCAGAGTACAGAAGCTGGGAAAGAAGAACTTTCCATTTGCTTTTATTTTTCCTCCTCCAGGCTTTTGATGACTTTAGCATATAATCTTTTGTATAAAGGTTAACATTGGTGCATAAAGAATCTATTAGCATAAGTCTCATCTCACTAGTTTCGCTGGCCAGAATAAACCACTGTTTTAGTGAGAACACTGGTTAAGTTTAAGGGTTTAAGTGTAACGGTCTTTTATTTCCAAACCTTACGACTTGGGTCTTTCTTAAGAAAAAAAAAAAATGCCCGTTGTCACATTTAAAGAGCTCAAATGTCTGTCTTTTGCCCTTTCTGGGACAAAGGGATTTCCTCATTTTCTCTGTTTCCTGTGTCTGACATAGACCTGGCTTTTGACTTAAAATTCCTAAAACTAGAGACCTGCCAAACCAGAATGAAATCAAGCTTCCCATTTGGGACACTAAAAGGGGGAGCCCTTACCTGAAACTTGCGCCAACTACATACACCTGCCATAAGCGAGCATACTTTATGTTCCAAGTGCTGATTAAACAGCTGTCAGAAGTCAGCTCTATTAACTCCTGTCATACCCCAGTCATAGGGTACTTTTACCTCCCCAGATTGACCAGGGATATACGACTCAGTAACAACCTTGCCAACTGACTTGCCCCCCTTATACTTTGTGACTACAGATCCATGAGGATTGAGGAGAATTAAATTTGTTTCATCCCTCCCGACTCGAGCAGCCCCACTCTCACAAGCGGGTACTGTTCCTTCCCCCCCACCCCACCCCCCAACACAGAAAGCAGAGAGCAGACTCCTGCTTGTCTGCTAATAAAGCCCCCCATGGGGCTTCCTAGGGTCCCCCTGGCTGGGCATCGCGGAGAGAGAGGACCCAGGGCTCCTGCTGCCGCCGCGCCCCGCCCGGAGCCGGACGCCGAGCGCGCACGTGTGCACCGTGGAGCGCCAGGGCGACTCCGCCGGGGATGCTGACTTAGGGGAAGGTCTGTGGGGGGAGAGGGGGGCGGGTCCCGTCGCTCCACGCAACGTCACTGTCAGAGGCGCCTTCGAGGGTTGGGTTCGCCCACTGCGACCCCCGGAAGAGCGTCCCCGCGAGGCAGCGCCGACCCGGTCTCGGGAGCCCCCACCAGCGTCCGAGGGGCCCGGGCGTCCCTGTCTCGCTGACGCCGGCCCGCCCAGATCCGGGGCCTGGTCCCCAAGCCCGCAAGCCTTTCCCCTCACGGCCCGCGGTCTTGCCTGCTGCAGCAGCCGCGCGGAGCACTGAGCCACCAGCCCGTCCATCCTCCCGTCAGTGCCTCACATACCACCTCGGCGGAAGCGGAAACGGGCCGCTCCACCCGGAAGCGGAAACCTCCCCCCGCCCGCCGGCGTCTGCGGCCGGCTGCGGGAATCCGCCTATGCTGCCCCCTAGCGGGATCCAGGTGACACCGCGGGGGCACCCCGCGGGGATGTCCCTGCCACGCTGGGGAACGCCGCCCTTAGATCCCTGTGGGGCGAGAGCTAAGGGACTGACTGGAATCGGATTGGAGCTGCTTTGTGTTCTGTGCCTGGGTTGACATGGGCAGTGGCACCTACCTAGATTTCTCCAAGGCTTCGGCTGCTCTTCTGTGGAATGGGCTGGGAACCAACAAAATCTATTCATTTATTCAATAAGCATTTACCGTGCTCATTAATATGCCAGGCAGTATTCCAGGCGCTGGAAAACAAGCTGGAAAGAAGACAGATAAGGTCCGCGATCTCATGGAGGTTACATTCTAGACCGGAGACACAGACTAGGCAAGAGAGTAATCAACAATCTCAGATAGTCTTAATTGCCAGGAAGGCGGTGTAGTAGGGACTCCAGTCAGGGAAGGCCCTCTGAGTAGGTGACATTTATGTTAGTTATAAACAGTTAACATGGGATGTAAGTTCTGAGAGGTCAAGGAACTTCCCTGTCTTGTTCACTCTTCCCTAAAGTCCTATAAATATACTACCTATAAATCTAGGTAGTACTTAGAACAGCAGTCTTGAAATTTTTCTGTGCTGTGTCCCATAAAAGATTTTTTTAGTTCATACTCCAGTGTAGACTTTCAAATGTTGAGATCTGAAAAGTTGCCATACCTTTAAACAATGGCTGTGAACTACTCTGTGACCTGCTGTTTCTTGTACAATGCATTTTCATCAAAACTGGGGGGCTGTGAATTTGGCTCATCTATTTATAATACTGGGCAGGTGTGAGATGAAGGAGGGCATTCCAGATAGAAAGGAGGATTCCAGGTGGAAAGAGGCAGGCTGCATCCTTAGCCCCAAGGCCCTTAGGGTTCTGGGGTCAAAATTCCCTTTGACTTTCCGGATCTTCAGTGGGGGAGGAGGAATGAGCAGTCCAGAGTGCAGGTGGTAAGTGTTGTCACCCATTCTGGAGCTCAGGGGCTGGTTCCATCACAGGATTGGGCCTTGGGCTGGGAGAATGGGACTGCTACTGCCTTCTGCTACCTCTTGCATTTTTAACTAGATCGCTAATTTTTAAGAGTATGGATGGGTGAAGAGAGGAGGGAGATATATGCAAAAAAAAAAAAAGCATATTCCATATTTTGATTCTATATTGGGGGAACCACTATTTTAGCAATAAATCTTAACAAATGGGTAGAGGAATTATGAAAAAGTTACACTGATAATTAACCCAGGGGATACAGATCTAGGGGAAGATATTAGGGTGGGATAGGAGTGGACTCAGTAAGAAATACTGTCTTGGATACAGCTAGGATCACCCCTGAGTCAGCCCACCAGCCAGCTCTTTCTGAGGCCGTCAGGAGAAGTAAATAATCTGACTCCTCAAAGAATATAAACAGTGTGTTAGGAATCTTCATCACTTCTACTTTATGCAGCAGGGTGGCATGTGTGTATGTTTGAAGGGGGAGTGTGATTGAGCTGGATCAAGGAGGGGTCTACAACCTGACACTCTCCAGTACAGCCTCCAGTGCTCTGGGCCCACCCTGAACCTTTCTTTCTCCTAATTAGGAATGACAAAGCAAAAGGAGCCAACACACCTCTGGACAGACATTTAATCTCATTCATTCATTTTGCAAATATTTATTAAGGACTCACTCTGAGTCAGGCTGAACAGAAAAGGAAGCAAACCAGGTCCCTGCTTTAAATCCCTGACTTCTAGAGGGAATTGGGAGAAAGGGGGGATGTAGCAAGACTACTGCAGAGAGAAGCATTAAATCAAACAGGTTACTCATTTGTGTCAGAGTGACTTCTGGGAGGGTCAAATTTGATGGGTTACCCAGGCCCAGGGTGGAGGCGGCTGTATGGGTGATGCTTGAGCTGAGATCTGAATAGCAGTTATGAAGAGGGGATGAAGACAGGGGATGAAGAGTGTACCAGGCAGAAGGAATTACAATTGAAAAGGCCCTGTGATAAGAATAAAGAAAAGGTCATCCCAGTTAACACACTGCTGTATTTATCTGAAGAACCAAAAAAAAAAAAAAAAAACCAAACTGCTAATATGAAAAACTGGATGCAAACCCCATGTTCATTGCAGATGCAAACTCCATGTTCATAGAGCCAAGAGCTGGAGGTTTCCTGAATGCCTGAATGCCTTTGGACAGATGAGTGGATTAAGATGTGGGATATATAACAATGGGATACTACCCATTAAAAAAAGGTGAAATCCTGCTATTTGCAGCAACCTGGTTGGAACTTGAGGGGATTATGCAGTGTCTGAGAAAGACAAACACTGTCTGATTTCACTCATATGTGGAAGAGAAAGAATGAACTAAATAAAACAAAAACAAACTTAGACTATAAAACCAAAGTAGTGGTTATAGGAAGGGTAAAATTAGGTAAGAGGGGTCAAGTGTATGGTGAAGAGTATAAACTGGACTCCTGGTGGCAAACATAATGTAGTATATACAGATGTTGATTTATAATAATATACACCCGAAACTTATATAATGTTATAAAGCAGTTACTTCAGTAAGAAATGTAAAAGGTCAGTGTAAGTCTGATCAGCAGGGCAAGAGTTAACCAGGCAGGTCTTACTTGTTAGCTTTCTTGGGAGACATAGCAAAAGATTTGTATATAATTAAGATTTATTGTCAAAAAGACAAACATTGGCCTTATAACGGGACAACCAAGACCCTCTAAGGTCTAGTGAGTGTCGCTTCTCATACTCATAGCTTGCTCACCCCACCATTCTCTGTCTCCCTCCTCCTCCCTGCAGAGAAACCACAGGCTTTTATGACTTCTCTCTTCAAAACTGAAAGGTCAAAGTCCCTTCAAGTAGGGCCTCACATGAGGTGATGATGCCTGTGAAACAGAAACCGAAGCTAAGAGACCTAAGCCTCAGCAGACAAAGATTTGCATCCCAGTTCCAACTACAGACTATCTGAGAGGTCTTGAGCAGGTTCATTTCCCATTTCTGGGCTTTGCTTTCGTGAAGATTCTGGAGAAGGCACGCACATGTTATGAATGGAAATTTCTTTATTTACTCTTCATTTTCTTGCCAGGCAAACAATGGAACACACTGGTGGTGGACCAGAGAACTGTTTCTATGGAATTCAAGGTCACAACTCAGAGGGGGATCTGGGCCTCTCCACAAATGCTCTCTCAGTTGCAGTGACAGAGACATACTTTCCGGCAGGAGGATTTATTCCATGTAGCTTGTCCCATACATTAGGAGGCGTGTAGAGCTCTGCTTCGCAGAGGCTGCTGCTTCTGGTGTGAGGGACTGTTGGCGGGAGAGCTGAACATGCATAAAGGTGTGGCTGACTTTTCTTGAGCACCTGACCTGGTTCAGCAAACAGGCTACAAATAGAGCAAGGATGCAGCCGACCACTAGTGTCAATTAATGCAGACCCCAAGGGAACCCCTACTGTCCCCACTTCTTGCAGTTGCTCCTCTCTGCAGGGATGTCCCCAATAGCTGGAACCATGACCACAGGTACCTTTGGGGAAAGAAAATCTAGTCTCTAACCAGAGAAATGCCAGGGAAGGGCTCCGTTTGGCCTCATGTCTACTCTTGATCTACTCATGGAGTCCAAGGGGATGGCCACTCTGCCCCCCTCACCACAGCTGGTGACCTTAACAGAAGGGCAGGGTCAGCAAGAACAGTGGCCGCCTCAAAGCTCTGAGCTGGGCAGGATTAGGGGTGGCAGGAGCAGCATGGAATGCCAGCCTTGTGCTTTTGGAGATTCCAGTTGAGCTGGGGACAACACTGCTAGTCGTTTGCAGAAACTGCAAAGCCAACTCTCAACCTGTAGGAGAGGCATTCACGGAAGGGGATAGTGCATCAGAGGCTGGTGTTGGCTGGGATAGAGGAGGAAGCCATGTGTTGGTGGTGAGAAACTGGACTGGATAGTGGGAGGCCTGGCAATGAAAAGCCTGGAAGCCACGAGGGAGAGTAACAGTGGATTGTACACCACTCTCTGTTCCTTTTACATGAGAAATAGTTGGGGAAAGGATATAGTGAAGAGGTGAGGGGACAGTCTTCAAAGGCAGGTGAAAAGGGCTTCATTCCCTCCATCACCTCTCCCCTAAAGGTCCCAGGTGGCCTGGAAAGGCCTAGTCTATTCTTATACACCGAGTGACTCGCCAATAGGAGTCAGGGCCTCACCATTTTGCTTCGATCTCCACCTGTGTTTCCTCCAGCTTATCCCTGCAGTCCCTTAAACTGCATTAGACTTACAGCAGGAATGTGGTGAACAGCAGGTTTCTGGGCTCATCCTGGTGGGGGAGGTGGAGTTCAGTGGGCCTGGGGAGAGGGCCAGAAGTCTGTATTTTTAACAAGCTGCTTCGAGTGTTTTCTGATGTGGTGGATGCGGCAATGTCCTTTGAGGAAAGTGATTCAGGATGATGTCAGAAGAAGGAGGGAGAAGGGGATTCTGGGACTTGTTTGCTGAAGGCTGATTTCTGATGGTCTGCAGCAGCCCTGAGCAAAGGGGCAGGGGAACGGGTAGAAGAGAAAAGGTCACCTGGACTCAGGGAGGTAGGAAGGAAATGACTGCAAGGGAGAGAGTGAAACATCAGTGAAAAAGCAGGGATGGGGTGGGGGGAGAGAAAAAGAGAGGAAATTCATTCAGAAAGGCCACTTTATTTATTGATGGAGATAAAATCAAAAGGAGCCCTCCACAGCCCTCCCTCACTCGCTTCAGTGGCTTCACTGGGCATCTGAGACCAGCATGGACGGGCTGTCACCAGCCCCACATGCCCGTGCCAGGTCAGGTGGCCACATTAACCCACATCACAGCTCATGAAGACTCTCGGATGCACCCCAGAATCCCCCAGAAGGATCCTGTGCATTTTTTTTTAATATTGTACAAAATATGTTAAGTAGGAAAGGTCAGCTGTGCTGTGACACTGGCAGGACGTCCTTTGAGGATGACCGTCCCCCAGACATTACTTCTTATTGCAGTGAAACCTCTAGAAGGTAGAGCTGTACAAAAAAAAAAATCTAAACAATTTTATTTTAAGAGCAGCAACTTAACACTGCTATAGTTCATTTAAATTTTCTTTCTCAAAAATACATTCCTAAATATACAAACTATACAATCTTGTCATTTTAATGCTGGTTTTTTGTTGTTGTTGTTTTTTAATAACAATAGAACCCAAACTAAAAAAAAAAAAAAATCTGTTCATCTTCACACCAACAAGAGCGCTAGAGGACTCGGGATTCGGGACCTTCATATAACACCACATAAATAACTTTAGCCACAGTCTATGTTCACAGCCTGGTCAGTGGAACGAAAGAAATACTTTGCTGGCGATTAAACATCGTCTGCAGAGAGGGTGGGGATATTCATCCGAGGCCGGGTGAAAAATGCCATCTTCTCCCTGTAAAAGAGGCCAACACTTTGGAGCAAGGGTTTTCAACATCACACAGTAGATGGGACGGGATGATTCTTGATGGTGGCGACTGTGTGTCACAAAGTGCTCACCAGATGCCAGTGGCAGCTCCTCTCCATGCCCCTTCCCGGCTGTGAAGGCCCAAAGGGCAGGCAGACACTGCCAAATGTCTCCAAAGTTGGGGCCAGATGGTCCCTGCTAGAGAACCACTGCTTTGGGGGATATTAGCAGGACCAGAAGCCTTCTGTACAAATCAAGGACCTCCCAGGGTGGAAAGGGCCTTCAATGCATGTGTATTTATTTTCAATTCCCCACTGGTTCAACATGAAGAGCTGTCTAAACATTGTCGTACAAATTCCAGAGGGGATGTTTTTTAGCCTCAACACAGAATACCTTATGGAGAGACCATCACAAGCCTTCTGCGTTGGGGAGTCCAGGGGCATAGTGTTTGGGGCCCTCCCGGTGACATATCTGCCCCAGAACGGCAAGAATGTGCATCTCTGAGATCCTGGCAGGCACTGGGCGGAGCTAAGGCAGCTAGGGAGCCCTTGCAAGCCTCCATCAGCCCCCAGGGCTTATTTATCATTCAGCCAATCCTCCATAATTACCCCATGGAAACATTAAGAGGAAAGGCTGAAGCAGGTGGCTTATTGATTAAATAAGAGGATCTAACAAATTAGCTTGAATTGTGTAGGGACAGATAAAAACAGCCCTGGGAAAGCACCGCAGACCCAGCAGCCCGAAGCCCGGGGGTGGCAGAGGAGGAGCCTCTGGCAGGAGAGCAGATGCTCTGCTGGAGAGGGGAGCAAGGGTGGGGTGCAGTGAGATGCAGAAAGTAATTAGGCTGGGCGGGCACCAACGCTCACCTGAAAGACTGCACTTCCGGAGGCTCCTTACAGCTCTGGCCTCGGAGCCTGTACACATCCTTGGCGGCCGCTCTCATCATCTTGTCTGTCTGAAGCTCACCCTTGTGCTCTGCTCGGTCCATCTGTGGGGAAAAACAAACAAGGCCATGAGATAAGAGACAGTGCTTAGGGCATCTGGAAGAATGTTCTAGCACAAATGAGGAGTCCATTGTAGTCCAGAGGTCTGGGAGTCGAAGAACAGACACTGTTATTCTTCCTCTTCTACTGTGGGATCCTCTTTGTCCAGAATAAGGGGAAATGTTCCCATCAGCTGTCACAGTGGACATGTTTTGGGGCCAGATAACCGAATATCACTGTGTACCTGTTTGAAGTAAGGAGGTGAGGGCTGCCTGGTAAAATGTGGCTACCTTCTTTGATCCTCAGGGTCCCCTAGGAAGGTAGATTTTATAATGATCTTTGTATCACAGATGAGGAAACTGAGGCTCAGGCATTTTCAGAAATTTTTTAGAAGTATTTTTCTGGTTTTTAGTTTTTATTATTAATTTTTTATGTAGTAAAAATGGTAGCAATCCAATACCAAGTCATGCAATTGTGCTCAGGGCTTTAGATACATTGCACCCTTTCTTCCTGATGCAAGCCTATGTAAGCATTTTTGAGAACAAACTTCACAGAGCCTTTAAATACCCATGTATTTGGGGGCCTCCCCTGGTGGCACAGCGGTTGAGCGCTGGGCTGCAAAGCTGCCCGCAAACTCTGCAGCGCCAGTTCGATCCCCGGCCACCCTCGAGGGTCCCACATGGCACGCAGACCTCTCCTGTCGTGCCCACTGCTCCCCTCAGCAGTGTACTTCGTCAGTCTGCCTGTTCTGTTCCCTGCTCTGGCTCTGGTGAATTCTCTCACCCTCCCGCGCTTCTGACTGTACCCAGTGCTTGTATAAATAAGTAAATAAATCTTTAAAAAAAATCCATGTATCATGTACTTGAAAACATTTTATGAAGACAGAATTTTGGTGAAGGGAGCCATTCTGTAAATGGCTCTTCACTTGGTCATTATCAGACAGTCATGGATGTACTATTTATATATGTATTTTTTCTGTTTCAAAGGCCAGGTTTTCTTAGTTTGTGTTTTCTTATGGCAGGGCATATATGTACTTGTTTTCTTACCTATTTTTGCCTTGGCTACCAGGAAGCTCAGAGATAGATGTAACAGACAACTGTACATAGGTTAGGAATATATCTATCTCATTCTCCTCCTTAAAACTTCCTCTAATTTTCTGTTTTATTGAAACCCTGATATAAGCATACTACTAGCTTAGAAAGAAATATACATTTCTGAAACTTTGACTTGCCAAAGTTAACTGGAAGCTCCCACCCTAGTCCAGACCTAAGAAGCTCAGCACAGCCTTCCTGCTGTGAGGCATCACCACTTGCATCCACCTTCCTGACAATCCAGCACCTGTAAAGTTCTCTTTGTACTCTCTGGCTGTGTGCATAGAGAACTAGCAAAGCACTGCCATTCCTGATGAACATGGAAGGCGTTACACGGATGTGTTGAGGTGGCCTCTGTGTGTTGGACCTGTGTTATTAACTTTTTCATGACAGCCTGGGACCTGTTAGCCTCAAAGCCAGTTTGGTCCCAAACTCAAATTTCTACCCATTCAGCTGCCTTAAATATCTGTACACAGGCAGATTTGTTGGCTCTTAGAACCTGCCTTCTTTGCATACCCCATAGGCTGCACCTTACACCTGCAAATCATAGAAAAGACAAACCCCAGGGCTATATACATGCAGCATGCTGCTGCTTTGTAGTTCTTTCACTTCCCACAGTGCTGCTGAGTGACCTCACCTCTGGAAGTCCTCTTGCCTTCCTCCCTTCTGTCTGGTGGGCCCAGCACAGGCACCTCTGGAAGGTGTCAAACTGTAAGGGACTTCCTCTGTGTGCAAACTTGTGGAAAGAGTGCCACTCAAATACTGCCATCTAAGTCATGTCTTCTTGCTCAAGCAACCTCAATTCCCTCAACCAAACTGCATTAAGGCAAGACCCCAGGAGGCTTGTAGTCTCAGGGTGTCTTGTCACTACAAAGCCCTGGCCTGACGGGCTCCTCTTCCCCTGGCCTGATCCTGGGGGTGTCAGTGTTCTATTTGAACTTGGCTGAAGTGTAAGCCCTAGCACAAATCTGGTACCCAATATGTTTTCTGGACTACATGGACACATATATACATGCATAATAAGGGCTTGCACACATACACACAGGAAGGTAGCCAAAGGGCCTGGCAGTTTCTCATCAAGACACAGCAAAGTTTACTGGGCACAGGATCCCTCTGCTGCTGAGAGTGAGGGACCTGTGGCCATTGTCTGTGAGTCACAGGACTGTAGCATTCATCAAAGCTCTGGCCTCACTCCTTGGTGGCTCCAAGAGCAGAACATGACACCTCCACAACCTGCCCTGGGCCTGGCCGTACTCACCCGCTTCTCCAGCATCCTCAGCAGCAGGCGGAAGCGCTCATCCTCACGAAGCCAATGTGGCAGCTCCTTCTCCCCTTGGCTCTTGGCTTGTTCGAGCTGCTCTTTGAGCTGCTTCAGCACCGAGATCTCCTGAGTCAGTTGGTTGTGCCATGTTCTGGTGGCCTGCAGGTCTAACTCCAGGTCCAGTGAAGTGCGGATCAGGCGCTCGGCACGCAGGGATTTGACTGATGAAGGCTGGAAGATGAGATGGTTTTGACCCATTATTGGGAGGCTGGATCCAGTGAACCCACACAAGCCATCTTCTGAACCTTAAATATCCTCCTTTGGTCACTGCAGTCTTCTACTTCTTCAAATATGAGGCCTGTTCTCCCTCTCTGAGAGGCCAATCTTGATTTCTCCCACTAAGGGGAAATCAGAGGGGGACTGAGGCTTGATGACATTGTTTTACCTGCTGGACTAACCCAGCCTGAATATCCTGGGAATGCCTACTAATTGAGCTAATAATTTCCAACTTATATTTGAGTTGACTTCTAAAGTTATATGCATGTAAAAGATCCTAAATAATATAATCACTAACTCCTCCTGTAAAAGTCAGTAGTGATTAAAAAAGAATAACTAAGGCCTCCCTGGTGGCTCAAGGAATTAAAATGCAACCTATGAAGCTATTTGCAGTCACTGCAGCACAAGTTTGATTCCTGGCCAGGGAGCTGCTCACATGGCACAGCAGACCTCTCCTGTCTCACCCGCTGCTCCCCTCAGCAGTGTATTTCAGTTGATCTGCCTGTTGTTCCCCATTCTATTTCTGGTGAATCCTCTCATCCCCCACACCTCTGGCCTATACCTCTGTTCTTGTATGCATAAATAATCGTAAAAAAAAAAGAATAACTAAAAACACAACAATAACTGACTGCAGGTAGGCAGAATTCTAAGACAGCCCCTAAGGTTCTCTGATATGTAAGCTCTGTGCAATGTCCCCATCCTCCCTTCAGTGTGAGTGGGACATGTGACTGGGAAGGGATGTCATTCTCGTGATAAAGAAACTAATCAGCTGATTTGAGTTAATTAAAAGGGAAATGATGCTGGTGGTTCTGATATAATCAGTCAAGTCCTTAAAATATGAGGCCCTAGTCGTTCTTGGGAGAGTTCCTTCCAGTTTTACAGAAGCAATGCATGTTGCAGACAGAGCCAGTCAGCATAGACTTGACAGTGACCTCCAGGAGCAGTTAATAGCTCCTGGCCTGCAGCTTACAAGGAAATGAATTCTGCCAACGACCCCAGGGAGGCTGGAAGCAAATCTTTCCCTAGCCAAACCTTCAGACCAGGATGTGGATGCAGACTGTCAACACTGAGATTTCAGCCTGGGGAGATGCGGAGCTGAGAATCAGCCATGGTGTGCCTAAATCCCTAAGCTGCAGTGATTTGTTCTGCAATAACAGCAAATTCAATAACCAATAAAGGAACTTGAGCAATGGTACAAGAAACAATACTGTAAGGCCCAGGCATGAAACATCTCAGTGCAGATGTTCGAATGCTTTTCCAGGGTGACAGCTGCCTAGTCCGTGCTTACAAAAGAGCATGACCAGGAAGTCCAGCTGAGTCACCTGTGTGACTCAAGTTCTCAGGCCACAAATGCTCTGCTCTGGCTAGTTTCCTGTGCTAGCACCTTGTCTGGATGTGCTAAAGCAGATTTGGCTCAGGGAGTGAGTGGAGAATCTGTGGTGCCCAGCGCCCTGGCCCAGCCTCTGGATTCCACTGCTCAAATCTAACATCAAGGGCTCCCCTGTGCTAAGGGGAAGAGGTGGTGCAGAGGGGGAACTTCTGTGGGGCCTGCCTTGGAAGGGAGTCCGAGGGAATGCAGGGGAGCGATAAGGAATGTTCAAGGTACATTTTTTCCAGGAGTGGACCACAGAACATCTGCTCCAAAATCCTCTGAGGAATTGATAAATGCAGTTTGCAGGCCCCCACCCCACTGGCCTTGATTACGTCATCTGGAGTGTGGACTTGGGGTCTTCATCTCAGTACCCTTGAGACACTGGCACCGGCCTGACGTAGCAGAAAGGATTGGGTGGGGGACCTAGGATGGCAGCACCTTCCACCTTTAGGAAGTCAGGTCCACATCCTCTCACGGTCAGCATTCTCTCCCTTTCCTCTGTGCCCTCTTCTCCTGGTCTCTCTAGTTCTTTCTAGAGAATTGGGGAGAGGGGTGGTGACAGACAAAGGTCCAGCTCCTGACTGTGGACTGTAGCTGTCAGCCACGGGGCTGCAGGAGATGTGGGGAGCCTCGTCTTGCCTGGGTCTGTGGGCACCCTGCTTTCGCTCTGCTCTCTCTCCCAGTCTTTTTTGTTTTTAAGTTTATTTCTTTATGCATATAAGAGCTGGGGTGTAGGCCAGAGGTGGGGGAGTGAGAGGATTCACCAGAGACAGAGTAGGGAGCAGAACAGGCAGACTGAAATACACTGCTGAGGGGAGCAGCGGGCGAAATAGGAGAGGTCTGCTGCACCATGTGGGTCAGATCCCTGGCCAGGGACTGAACTCATGCTGCAGTGGTTGCCCATAGCTTCATAGTACTGAGACTTAACCCCTTGTGCCACCTCTCCCACTCTTTCTGACATTCTGGCTCCCAGGTGGCTTCTGGCTCTGAACTCACTGCAACTATGCAAAGTTTGTGCTGACAGCCTCAAGGGGCAGGATGCTTCTACACTGGCTGCAGCCTTGACTGGTAGATGCTCCTATTCACCACACCACCCTACCCCTCAGCCAGGCTGCCATAAGGAGAGATTGCTCTGTAGGGACAGCTTGTGGCTTCTTGCCTGCACCTTTCCAGCTGGACCAAGAAGACTGCACCAGTCTAACCCAGCCGGCTTTGGGTCAGTGCTGGGGTGCACAGCTGGATGGCTGTCAGAACCTTTAACTGTTCTTAGCTCTAAGTCAGGGTCTTGTGTGAGGCAGGCCCTCTGGGCTAGTGAGTCCTTCGTGACTTTGAGTTCTACTAGGAAGGGGGCCAAGTATGCACACACCTGATCTAACTGGTCATGGTAATAATGTCACATTTACCCTGTGGCACCTTCCTCAGTGCCTCCACAGGCCTTAGTTCATAAATTTCAAGTGCCAACACCATCACACTCACAAAACACCCTCTTCTACCTAATGGCTGAGAAGTCATGGGCAGACCCCGGGGCTGGGTGCTCAGGGCACAGGGCCTGGGGAAACAAGGCAGCACAGACACACAACGAGTTCCTGGTGACTCTCACCCGCTTCATCCGGACGCTGCGCCGCTCCATGGAATTTCGAACAAAAGGTGGCTTCTTGGACAGTGTGGAGCTGTCACTGTCACTCCGGTTTAGCTGCAAGGAAAAAGTCATCGGTGTTAACTGACATCCAAGTACATTTTTTTTTAAAAGATTTATTTATTTATTTATTTATTTTATTTTTATTTATACAAGCACTGGGTACAGTCAGAAGCACGGGAGGGTGAGAGAATTCAGCAGAGCCAGAGCAGGGAGCAGAGCAGGCAGAAGGACCGAAGTACACTGCTGAGGGGAGCAGCAGGCGGCAGGAGAGGTCTGCGCACCATGTGGGACCCTCCTCTGGTGGCCAGGGAGCAGCCGGGGATTGAACCAGCGCCGCAGAGGCTGCGGGCAGCTTCGCAACCCAGCGCTCAACCGCTGTGCCACTGGGGAGGCCCCATCCAAGTACATTTAGATAGTACACTGGGGCCAGGAGAGTGGTGGGGTTCCCCCACTCAGCAAATGCCCAGTGTTTCCTGTTCTCTGGAGATTGCAGGAGGCTGCAATCCTTTGCAGCGACCTTCCTTTTTTTTCCCCCAAGGTGAATGCTCACTAAACACATACTCCATCATTCACATCTCAAGACGCTCTACATGTGACATCTCACTTAATCCTCCCAACAGCCCCATGGGATAGACGCATCACTATTCACAAAGAGGAGGCAGGGACTCAGGGTCTCCAGAACTGGCTCAAGGTTGGTGAGCTGGGAGCAGCACAGCAGAGCCGACAACAGATAGTGTGACATCCCAGGACATACTGGCCCCTGGGCCAACTACAACAAGACCCATTTGCAGTGATTCTTCCTTGTTGTCCACAGGTCCTACCTTTATGGCTCAAATGGAGCTACTGTGAAGACAGAGAGAGAAACAGAGAGAGAGAGAGAAAGAGAGAGAGAGAGAGAGAGAGAGAGAGAGAGAGAGAAAGGGAGACCAATGGCAATGCCTCTAACACCCCAGCCTTGAGAAGATGGGAGAATGGGCTCTGTGAGATCCATGCAGTTCAGGGCTCTCTCCTTCCTCAGAATTCCTCCAGTCAGTTCATTTATGGGTTCTCTCCCAAAGCGCTAATGTCCCCTCTCTGTAGCCAGAGAGCAGGGCTGTGGTCCAGTTGAGATGCTTTTGTACTGAGCGCCCCCCTCACCAGAGTAGGACCCAGAGTGGGGGTGACAGCACATCCCAGGAGATGGTGAGGGCAGGACTTCTTTCTCCAGACACATTTCCAAGCTGGTGGTATCACCACCAGCTTATGCCACCCAGCAGCTTGTTATGGCAGCTTGCTGCCACAGGCCTCTCCTGGGAATTGGTTCCTGATGTCACTTCTGTGGTTATTAAAAATTATCAGTGATAATGATATTAATCGCCCTCAAAGGTGATGAATAGAGGAGCCCCACGGACCTGACCGGTGAAGCAGCTATTGTGACAGGCAGTCTCCGGCAGAGACAGGTAAACACAACAGCCACATGGGTGGGGCACCTACTCTGCACCGCATACTTTATCGACAGTTTCATTTAATCCTCACATAATCCTAGTGGAGGAAACTGACATCAGAGAGATCGAGACACTTTTACAAGTTGAACAGCTGGTGAGCATCAGGACAAGAGTTCAAGGTCCCACCTGTTTGATCCCACAGCCACATCCTCTCCTGGCCCCTGGGAAGCTCATCAGGTTTAGAGATGAGATTAACATATGGATTGACGGGGGCTGTGGACCACAGTGACTGCAGGTGGACGTGTGCAAACAGACTGTCTGGATATCATCCCTCAAGGGGGCTTTACCCTACATTGTTGGCCCCACAGTCATGTATCACACATTTAGAAATGTGCTTCAGGGCAACTGATCCTTAACTCCTGGCTGCTTGTGTGATAATGACCATGTTGAACAAGAGCAGCAGAAGTAACCTTAAGTCCTTGAGCTTAACTTTTCTTATAGATACTTGAGTGCATTTAAGCTCAGACATGGTAAAGAATATTGTTGCTTTGTTTTATATCCATGTAATAGTGAGGGACTCTGAAGAGCAGAGGGCTGAAATAATGGAAAGTTGCAGGGAGCTAGTGCACGAATGAGAATTTTGGAAGGACAGTATTTATCAGATCAAAGCGAGCCAACCCACAAAGATGGCAGCACTCCCGGTAGATAAATACACAGGTTATGGGGTGTGTGATCATTGCTACTACCTCTTGGACTCAAAGTTCAGTGGGGGGTCCAGGCTAACTTAAGTGACACAGACCATGCTGAACAGCAAGCAGAGGGCACTTGGTGTGCAGAGATGTGGCTTTGGGCCAGCAGAAGGGATTACTGGTATCCAGAACAGAAGATGGCAAAGATGTCCTTCAGGAGCTGGCTGGTTCACAGAAAGGTAGCAGGTTCTGTAGTCAGACTCCTGGCTTTGCACTCAGGACTGAGGGACCCAGGTAACCCTGACTGTCTGAGCATCAGTTTCTGCATCTATGAAGTGGGTTAATACAACTTGCCTCACAGGGCTGTCTGTGAAATTAGATGACACATGATATGATTTTTTTTCTTGGGAAGGTTGCTAATTAGCATGTGAAACTCCACTCTGTGGGTAGGGAAATCCTCACCTATGACTCTTGATGGGAGACAACGTCACCTCCCACTCACAAAGCTGAGATACCAGAGTCCTCACAAGGGCTCCCTTGTAGCCATGGCCAAGCCCAGGGCAGGGTTCTGCCTATTACATGCAACCAACTCCAGGCTTTGCATCACACCCTGGTTAGACTAGACCAATTTATGCTATTGAGCCTCTTAGACTTAACAGGGCCTCTCTCTTTTGTTCCACAATCATCTCATGTTTGTTGGGATCTCAGGGAGAAGCCACAGGCAGTGAGACCTGGTGGCGGCGCAGCCACCAGAACTTGTGGCCTCCTGCAGTAGCATGAGTGTTGGGGGATTAGTGATGAGCCTGAGGAAGCAGCGGGGCCAGCTGGGGGCAAGTTCTAAAGCAACATTGGTGGGGTCCTCACCTGACTGCCTTCGAGGTATGATTGTGCCTGTGGCCTGGCCTGCTTTATTCCTAATTTCTGAAACTGGTTCTACAACTTTCTGTTGAATAGTGAGCTACTCCATTTTCTTCCAAATAATCTTTCCTGCACATAGTGCTCACAGTCTGTTTCTGGAGTTTGCCATGAAGAATCCTGACAGGTGCAGGGCATGGTACTCAGAAGTGGAGTGCTGGAAGTCACAGGCTGGAAAACAGGGAGCTGCTGTGTATGCAGTAGGTTAGGGCCCACATAAACATGACATTCCCTACTGGGAACTGGATAATGTTCATTTTGTGGGTACAAAAGAAAGGGTTAAATCTTTACTTGTATCTCAGGAGATAGACAGGAGAAATGACAGGAAAAAAATTCAGGATGTTGGACTCTTGGCTCTTTTTTTGTAGCTTTCAGTCAGAGTCTACAAGGACATAAGCTTGGGCTGACAAGGGCCAATTAGAAAGCAGAGAAGGAAAACCTATGGCTTTGCTAAGAAAGGTCCTTTTTGCCTATGGCTGTGATCCAACCAACTCAGAATCTCTTCATTTGCAAACTTGCAGAATTGGAAACTGGTCCAGATAATAAAATAAGGGAATGGTCCAATGCAGAAGCAGGTGTGTGGTGGATGCTTAATAGATAGGACCAGAGCACCTGGTTATCTGAAGGTGCCAATTCTAGACAAGGGGGACTGAAGGTCATTTAAACAGGGGACCAGAATGTTATAGTAAATATTGGAAAAGAAAATCTTTTAGTTTACAAAAGTTATATTTTCTATTATCCACTGAACAAAATAGCTACGGCATTCTAATTAATCTTTACAGAAAGGAATGATTCTAATGCAATTCTCCTGATGATGGACGTCCTTCACATTGCATCTGGTTTCCACTGCACTTTTGAAGGCTTTTAATTTTGTCCAAAACATTCCAGTTTTATTCATTATCCTATGGGCTTTCCTAAATCCTCCAAATTATTCACAGATGAAACCAAGGTTGGATTTTTCTCTTCTTTGTGTGTAAGCTGGCTTAATTTCTGGATCCTTTCAGCTGTGATCCGGAATTCCCCCAACATCAAAATCACACTCAGTGACTTCAGGAACCCTGTGTACCACTTGCCAGAACTCAGTCCACATGCAGTGCACTTGCACTGACTTCTCAATCTTCACTAGCTCAGATGATGAGCTTGAGACCGGACAACAAGGGAGGGGCTATAGGCAATGCTTGGGCAGGAACTCATTTGATAAGTAGCCAGTAATTTAGTGGAATGTTCATGGATGGCGGTAGGTCTTGGATTCTAAATACCAGATATCAAGAACTCCCACCTCAAATAACAAGAGTTAAGTGCTACATGTTGAGGATGCGGGAGCGGGGGAGGGCTCCATAGACCTGTTCTTCTGTGATGACTTTTTGGAGCATTCGGCAGGAAGGTTCAAGGTTATGCTTGAAGGTTCAGTTATGCTGCTGGTCATTGCTCAGTGGTTCTGAACGGAGGGGTCGATGCTGACATGCAACTGGAGCTCTGAGCTCAGGGACGGCGTGCAGGTGTCTTATCTGAGCTGTTCCCGAGGAACAGGGTCTGACTCTGTACTACCAGCACCCAGAGGACCCCTCAGATTTGGCCACTGCTCAAACACTCCATTCCTCATAGAATCAAAGTACTGAAGGCCTAAGAAGGGGCAGACTAAGTGGAAAGCAAGGGAAGGCCTCCTGCAGAGGGTGGGAAGGAAACGCCTGCTTGGGGACAATGAGAGGTCAATCAGGTCTCTGTGAGTGGGCACTGGAAGGGGAGGGGAGAGCTGGCTGGACTTACAATAACACCAGTCACATAGTGGTCACCAAGACTTTTCCATATTATCTACTGTAATCCTTAAAACAATCCCATGGAATTGGCCTATTAACTCCACATGAGGAAAGAGAGGCTCAGAGGCACTGCCTTGGCCGAGGGTAATGATAAAGTAACTGGAACTTGCATGCAGAACTGTGTGAGGCTGCAGGCTCCTGCTCCTCTGTGGGAAGCAGATGTTCTGGGAGCAGGAAAGTGTCTCCTGCTTGCTTACCCGGCACACGTATTGGCTCTGGGGTCCTGGGGAGAAGGTCTTAGAGCGGATGATGGTACTCCCTCGAAGAAATGGCCCTGGAGATGGTGCCCCCACCCGCCGGTCCTTGGGCCGCACCACCGTGGGAGATGGGGTGGGGGTCTCTGTGTTGGTCTCTTTGTCCACCTGAGGAAGAAGTCACAGCTTTGAGACCACTGTAATCCATGGAGTGTCAGTCATCTTTCCCAAGACTCTTGGGACAAGCCTCCCCAGCTGCCCCAGATCTTGTCACCTCACCTTTGGCTGAGGGAGGGGTTTATGTTATTTCTGGGAGGGGCTGCAGAAAATCTTTGTGTGGGGACTAATTCTATAAGCAGCCAGTAAATTAGTGGAATGTTCATGTGCTAGAGGTAGGTCTTGGATTTTGGGGACTTGCTTGGTTTCAGTCTAGCCCCCAGGCCCTGAGTGCTGACCCACCTTCCTCAATGACACCCCTGGGAGAATATTCAGTCTCCAAGTAAGCTCAGGTGACTCCAGCATTGTTGTCACAGCCTCTCAAAACTGGTGTGCAGAGCACATTCTGGGGAAACCACACCCAAAGCCTCTAGGCTGCCCCAGCCAAAACCCACAAGTGCTTTGTTGGAGTTACTGAGACAATAAGCAAGTCTGGCTTTTCAAACTTAGTCATCAGGTTTTCTACCATCCCTCTTACATGGTAGTCAATAAAAGAAGCAGAAAAACTACCTCTGTCAACGTAGGGCCTCTGTCAGCTTAACCAATGCCTTTTGGTAATTTTGAAAAAGGTACCCGCTTTGGCTAGAGAAATTGCCAATAGCGTCTTCTCCATCCCCTCTCACCAGACACATCTGTGCACCACACAACCTAAAGCCCCAGCCTGGTGGTGAGGGCTCTGCGCCCACACGAAAGCTGCTGTTTCTGAGGGTACTGCAGGTGCAGGGCATGGAGACCTCTCTGAGAAGTGGATCCCATACCAGGTAAGCCCTCTACAGCAGGGTGGCAGTAGGTGAGCACATCCAACTGCACACACTTTTCCTGTGGCACTTTGGGCAGACCCAAATGAAGAGACACGTTCCATCAAAATCCCAGAACCCAAGTGGAAGGCGGCTATGACTGTCCATTTTAGAGATGAGGACATGGAGGCTTGAGGGATAATGAGGCAGGTTCTCTGCCTAAGATCACACAGATAGGGTGGGGCAGAACAAGGATTTGAACCCAGACCCACCTGGCTACAAAGCCTGAGGTCTGTCCAGAGAAGTGGGGAACTGCAGGAGGGCAAGAGTGATGAGGGGTGAGTCAGTCTCTCCTGTTTTACTGTTACTGAAATGTCACAAAGCACAAGCAGGAACACTCCCATAGAACCTTCTGCAGGCCACCCCATTCCGAGGGCCTGGCCCTATTGCAAAGTATAGGACGCAGGCCCAGAATTTTCTGACTCCTGGGCTGAAGGATTGAGGAGTATTTCCCCAGGACAGCCCCACCCTTCTTCTTGGTTCCCCTACCTTTAAGGCCTGACATTTGTCCATGTCTGGTGAAGCTTTCTCAGTGAAAATGTCCTCTCCCTCCTCCTCCTGCTCCTCCTCTCCATCCTCCTCCTCCTCCTCTCCTTCTTCTTCAGCCGCCACCTCATTCTCAGGAGTCTCCTCGTACCTCCTGCAATGACAAAGTGTTTGGTTACCCACTGGGAGGCCACTATGATCTGCACACCTGCCTTTAAAAGTTCATCCAGGGCTTCTCTGGTGGTGCAGCGGTTGAGCACAGTGCTGTGAAGCTGTCTGCAGCCTCCACAGTGCAGGTTCAATTCCAGGCCAGCCAGAGAGATTCCCACATGGCGTGACAGAACTCTCCCGTCTCGCCCGCTGCTCCCCTCAGCAGTGTATTTCGTCAATCTGCCTGTTCTGCTCCCCGCTCTGTCTCTGGTGAATCCTCTCACCCTCCTGTGCCTCTGGCCTGTACCCCAGCTATTGTATAAATAAAAAGTAAATCTTAAAAAAAAAATAAATGAAAGTGCATCCAGGGCAGGGCTTCCAAGTATTTTCTGATTTGAGGACACAGTTTTCTGGGGTGAATTTTTGCCGTCTGGAGAAAATTTTCACCTTTTCTCCCCCAGCCAAACTCCCCAGTTTGCAGCAAGTGTAGGGGGCCTATACAGCCTCAAGGCATCTGGATGGGGGAGAAAGTAGTGAGGTTCAAAATCTCTAACAACTGAAGGAGGTAATGACCCAGGTCCAAGTGGGGAAGACTCAGCTATGAGGAAGAAGTCCCGGAGTCCCGAGGGAGGAGGATGAGGATAATGATGGATCAATCAGGGGTTGGGGCTAAAGCTGTTCACCGGAGAGTGTGGGAAATTTCAGCCTCTCCCAGCAGCTCCAGAGGAGGGAAGGACTGGGCTGTCTCCTTGTTCTTGGGGGTTGTGTGGCCTTGTCCTCACATGACATGTCCCCCTAGTCCTAGCAGAACTGTGGCACAGGCCAGAGGTGTGCTGCTGAGGGGAGCAGCGGGCGATACAGGAGAGATCTGCTGAGCCATATGGGTTAGGCTGGAGATCAAACTCAGGCTGCAGTAGTGATAGCGCTGAGACATCTAGGCCACCAAGGAGGCCCTGTTTCCATTTCTTAACAATTAAGAATAAAGCTATGACATTCATGTAAGTCTGTGTAGATACAGGTTTTCATTTTTCTTGGATACTGTGTTTGTTGGCTAGGGCTGCCATAACAGCACCACAAGTGAGGTGGATCCAGCAACAGAAAAAATATACGACGTCCAAGATGAAAGTGTGGGAGATCTCATTTCCTCTGAGGCCTCTCGCTATGGCTTATATATGGCCTTCTCCTCACTGTGTCCTCGCATGGCCATCCTCTGTATGTGCATCCTTGGTATCTCTCTGTGTCCAAACTTGCTCATCTTTCTTGGGGGGAAGATTTATTTATTTATACAAGAACCAGGGTACAGACCAGATGTACGGGAGGGTGAGATGATTCACCAGAGACAGAGAAGGGAACAGAACAGGCAGACTGATGAAATACACTGCTGAGGGGAGCAGCGGGCGCGACTGGAGAGGTCTGCCGCGCCATGTGGGCATCTCCACAACCGGCAGGGATCAAAAGGTGTTGCAGAGGCTGCGGACAGCTTCACAGCTCTGCGCTCAACCACCTGCACCACCAGGGAGGCCCAAATTTGCCTATCTTAAAAAGGATCCAATTATCCTGGAAGAGGGCCCACCCAGACTTTAATGGTCTCATGTTAATTTAATCACTTTAAAGGTCTCCCCAAATACTCCAAATATTCTGACATCCTGGGGGTGGGGTGTTAGGCTTCAACATAAGAATACGGAGTGTATATGTGAGGGACACAATTCAGACCATAACAGATAGATACATAGGAGGAGAATTGTTGGGCCACACAGTAAGTATATTGTATTCTTTTAGGAAGTGGACACATTGGCTTCTAACATGGTTATGTCATGTGGGCTGTGATAAGGATGTGATGAGAATTCCAGTTCCTCCTCTACACCTGCCACTGTCAACCTTAAATTTAGTCATTCTACTAGGTATGACTCATATCTCATTGTGGTTTTAATTTGTACTTTCCTGCTCAGAATCTTTCCATGCACTTATTGACCACATATATGTTTTCTTTTACAATGTGTCTGCTAGAATCTTTAGCTCATTTAGCCCTGAATTACTAATCACTTCATTATTGAATTTTATGAGTTCACTATGTATTCTGCAGTCAAATGCTCTACCACTGAGCTATACCCCCTCACTATGTATTCTGAACACAAATTCTTTGCATATATTTTCTCCAAATCTGTCACTTGCCTTTTCCTTTTCTAAATGGCATCTTCCAAAGACCATGACAAGATGGTGGCAAAATGCAATTTACCAAATTTTTTCATTTACAACTTGTGCTTTTATGTCCTATCCAAGAGAACTTTGCCTACCCCAAGCTGCAAAGAATTGTCCCCAAATTTTATAGCTTTCGTTTTTATGTTTAGCTCTAGGATCCATTTCAGATTAAAGAGCTAAATTTACCTTTTTCCACGTGGCTATCCAATTGTTCCAGCACCATTCGCTGATGAGACTTCACTTTGGATGAGGTTCTTTATAATTATCCTTTTCCCTTGACTCCAGGGTTGGAAGGACTAATTTTTTTTTTTTGATATTTATTTTTTTTAATTAATAAATTTTATTTTTATATTCCTCATACATTTGCTTTTTTTTTGATGGTTATATTCTTTTTATTTTATAAATTAATGTATTTATATATATAATTTTTAAAATTTTTTTACATCATTGTTCATTTTTAAACAATATATGCTCCCCCTACCGCCTCAGGTGTAGTCCCCATAGAGTTTCCTTCACCAATGCACCCATGAACCATCATCTCAGTCCCCTGTGCTCCTCCTTCCCTCCCTCCCTCTGATCCCTCTGCCTCCTCCTCCCCTGCAGGATGTCTCTGATTTATAATTGTCTGTTGTTGCTTTGTTTTGTTTTGTACTGTTATTATTTTTTTACACTGATGTCTTATTTGGTTCCCCTATATTCCTGCTATAAGTGAAACCATCCGATACTTTCCTTTTTCAGAAGGACTAATTAGGGCTGACAAATGGACACATTTGTTAATTAGTCATTTGTGTCTATTTCCATCTTTACTTCCCAAAGACATACATAACTGCCAGGCTGTTGAGCAGCACTCGACAGTGTCCCCACACTGAGTTGAAGGAATTCTGGCCAAAAGCAGAGATTCTGACATCTATTTCTCAGGCTCAGTGAGGCTCGATAAACAAAAATCTCTTTTAGGAGTTTCCCAATTGGAGAACAGCTCCCTGATGAAACCTTCCTTGCACTTAGAAGGTCTGACTGCTCTGGAGGGGTCTTTGCTCTCCCCCTTTCTGTCTACTCATAAAAGAGGCATTAAATGTGGAAATCCTCGGGGAGCACCTCCCTAAAAGCCCCACAGATGCCACATGAACCAGCACTCACTGAGGCCCTAATAAGCTCCAGGTGCCTAGCTGAGGCCTCACAACAGTACAGAAAGTGATTATTGTCTCCACTTCACAGACTCAAGAGCCAAAGATCAGAGGGTTGACAGGCCTCGTCCAGTGTCACAGGCACTAAGTGGTGGAACCAGAGCTCCCACCCAAGCTCATCCAATTCTCTGAGGCGTTCAACTGCTATGAAGTCAAGCACTCAAGCGCTCATCGTGCTTACTGTGAATCTGATCTAAGTATTTCTGGAAAGGGGGAAAAAAACTCAATTGTGAAGAGGAAAATTGTCAAAAGAGACATTTTTCACATCTAGGAGTGGCAAACATATGTATCTGGAGAGACAGACATATGTTGCATATTGATTTCTCTATAGAGCAGATATGTGATAGTCATTCTGATGCTACATGTATTATACATCTGTGTATGTGTGTCTATCCATCTATATATCTGATTTAGCCGTGGGTTGCTGGTGAAGGTACAAACATAGGCATATCCCCGAGGGTAGAGTAAATAAGAGTGGCCCAAATTACACTCTGAAGGCAATTCAGCAGTACTGGCTTAAGTTTATAAAGTACATATTCTTTGAAGTACCCTAGTTGGATTATACTGAGTGTTGGAGATGGAGAAGGTTTCAGGGAACTCTTGTTGTGGCGAATGGGAGCATTGCCTGGCAGCATCTGAACTATTCTGCAACGCCTATTGCAGTGCCCCCCCTCAACCTCTACCCTGGACAAACACACACAAGTTCCCAAGCAGGCAAATATGAGGATTTTCATTCCAGCCTTGTTTGTGATTATAGTCTCCTATATTTTCTAATACTCATAGTTTTGCTTTGCTTGTGGATCTTTAAAAAGCAAAAAGCAACAATAATCCAGTCTTCTGATCATAAGCACTAAAGAAACCTAAACCAATAAAAGGTGGAGAAACAATGGTGCTCTGGACCCTGGGTGCTAGGGGAGCGGCGTAAATTAGAATAGAGGGCCAGTCTTTTGCAGACCTCCACACAGGACTCCAGCACTAAGCAGGCCTGGCGAGGCTAGTTAACATTCCAGGACCAAAAGAAGCCTTCAGCCTGGGGGAGGGGGCTGCAGATGGATTTACTCCAATACAGCAGCTCTGGGATTCCCAGCTCTTTTTGTAAGTCAGTGTCTAGGGAAGTCTGAATGGCAAGGGATGGGGGGGAGAGGGTCACAAAGGGAGAGAGAACAGAGGGTGGTTGCTAGGAGATGGCGTGAAAAGTCTCAATACAAGCTTGGAATTTGGCGGAAACCACTGATCTTGTGCCAGAGTTTGGAAGATAGGTCCTGGGCCTATTTCCGGCATCAGACCTTTTGCCTGGTCTGCATCACTGTGTGAATCACAGCCGATCAGCCCAGCAGTGTATCAGAGAGAGGGAAAGCGAAGGCAGGAGGGAAGGTGGGAGGGAGAGAGAGAGAAAAGGGAAAGAGGGATGAAGGAGAGAGGTGGAAGAAAGTTAGGAAGGAAGAAAAGAAGGGAGGAGCAGAGAGAGTTGGGCATGAGAGAGGGAAAGAGAGGGGTATTGGGCGCGAGAGAGAAGAAAGAGGGAGGAAAGCAGAGGAGACAGAGAAAAGATGGGAGAAAGAGGGTGGGGGAGAAGGAAGAGCAAGAGAAAGGGAGACAATTTTGAGAGAACTCCAAAACAAATAAACACAAAACTTCAGGAAACGCGCCACTCCCTTTATCACATGGAGGAATAAATATTAAAGTGTTCAATCTGTTGGGGAGTACAGCCCCTGCCTGTTCTTGGACAGTTCAGACTATGAAGGATTTTTATCTTTTTAAATGGTTGAGGGGGAAAAGCAAATGAATGCTATATCATGACCTGAGCAAATGATATAAAATTACAATTTCAGTGTCAGAACCAAATCGGGGTTGCACAGTCTACACTGCTTTGACATCTACCACAGCAGACCCGAATAGATGCAGCAGAATTCCTGGGACCCGCAACACAGCCACATTGACCATCTGGTCCTTTCCAGAAAACAATTGCTGACCCCCACCCCCTGCAGGCAAAAATACTGGCAAGACTCCCTCTGAGATTGTTTATACCACTTGCGGCAGTACTAGAATAAGGAGAGTTACTGAGTGTTTCCTGGGGTCCAGGGTCTGTATAAGCGCTTACCATGCATCGTTTTATCAAGCCTACAAAACACCTGTGAGGTAGAGGCTGTTTTTTCAAATTTTTATTTTACAGATGAGGAGATGGAAGATTTGAGCCATGGTTCTCAGTTAGGGCTGTGTGTTAGACGTCACCCAGAGCCAGGTTCTCACAGAAGCTGGTTGGTGAGATGCTGTGTCCATACCTATTTGAATCTGGAGCACTTAAACTGGACAAGATTTCCTGCCAGAGGGCAAGGTCCGGATGGTGGTCATGTCCACGGAGGGGATCTGCCCTTTCCTTTTGTAGCTGGTACTCTGTGATGTTCCTTCTTGTCTTGCTAATAATTTCTACCACCTCTTTAAGTGTCTACTGTGAGCCTTACACTTGCTCCTCAGAAGTAGCTTTTCCATCAGCCCTTTCTAATAACCTCAGGCTGTTGACATGATGTCCCCAAACTTCAGCTGAGGTGCAGACAAAGTCAGAAAGACAATATCTGCCAGCGGATGGCCATGAGGGACAGTGACTGGGAAGAAGCATGTGGTGGCTTCCCAAGTGTGGGTGCTGCTTGGCTTCCTGATTTGGGTGCTTGGTTTCTGAAAATTCGATGAGCCCTATGCTTAGGTTAACTTTATTATATGTAGGTTATAACTGCAACAAAAAGTCCAGGTTACATAAAAAGAGTGAGGCTTGGATTTGAGCCCTGGTCTGCGTCACTGCTTCCTGAATGGGTGAAGAGGCCCTTCTGAGGGCAGACAAGGGACCAAAGGGCACTGAGTTGCCTTTCCCTTTCAGATCTCCTTCAGACCTTCTGGCCGCAGCAAGGAGTCTCCCTGTGGCAGTAGTATCCCTCTGGTGTGGCTGAACACTCGCTAATCTTCCTGTTTGGCAACAGGAGAGACTTCAGTGTTTAAACCTTAGCAAGTAACATATCTGCCTAGACTCTGATATGCTTGTTTCATGTTCACTACATTTAATTTTCTACAGTTACCTTTAGAGGCAGACTTGGCTCTTGGTCTATTCCATATCCATTCCCACTTTCTTCCTTGGTAACAGTACCAAACTAACAGGCCTCACTTCCCAATCTCCCCAGCCATCAGGGGAGCCAAGTGGCTGAGCTTGGCCAAGCAGAATCAAGTAGAAATTGCTGGGTGAGATTTTCAAGAAGACATCTTGGTGAAAAGGCATGTAGGCACACCCTTTTGTTTTTCCTCTTTCCTAATGCCATCCGGATGGCTGGTGACTCAGCAGCCATTTTGAGCTATAAAGCGGTTTTGGGGATGGAGGTCACACAGTAAGGACTGTTAACAAAGCACAAAGAGGGGCACTTGGGGTCCCACTAATACTGTGGAGCTGACAGACAAGACTTGGCTTGCCTCCTCCCATCCTTCTTCTTTTTAAGTAACAAAAAACTTTCATCTTACTTAAATATTATTTCTGTTCTGTTTCTAGTAGTCAAACGCAATCCTTATTGGAGAAAATTCAGCTTATGGCAAATTTTACTTATTTTCCAATTATAATATAAAATTTCTTCCAAAGTTTTTAAACCAAGATCAATGTAAGTCCATGAAGAAAACACTAATATTAGTTGTGAACTGGCATGAGTGATTCAGGGAACACAAAATGACAAACTGGAAAGGGATCTGGGTGAGGATCTGCAGTGTGAGGTTATATATTGCCTGCTGCCTGCAGAGAAGCCACAAGAAGAGAGATTCTCAGTTCTCAGGGGAAGCTTTCCTTTAGTTGCTGTAGTGTCTGGGGATCTCAGGTGAGTGGGGATCTTAGGATCCCCAGGTCTGGGGATCTCCGAGCCAGGTGAATTTCTGAGGCCCAAGGGAGTCTTCACTTACCAGCTGTCTTCCAGGGTCTGGACACTGTTTCTTCCTTCCTGCCGCTTCTCCAGCTCCACAGCTGTCTGTTCCAACAGAGCCGACACGGCATCCTGTGGAGACAAAGCAAGATGGGGTCATCGGTGCCACAGTGGACAGCCCCACCTGGAAATACTATCCTTAGTTCTTCTCCCTACTGGGAATAACCCTTATATATGCAGGGACAGAGTTTTGGAAGACAACCCCGTTTAGTAGCTGAGTGGAAGAATTCTATGTCGCTGTAAGGAGATGACTGTGTTGTCAGGGAGACCGACACCTGAACCATCAATAACAATGTGAGAAGGCCTATAAGAGAAGTAAGTATTGGATGTTTGGGAAAAAAGGAACAGGAGAACTTGGAGAGCTGCATTCAAGGAAGGCTTCCTGGAGGAATAGAACATCTGAGCCATGTCTACTGGGAGGAAATCTGTGCAACTTCAGGAAATTAAGTTCTCTGAGATTCCATTTCCTTTAATAACTATTACAAAGGATTTTTTTTGAAGACGGATTGGGAATATATGTAAAAGACAGGCAGAAGGGTACCTGGCACATTGGCACTTGGTAAGTGACAGCTAACAGTAAAGCAAAACTGAGCTTAGTTTTTGGAGCACATGGTTCATTTACAGTTACCATTGCTAGTGTGGTCCAGAGCCTGGATAATTACTGTGACTACCTTTTGGGGAAGGAAAGAGGAAACTAAAATCAAGGGCACCTGGTCTGCCAGGCACTGTGACAGATGCCTACGCATAGCATCTTACTGAATATTTACTGCCATTCTGACTGGTAGAGATTATAATTATTAAAAAGTGGAAGTGAGGCAACCAATGTGTCTTGGCTTGAAGTTATTTTCCCAGTGAGATGCTCCAGAAAACACAGAAGTCTTTTTTCGAGACTCAGGCCAATCACCCTCTCCCTTTTGGGGTGCGGGAGACCTGCTTGAGACCTAGCATAGTTGTGGACCATCAGATAATTCAGTTAACATTTCTGAGTCTTGGAAAACTGCACATAATAATAAATGGGATTGTGCCTAGTACAAAAGGAAGTGCAGAAGGAGAGGAAGAAGATGATGATGAAAAAGGTGAACAAGAAGAAAACAGGTTTGTTTCTTACTCTTATCTTACCTCTGTGGTCTATCCCACCCCCTTTATCGAAAGTCTGGGTTGTGACTCTCCAGAGTAACCATGTACTGATGGAAGGAAGGCACATGACAGAGAAGTACAAGCTGACACTCCCAGACACTATTTGGCTCTTTTGTGCTGTCAGGAGCTCACCAGGATCCCAGACTCTGATATTCTCCGTCTAGAGGCAACTTCACTGCTCACCTGAGCCCTGGCCTGTCTACCTGGCCAGCAGGTGTGGGCTTCCCAAGTGCAGGAAACATGTTAAGGATATTTTAATCACAAAATATATTATACCAAAATGAAAATGACTTTTTTTTTACCAAAAATAAACAAATGTAAGATTTTCAAAAAATTTAATAATAGAACAGGTACCATTCATCATGTGCTTACCAGTGCTCTTTATATGTACTCCTTCCAAGTTTCAGAACAACTTTCATAGACTCAGATTAGACAGGAAAAAGTGGCATCTCAGAGAGGTGAAAAGAATGACCCCTGTCACCCAACTCAGAAAGGCCCAGGCTCTGGCTTGTCATTCCCTGACCTGCTACCTCCACGATGGAACCCAATGCACATAGTAGGCTCTTGATCAAGGCTCATTTCTAGTTTCCTATCTTCCACAGGTTGCTCTTTCCTTCTGCACTTCATTTTTTAAAAAATTGTGAACTAAAAGGTTTTCATCAGGCAAGTTGTATTGGTCACACAAAGGGATGGGCAGGGAAAGCACAAATGCAGAAGGGACCACTAGTAGGGGTCTCTCCTTCCTTGTCCTCTCCGCTTCTCCATCTCTGATGCCCCACCTCCAGCTCTAAGAGTCTTCCACCCAGGCTGGTGCTGCGTGTGTGTGTGTGTGTGTGTGTGTGTGTGTGTGTGAGAGAGAGAGAGAGAGAGAGAAAGAGAGAGAGAGAGGTGTGGTGGTGGTGGTGGTGGGTAGGTGGGGGTGGTGGCTCACCGTGACTTCAGGCCCTGGGCTGGGGGCCATGGCTCCCAGTGGCTTGGGCTCCCTGCTCTGTTTCTTCAAGTATTTGTAGCTCAGGAGGTTGTACCAGCGAGTCGACCTTTCCCCAGACCGGGAGACCTCGGCCAGGCTGATCTGGGCACCTCCCTGTCAAGGATAAAAAGAGCATAGTATAAGCAGGGATGATGAAGTGTTCTGGGAACCTGGATCCTGGGGAAAGGTCCTAGAAGTTTCCCAGTTGTTAACCATTTCATTTCCGATAATGCACCCATTCACTAACTTATTTATTCATTCTTTGCTCATTTGCCCTGTCTTCAATGAGCACCTAGCATACGTTCTTTTTCATTTTTTCATGATGGTAAACTGCTTGCCACAATAAGTCAACACCTGTCACCTACATAGTTAGACATGCTTTTTCTTGTGATGAGAACTTTTAGGATCAACTCTCTCAGCAAATTTCAAATGTATAATATAGCACTGTTAACTATAGTCACAATGCTGTATGTGACACCACCATGACCTATTTCTCTTATAACTGGAATTTTTTTTATCTTTTGACCCCCCCCCCCTTCAACCACTTCTGTCACCTACCCTGGCAACCACCAATCTGCTCTCTGATTCTTTTTTGAAAAAAATATTATATATATTGAGCTACCAGTGGTTGACAACACCGTATATGATTCAGAAGTACAGGCTCACACCTCTTCAGTGTATGTTGTTTCTATGAGATCTGTTTTTTAAGTTACAAGTGATTGTTTTTCTCTGATTTATTTGTGTAGGGTGAGGAAAAAATGTCAGGCTTTTCTGCCCTCCCGCCATCAGGATAGATGATGGATCCTTGCAGTCCTGAGTGCATGCCTGATGGCGGGCACCTGGAGTAGGGTGTGGGCATAGATAGATGGGATTCACCTGGGCTGAGACTGGGCTTTTAAGGGCAGAGCCATGAGGATGCCAGTAGAAGCCAAAAGAGAAGGCGAGAAAGAAGCAGAGAAGCTGAGAGAAGAGAAGCAGAGAGAACGCCAGAGAGCCCAGATAAAGTGAGGATTTGCTAGGGGCTGGGAGGACTGCCAGCCTCCCGGGCCCCCAGCACCTCTGCCTGCCGTGTACCTGGTAATCTAAATAAAAAAATCTGCAAAAGCCACTGAGGACTCTGACTCCTCCTTTACCTGGTCTGCTGGATCACAGAAAACCTGCTCAGTGTCCGTTCCTGTCCCTACAATTTGTTTAATTTAAAGATTTATTTATTTATTTATGCATAAAGCACTGGGGTACTGGCCAAAGGTGCACGGGGTAAAAGGATTCACAAGAGACAGAGTGGGGGAGCAGAACAGGCAGACTGCTGAGGGGAGCAGCGGGCAAGGCAGGAGAGGTCTGCTGTGCCATGTGGGATTCTCACTGGCCGGCCAGGATTGAACCCAGACTGCAGAGGCTGCGGACAGCTTCACAGTGTGGCGCTCAACCGCCTGTGCCACCAGGGAGGCCCTAAGTAAATAAATCTTTAAAAAATGCAATTTAATAGGCTCACTGAGGCTGCTATGTAGAAAAGATAAGGGAGGCAAGGATAGGGCAGGAAGAACCAGTGAGGAAGACATAATAATCCAGGTGAGAGAAGACAGTGGCTGGTGCCAAGACAGCTGTAAGAAGTGGTGGGAATCTGGGATCTTTTGCAGGTGGAGCTGCCCCAAGTGCCTAAAGGACTGGATGTGAGTACGAGAAGGCAACGGGTCAAGGATGACTGTGGTCTCTTCACCTGGGCAGTAAGAGTGGAGCTGCCATCAGCTGAGATAGTGACGATGCAGGCGCAAAGATCAGGGTGTGCTTGTAGACAAGCTTGTAGACAAGTTCATTTGCAAAAGACATGCAAAAGAAGTCAGGAACTAGGCCATGGACATAAAATGTAGAGACGAACAGGAAGGACCAGGCTGCAGTCAATCAAGGGGAGGTGTTTGCAGCCGGGAGACAGAATGAGGTCACCAATGGAGCAAAGGCAAAAAGAAAAGGGAAGAGGGGGCCTGAGTCCTGGGGCCTTCGAGATAGAGGTCAGGGAATAGGAGGAGAAGCAGAAAGGAGACACGGAGAGGAGCTAGTGAGGTACAAAGGATGCTTAGGAGAGTGAGGTGCCCAGGAACCCAAGTCATGGCAGAGAATGCTGAGGAGATGGAGTGAGCAACTGAGCCAAATGCAGCTGACAGGCTGAGAGGGGTGAGGATGAACTGGCCACCAGGTCAGCACAGCAGATCACCGAGGACTTCAATGAACACTTTTATGGCAAAAAGACAAGAAAAAAGCCCACATGGGTTGGGTAAGAGGACAGGAACACCTCATTCATGTTTTGCTGTAAAGAAAAACAAAGAAACAATGTAGTAGCTGGAGGTAGAAGTGCCCTCCTCCTCCACCAAAAAAGCTTAGTTTTTGTATTTTTTAAAGCATGGGGGAAATAATGGCATATTGGTATACTGATAGGCCAGATCCAGCGATGGAGGGAAAACTGAAGACAAAGGAGAGTGTTGGCGTGATGTAGTTGAGAGAGGATGGCCTGTGGGGAGAGAGGCGTGGGGAAGGGCCATCATCAGAACCAGAAGATGCTGCAAAACCTACAAGAGGAGTTAGATGTGGAATGGGGCTGTGGGACCAATCTCTGGTCCCCATTCTCTCACTGAGGTGAGGCCAAGGCCAGGGCAAGAGCCTCTGAATGTTTGAGGAGAAGGAAAGACTAAGCCACCAAGAAGAGCAGCAGAGGAACTGGTCTAGGGAGCTGCGGTACCATATCTGGGCAGCTTAGGGCACCTGTGACCATTTGGTGGAACTCTGCCAGGGATATTTGGGATGGTCAGCCAAATATCCCTGCAGATCCACGGTCCAGATCTGGGGAGAACAAGCAGGAGAGTGCAATGGCTACACACAAAGAAGCTGGAATCTGTTCAGATCTAGGCATCCGCTTACTAGCTGAATAGCCTGGGAAGGTTATTTAGCCTCTCTGCTCCTTGATCTGACAAATGCAGGTTATTCTAACACTTCTTCTTAGGCTGCTGCTAGGATTAAATGAGATACTGCATGGAGTGTTCTCAGCCCAGTGCCAGACACACTGACACAGCCCAGGCCAGGTCCTCTTGTTTTGCCTTTGATTACATGGCTCAAAACAGCTGTGCGGGGAGGGTCAGGCATGTGGTAGCAGACATCCCTTGCTCCCCATCTCTCATTCCCTCGCCTTCGCCAGTCACCCAAACATGACAGTCTGACACTGCACATCCCCACAGGAAACGGGAAAGGAGGTTACCCATTGGTCACGGTGGAGACAAGCCACAGGGGGATGAGCGCTTTGGCTGCTACCATGGCAACCAGCAAGGACCAGACTTCAATTAGGAAGGAGGAATAAAAGGCATCCAATTAGGAGAAGAAAATAGGATTGAGTCTCTTCTGGCTCAGGAATGCCAAGGGCCGAGGTACAGCTTCATGGGAGGAGCCGGGTATGGAAAAGCATTCTGCTATGTCGTTCAGAGTCCCCCATGCTGGTCAAACCCTCAAATCACTATTTCTGCTTGCAGACTCCAGGGAGCACTGTGCCAGCACAGAGAATACACCACGGCTCAGGTGGATGGGCTCACCTGGCTGCCAATACTGCTCCTACCACTTCCAGTCAGTGTGACCTGCAAAGCTCTTTCCTTTCCAGGTACCTCAGTTTCATCACTGGTCTAATACTACCTAGTTTATAAGACTGTGTTGAGGATCAATATCAGGCGCTCAGTTCAGCGCTCACCACATAAATGGCAATGGACACTGTTACATTATTGTCAGTAATCATAACATCACCACCACAAATGACAGTGATGCTGTTCTGTATTCTGGCCAAGGAGGAAAGAGATGAGAACTGCTATCCCGTGAGTACCACGTGTGTACACACACTTGGATGCTTTTCATCTATGCTACCCCAAGTGCAGTCTGGGACCAGCAGCGTCATCACTGCCTGAAGCATGTAAGAAATGCAGAGCTGCTGAATCAGGGCCTGCATTATGTGTTACAGTTTGAGAAGCATTGTTAGAGTGTATCTGTAATCCTCAGCAAACCACCGGTGACATAGGCAGTGTAAGCCGGATTTTACAGATAAGGAAACACACTGGGATTTAAAGTCTTAGGGGACGCCTGGGGCAGTGAGGGTTGCTAACTCAGTTGCAGGTCCAGGGATGGCGGAGAACGGTTCCCCGGTACAAGCAGATCTGGGTCAAAGTGGACAGCAGAGACCTGAGGTGTTCTCATGATACACATGTCCCCAGAGTTACTTCATCTCCTGCCAAAGCACAGAGGAGAAGGGGAGTTCTGGTCCTGGGAGGGGACCAATGACTCCATCCAACAAGAACCTACTGTGTGTCAGACACTTGATAGATACTTTACATGAATGGTTTCTCTTACTGCTTATAGCTGACTCTTCTAGTGGGCTTGAAGGAGGCATTTTCATTCACATCTTATGGATGAGGAAACTGAGGCTCAGAGAGGTTAACTAACTTCCCCTGGGTCACCAAGCTATCCAGGGAGTGATAAAGGTGGGATGTGAGCGCCTGTCTCTTTGTTCTCACTTTCCTGTGCTTCTTATCCAGGTTCTAACACCGTATGGTAAAGCTGAGGCCTATGGCTAGCGTATTCCAAGTTCTGGCAATTTAAAACATGCTGTCAAGTTGATGGTTCTCCCTCCATTCCCAGCTCCAGTAAGTCTGAGAATGCTGTTCACAGTGGAGGAGTCCCTGCCCAAGATGAGCCTGACAGATACTGCAACCTGTGCTTTCTCCCTGAAGTGCAAGGTGAACCAATACCCACAAGGCCAGATGGCTGGACAGACAGACAGAGGCACTCCTCACCAGGCACTCCTCCAGATGGCTCCGGTCAGTGGTACAGACATCGACTCTTAAGGTCTTCTGGTGAAGGGCGGGATAGGACATGGACACCCAGAACACCTCATTGAACACAAGGGTGTCCGAGGCATGCAGGGGCCGGGTGCGGAACAGGCAGGTGGTGCTTTCGGAGCAGGGAAGGACAGCCACACGGATGTTCCTAGAGGGAGACACAAATGCAAGGAGCCCGGGTCAGCCTGTGGTGGGGCAGATGTGTTGTGCCAACCAGCTGTGCACATCCCCAAGCCAACAACAGAGAGGACAGCTGGTACTTTGTTAGGACATCATGTAGGTATTTGCAAGGGACACAGAAAGATCCCCGAAGGGTAACACATTGCTCTTCCTTCTCCTGAATCCTCCAGATCCTTAGAACTTCAAAGCATGTGGAGACTGAGGCCAAAAGTATGCAAACTGATGTGCCCAGAAGGACCAGCAAAGCTGCTTGCTAATGCTGAGAACTCCTCCTACAATTGCTGGCAGGGAGGCAAAACACTACAATCCCAGCAGAGGGGAGTGTGACAGTCATGTTCACAGACATGTTTACCCTTTTGTCCAGGAAACTGACTTCAGGCACTCTCCCACAGAGCCCCCTACTCCCTGCACAGCACCAAGGAGGTATGGGACAGTTCATCCTGGTGCTGTTTATCAGAACAAAGGCTGCCATCAAGGGTCCAATCCTGTCTCCCTTCTGTTCTGCCTGCTATCCTGCCTGTCTTCTTCCTTCCCACAACATCGCATCCCCAGAATGCTGGCTGGGTACAGACCACAGAAGTAGAAGCTCCTGTGACTGCCCTCAAGGCCTAAGGTTTAGTTAAAGAAGACGTGGAGGAAGATGACTGCAATAGCACAAAGATCTGGTCTGCACTGGAAAAAGCCAACGGGCAGCTGGCTCAGGTCCTTGCTGTATTAGCAACTGCAAGGGCACCCCCATTACACCCTCCCAATGGAAGTGCAGGGACAGGCATGGGCTCTTGGGAAGGGCAGATCTGACTATTTCTGTGTGGACAACCTGAGCTTAGAGTTTAGATAAAGGGGACTGACCTCATATTCAACAGCAGGGATTTGCTTGCCCCCCAACCCCACGTTTTGTGCTGGCACATGCTATGCATTCAGGATGGCCTCTATAGTTAGCATGCTTGCATTGTGCTGTAGCCACATCCACAGCACTGATGTTGTGCATCACAGTCACATGCATCAAAATACCCTCAGGGCACCCAAGGCAGGGTGGAATGCCCACAGAGGGCGAGAGGGAAAAACACGCTACATACTCACACTTTCTGGTCTTGTTGCAGCAACAGAGCAGAGAGGTTACTGAGCTGGATGATTAAGATTGCAAATTGCTTATTCTTCTCATCATACCTGAAATAAACGGGGGTAGGGAAGGCCTAGTTTTAACACCTTTCTCTCCTTCTTCCTAATCCCAGATGTGGTTGTGGGCTGCTCTGGGGACTGTGCTGAGCTGGAGAGCACAGGTCCTGTGCTTTGCTGCTGCTATGCAGAGAACTAGGAGCTTGCAGGCTAAATTTTCAGAGAAGCCAGGCAAGTGCATGAAATTTCCTGATATTTCACATGTTGGCAATTCATTCCTATTTAAATAATATGGAGGCCATTGGCATGAACAGAAAACAGCTAGAGCAAAAGGTGGGCAGAAGCCCCAGGTGTCAACCTCGGTTTAGATGGTGGAAACCTGGGTGAGACAATAAGACAAAGCCCACAGTAATGATGAGTAAACGGAGGTTCCTGTCCCCAGGCCTGGCTCTTCCACAGATTAGCTCAATGAGTGGAAGCATTAGAAGGTCTTCAAAGTCTCATTTTCTCTTTTGTAAAATGGGCAGCTGGAGGTAGTCCAAGTTGATTCCCACTTAGTTAGGGGTCACAATGGTCAACAGGTCCTGCCTTCCTGCTTGGGGAGCTGTGATGGTAAGTGCAGGTGGGACACCTCAGAAATGGACCTCCAAGGCCCCCCTCACCCCCATCACTCACTTCAGGGCAATCTGAACCCGAGTAGCACCCACTGCTTCTGAGTCATCGCTGTCAAAAGCAGCAGGTTCGGAAGCACCCAGTCTGAAAGGCAAGAGGAAAGGGAAAGACATCAGGCTTCCTCACAACCATCTGGGGTCAAAGTCAGGTTTAAGAAGCAGGGTTCTCTCTGAGAGGGTGTGGTTGCATCCTCAGGCGGGCACTGGATCTGCCAGACCTCCCCTTGGACGCTACCCTCCCACAAATGCTCCAGATCCCTCTTAGAAGGGGGTGCCCATTCTCCAGAACTTGCTCCATGAACCATACACCTCTTCATGGCAGTCACCAGACTAATGCCCTTTCAAGTCTGAAACACTCCCCACCCCCAGCCTGTGGAGGAACAAGCTGTCTGCAACTTCTGCAGGCCTGCCAGGGGGAAGGTGGGGTCACCTGGCCATGGCCTCCTATAGTCCTCTCCCACACACTTGTGGGTGCCTCTGATATTCAGAGTTCCCAGGATTCTGGGACTTACCGCTGCACCGAAGCCTCATACACACCACTGTCCCCAGCTACGGATTCATCCGACACGGCAGCTGAGACACAGGCTACTTTCAGGCTGCACCCCTGGGTTGTATTCACAGCTGGAGGAAGAGGGGGGAGGTGGCAGGGTGGGGGATTCAGAAACCAGGAAAACATTTTGGCAACACATACTTTGATTCACTCTGTTCTAACACAGTTCCACCAAATTCCAACCATTCTGAGTGCTACAGCAAGACCCTGCCTTGTTTTGGGGTGAAGGAAAGAGAGGCATGTGATTTTGGGTTTAATATCCCAGACTTAAGCACCAAACTGCTTGGGTTCACAGCTCAGCTCTACCACTTACTGCTTTATGACACTGGAACGACATTGGACGTTGGTCCTTAAGCCCTGGATTCCTCATCTGCAAGATGGGGATAATAATACCTCCTTTGTAGGGCTAGAACAGGGGAAAGTGCTCTAGAAAATCCATGACTATTCTTGTCACTGTGTGTGGTGTCCCTATCACCATGGAAATGGGTTCCCACACACCTGGGACACCATCACAGCCCTGGATACTCTATTGACAAGGGATAAGGGGAGGATTTAGACACGGGGTCTCAATGGGCCCATCAGACTACCCCATCCCATTCCTAACACAGCTCTTCTTCTTCCCTGTCCTTCATGGAGGCCTGAGAGTCTCTGGCTGGGGCTCAGATGGATGTTCATTCCTTCCTTCCCCAAGAAATGAGTGCCAACAAAGTGGCAGGCCCATCACCAGGTTCAGAGTCAATGAAGTGCTAAGATAGTTCCTCCTGTCTGAGTGGAGGGAAGCCCAATTCAGGTCCTCCAGCCCCCGGACCCACACTGCTGAATGCCAGGCTTGGGGCCAGCTGGGGAAAGGAGTGGTGACAGTGAGCCTGGGAGACAAGTGCTGTTGACAAGGAAGCCAGGCAGCCATCTGGGTGCAGCCTTTCCAGCCCGTGTCCCACGCCTACGGCCCAGTCAGGGAGATCTCCCGTCTGCAGAGCCAGGCACTGCCACCCTCCACTAACCACTTAAGGAGATTAATTTGTCTGCTGACTGAACAGCGGCACTAATCGCATAACCTGCTTAGTGTCTGAGCTTGCCTGGCCCTGCTCTCATGGGGAAGGCTTCAGGAGGTGGTAGGAAGGAAAAGGCTGCCCTGGGACAGGTGGTGTCTGGCCCTCAAGGCCCAGGGATGCTGTCAGGGAGGGAAGGCTGGGCGGTCCTCAGACAGGGTGCCTGGGGACCACTTCCTGAGCCTCATTAGAGGTTCCTCCTGCACCCCATCCTCTCCAGGGAGCTATTTCCTGAAGTTTCCCACCTGCTATCATAGGAAGCAGCTTTTTATTTTTGTTTGCTCTCTCAGGAAGATGCTCTTCCTGATGAGGGAGCCCCAGGGATTGCTAGGCTTCTCTTCTAAGGATATGTCCAGCATGCACCCAAAAGAATCTTGAATTAACTAGAAAATCTCTTCTCCCTACTTCGTTTCTACTGACCCTTGCACATGAACAGGAAATTCTGGGCATATGGCGGCCCCCCTCCCCATTCCCAGCTTGTGGCTGAGATGGGCCCTGTTTCCTCCGGCCTGCCTTGGGGGAGCAGGAATGGGAGCCCCTTGTAGACGAGACAGGCACATGTCTGAGCAAGGGTTCTGGGCAGGTGGCCCAGGTGCCAATCCTGACACTACCATGTCCTAGCTGTGGGACTGACCTTGAATGTGTCATTGAACCTGGTTATGCTTCACTTCTTTTGTCTGTAAGATGAAGATGAAAGGAGCACCCCCCAACCCCCACCCAACACACAGACACAGAGTTGATGTGTGGCTTAATTGAGTAACTGTGCACAACAGTGCATGCATTTTGTACATTTGCACTGGATAAATCACAGCCAGGAAGACGCTGCTTGGACCTGACCTTCACACCAAGGCCCAGAGAGAATCAAAGGTGGTGGGGCCTGCCAGCACCAGGAGTGAACACACTGAGCAACTTCATGTCCTAAAAGGAACTTGAGGATAAAGAGGTAGGTCCTGGGGTCATAAAGACCCAGATTCCAATCCATGCTTCTTTTTTGCTGCCTGGGGAGCCTCTGGCAAATGACATCACCTCTCTAAACCTCCGTTTCCTCAGCTGTGAAATGGGCATAGAAGAAGTAACTCATTGCGCCATATTTAACATATCAACCCAACATATTATGCACCCCAATAAACGTTAACTGCTGTGATTTATGATGTGGTTGCTGTTAAAAAAAAATTCTCTCCTTGGGTTTTGGCACTAAAAACAATAACAAAAGAATTTTTCTTTTAATAAATCTTAGCATCCTCTTCCATCTTAAAAATTCCTACTTGATTCCCAATCCACACCAGGATGCTCTCTGACTACATGCTGAATGGGAGTCAGACCACATCATCCCTTGGCTTCAAAGGGGCACAAGGCTGGGCTGTAATTAGAACAAAATCCAAACTCCTTACATGGTCCACCAGGTAGTCCATGGGCCAGACTCTGGCTTCTCCACCTTGTTAGTGATCTCTGACCTCTAGCCTTAGAGATTTTGCTCTGGCTTTTCCCAGAGCTGACTCCTCAAGTTCCATTAAGTGTGGGCTTCCTTTACAATCCAGCCTGAACCGGCAGCCCCACCCTAACCCCTGGCTCTACTGCATCCCTGTTTTATTCTCTTTCTAGGGCTTTTCTTGGGCTGGCTGCACATCCCTCACCTGTGTCTCCACTTGCACATGAGCTTCATGCCAATAGGGATTGCCTGACTATGCTTGTGACTAACCCAGTGCCAGCACATGGCACATCTGTTGAATGAAACATGAATGAATCTATGCATCTCCATTAGCGCAGGACCTGACATTTAGTCTTAGTAAGTACCTCATAAATATCTTGAATGAATGAATCTGCCACAGAAAAGCTCTTAGCCCAGGCCCTGGAACATAGTGAATACATAATAAATAGCTAATGAATGAGTATACTGGTACACTAGGTGAAGACCTGGCACATAGAAAGCAGTCAGCAAACGCTGACATAATGATCATAATTATCACTGGGGCCAGAGCACAGGCCTGAGCAGTCCCCTCCCCCATGTGCCGCTCTCTACCTTGGCCCAATGGCTTGTCCTCTGTTTCTGGTTCCTCCAGTCGGTAACTTTCCTGGGGGTCACTGTCAAGGCTCATTTCACAAAGAGTGGCACTCAGCTCAGGATCTTCAAACTCCAGGGGGCTCAGGAAGGTGTCTCCAGTCAGGACAGAGTCAGTGAGAGGGGAGCAAGGTGGGGAAGGGGAGGACAGGGAGGAGCGGGGGGACAGGGAAGTCATGGACTTTGGGGTGCCGGATAGGGAGCGTAGGGCCTGTAGGCGGCTGCTCCCCTCTGTCTTCTGAGTCTTGGCCACCTCGTCCTCGTGGATGGTGGTGATGCAGCCCGAGGGCCGGAAGCCCGTGGCCCCCTCCAGGAGCAGGAACTCCACCTTGCTCTGCAGCTCCGAGTCCAGTGCCTCGAAGGGATCATAGTAGAGGTCTGTGAAGCTGGCTGAGTTGGAGGAGTCTATGCTGGAGGCGGCCAGAGAGCCCCGGCTAGATGTGAGGGACCCGGGGCTGCTGCCCGAGGACAGGGACTGCATGCTGCTGGAGAGGCTGGGGCAGGGAGAGAAGGAGGGAGGCCAGAGTGAAGCAGGCCGCCTGGAACTTCCTGAAAAGCACATGGGCTCAAAACAGCACATGGGCACTTAGAAAATATCTTGTGGGACCATCTTGGCATTCTCCTGAGCGGATCATGTATCCCCATTTCACTAAAGAGAATACCCCAAGAAACTCACACAACGAGAGAGTGGCAGAGCTTGGATTCCTACCCAAGTCAGCTGCCTTAAAACTGTCGACATTCCCATCCATAGCTCTGTTTCCCAAACTTTCAATGGTTCCCTTGCATTTCTGTGATGTTTTTCCATATTTGAATCCAGTCCAAAATAATATTTCTCAATATTTTCTCTTCAGATCAACTCACTTTTTCCCCATGCTTTAATACATTTATGGAAAAAGAGACTTAATATCCCAAGTGTCATTTGGAAAGCAGCATCACTGACTAGAAATAAAAGGCAACTGTGAAAAATGTCTGATGAAAACAAAATGTCACTAAATTCCAGCCATGTACTATTACTCACTCAGGGCCAAGCCCAAGGCCTAGTCTCTCTGTGCTGGAAAAGTGAGTTATAGCAGGTGTGAGAGGCTTGAAGAAGACATCCGAACACTGACTGGGTCTTCCTTCCCACTCTTCCCACTCCCTACATTCACACCCCAACCCCATTGCTAGAGGAATGAGGGTGGTGGATGCTGGTAGGTAAAGCAGCCTGCCTGTGGCCCAGTCAGGCCAAGGCTAAGTCTGCTAGACTGATCGCCTGACTGCTGTGCTTCTGAAGGTCCACACTCACACCACAAAGGTTGCATGAAGGGCAGAGCCTGGGCTGGGCCACCCGGGGACACCTGCATTGGCCATCCCAGGGAGCATCCGAGTACGGCCCACCACTTACCTCTTCAGCTGGGAGTGCAGAGTGGCCACCTGCCGGGTGGCTTCCTCTAGTTCTCTCACCAGCTGGTTCCTCTTACTGTTCAACTTTAACCTAAAGGGAGAGAGGGTATGAAGGGGGAGCCCCAAGGAATCAAGGTTCTATCTCCCCAAAAGAGGAATCAAAGACATGTACTCATGGAAATGTACTTATAGATCCCCGCACTCCCTCCCCTGTACCCCTTCTCCACAACACACACACACGGGAGCTTTCTGGAAACATTTCACAACAATGTTAGGGAGATATGGCCTCCACAGATAATCCCTCTGTAATTTTCATGTCCATCAGCTACTGTAGTTTGGGTATTATGCTAGGAACCCTTGTTTTAACTTGATAACCCTGCATGGTAAGAACAATTTTTTTTTACAACGTCTAAACAAGGAAACTGAGGCTCTTAATTTACTTAAAGAGAGAGAATTAGTGGCAAAATTAGGATTCTACCCTCCCTCCATCCTTCCCTCGCTTCTCCCTATCAGTCCATGCATCCATTCACCCACTTACCCACTCACACAGCAGTAATCACTAACAGTCTACCATACCGGGCCCTGTCCTTGACACTGGGAATAAAGCCATGAGAAAAACAGAGCCTGTTTATGCTCTTATGGAGCTTACATTATACTGGGAAGGGTGGGGAGAGTCACATTAAGAAAATACTCAAATATCAAATTAACACCCGTGTAACAAGGTCCATGAGTAAAAATTACATAATGGTAGAAAAGAACCTGAGGGAAGAGACCCAGTATAGACAGACAGATGCATAGACGATAAATTCCTGTTTAAGTTACCTGGTTTGTAGTACTTTGGTCTGGCAGCCCTAAGAAACAAATTCACCATCTTAGGGTAAAACAGAGTGGGGAGAACAGGGGAGGGCCCAGGATCCAGTTCTGAATAAATGAATGAAGCCAGAGAGAATGGACCAGGGAGCAAGAAAGTGTGAGTGTGATGGGGTGTCATAGAAACTGGCAGCAGAAACCTGCAACCAGACAAGCCTGACACTAAAACCCTATTCAGTAACCACCACCCTGGAGGTAAAACACTTGGGTTTGGAAGGTAGGGCTGAATAGAGGCACATCTCTCTACTGTCTCAGTCTCTCGTGAAATCTCCCCTGGAGGACAGCTCAGGTAAGCTCAGGAAAGAGCTCTTGCCCGGATTGGCTCCCTCTCAGTTCTGGAGTCAGCCTGCTCCCAGGCCCCTCAAATAAGCCCGTGTCCTCACAACCATGTCCATGACCTTAGTGCTTCTTGGTGCTGGCCCACAGACAGGGAACAGGACTCATTTAATGCACATTCCTACATCTGACTCAGAGGACCTGGGAGCAGGGGCCAGGATTCTGTACCTTTATGACATATCCTAGTGAGTTTTGGGCACATTAAGGTTTATGAGCTGCTTCACTGTCTGGAGAGCCACACCTTGCCCTCCCTGCACGTAGATGGCAGGATGGGTAGCAGGCCAGCAGATGGAGCCTGTAATAAACAAAGTCCTTAACTCTTAATAGAAAGAAAAAGATGGTGGAATTTCTAGATCATCCATTGAAGCAGTCAGAAAAGGTGTGAGGTGTGGGGTCAAGGAGCAGGTGGGGTTCACCATTTCTTCTTTCATTACCCGATGATGTGACCGATAAGCATATATGAACCAATGACTTTCTCCCAGTTCAAGTAGGCAAAGTTCAAAGTTCATTCAGCTGGAAGATCTGGACATCAAATCATCCTGGGACAGATGTGTTCTGCCTCAACTGACCCATTGTACCCAGAGCACAAGCCAATCCAGCCTGACGGCAGGACCTAAGGAGAACAGTTCACTTCTATATAAAACCCCCACCAGGCCATCCCTCCATCAACATGCCCTGGTTCCCACCACAGGCCCTGCAATGTGGAGCAGAGCTGGCTCCAGCACCAGGAAATGTGATGAGGGCAGGCGCGGCCAGGGACAGGGCAGTGGATACGCAAAATTAAAGAAAAGACAGGGGGCAGAGGAGCCTTGGCATGGTTCTTAGCCAGCTCAATCCCTGGCACTGTTCTTGCAGAGTCCGCCTGGGGCTGGCATGATGGGTAGCAGGCTGGCAGACAGAGGCTGTACAAACAACACCCTTGACTCTCAATAGAAAGGACAAGATGGTGGAATTCCTAGAACTCCCAATGAAGCAAAGTCTGAGAGGTTATGAGGTGTGGGGTCACATAGCAGCTGAGATTTACCATTTCTACCTTTATTTTGCTCTCCTCTTTGGAGAAATCCAAAGAGGTCTTCACTGAAACCCCAGCAGGATGCTGAGAGAACTGAGAGTCGGGCTGCCCTGACTCTGGAGCACAGGGGTGTGGCCACTGGCAGTGACAAGCAGAAGTCGAGGTGCCCTCCTGGAGTGGGGGGATGGAGAAGGCCATATGGCATGTGTGTGTGAGATGCCTGGCACATGCTGGTGGGGGCAAGAGCACACCAAGCATGGAAGCAGGCTGAGGATCCAGAAGGTGGGGCTGGATTCCCCATGAGCTGCAGCTCAGCACCTGGGGAGCTTGTTAAAAATGCAAGAACCTGAACTGCATCTCAGCCTGGGGAATTGGTTCCTGGGTTGCGGCCAGGAGCCCAGGCACCATGAAGTGGGGCTGCAGAGCAGGCTCAGAAGTGGTGGTGAAGGGTTAGCCTTTGATAGAAAGATAGGTACTCAGGCCCTGGGAGACATAACAGGAGGGATAAGGACTGGGACCCCGGAGACAAAATAAGAGAGAAAAGTCAAGAAATCAGCCCATAGCACTATCACTGGTTAATCTATGTCAGGACATTGGCCAATCAAGAAACTGCATGATCACCACGGCCCATACGCTAGAACCAAAACATGAGCATAACTATAAAAACCCTGAAGTTGTCTTCACCAGTGGCAACCCACTGGCGGCCCCTTCTCTGTGCATGGAGCTTCTTATCTATCCCTGCATAAATCTCAGGCCTGCTTGCTGCTGGCAAGAGTTAGCCTGTTTCCTTAGCCCTTGCGGCTTTGCTCCCAGGAGCTGGACTATGCCTATAAATAAACTTCTTTTGGCTTGCTTACTGCTGTTTGTGTGTGGCATTTCAATTCTTTGTTCCACAGTCTGGGGTTCCGGGTTCAGCATATCACATCACATCAGTAGAGAGGGCCCCCGGGGAGTGGAGAGGGCAGCAGGGGGTAGAACGAGGTAGAAGGGCAGGATGGATGTCTCTGTGTCTGTCAGTTGTGATTGGGGTTTGGCAGGCCTTTCCTGGAGATGTCTAGTCCTGTCCTCAAAGCACCAGAAGGGAGAGATTGTTGTGTGAAGGTGAGAAGTATTGTAATCTTATTTTGAAAGGGACAGAAAAGAGAGCAGAGGGGAGCATGAGAAACAAAAAGATGCGGAGCCCGAGGATGAACACAGGCCTGGAACACATGGCTGCAGGCACAGACATTGCTGCTGGGCTTCTTTCTCTCTCCCTCACAGAACCTTCCGGCCATCAGCACCTGCCTGGTCTGTCACTGAACCTCATTTCTCTTCCTGTCCTTTGCTCCCAACACCCCCTTGGGTCCTCAGAGCCACCTGCTCATAAGCTGCTAAGGAATAGGGGTGTGACTGGCTGGGTGTTGTGAACTTGCTGGCTGGGGAACCAGACTTTCAAAAGGTGAGGTAAAGGCACTAATAAAAATTAACCTTAGGGTTACTGGGAGGTTTAAATGAGATAGGATACAGGTTTCGGGGTCTGGCACATAAGGGTAGCTTTTTCATGGAGTGTACCATAGGATGGTCTAAGAGAACCTCCTGCCCTAGTTTTCAGAAACCAAACGTATAGCAGAGAACAGCCTCAATTCACAATCTGGCTTGGCCACCTGTCTTCAGACGAGGTGGATATGTGGGGAGAAGTATCCCACTTTTCCATATTGGATAGCTGACTGGTTAATGACCTGGCTCAAGGTCAACAGGGGGAGGGGTCTCTCTTTTGACTGCACAGAGTAAAGCAGTCATGAATCTGTTCTCTTTAGCTCCTGGCTTTGAGCATGATAAACAGCATGATAAACATGATAAACAGTTAGGGCAGCATTTGGGCTGGGAACAAGTGAGGAACTGAGGTCAGGAGAGGTACACAGAGGACTGGGAAGCTACTGGGGCTGGCTACCAAATTATCCTTTCAACTAACACCAATAACAACAGGGCCCATAGACATAGCGTGGTACCCAAGGTGCACAGCCCAAGGGAAGGCAAGACAGTCTTAGTGCTAAAGAAGAGTCCCTGCAGGTCTTCCAGGGGCTGCAAAACTCCTATGTGGCATTCCTATTCTCTTTCTTCCACCTGCTTGGCAGCGGGTGGGGAGGGCACAGCTAATTAGTCATCCCTGCAAGGGGAAGATGGAAGAGAGGAAGGTGACACTCTCTGGGAGAGGTCTGCCAAAGGGCTTGGTGGGGAGATTCCCCACCATCAACCAGTCAGTGGGCTCATTGATGCGCTCACAGAGGCAGGCAGAGGCTAGCCAACTTCATCCTTTTGGTACTCCACCATATGTAAAAGGTAGTCACTCAGTTGCTAGGATGGTATTACCCATCTGGGTGTCCTAGAGCTCAGAAGATTCCAGAAGGCAGCTTATGGATGCCCATGAACTTTTGGGGTGATACAGGGAGACCACATGCAGGTATCTAAATTCCCATCTGTTTCCACTGGAGTGCAGTCAAGTTTATCTGCTTTGCAACCTGGGCTTCAGCTTCTGCTTTCATGGAGGGAGGAATACCCTGCTTGTCCCAGCCCCCAAATACACACACACACACACACATCTCACACACACACACATATCACTATCTTCATTTCTAAGCTCCGTATGGGCAGGTATTGCTCAGTATGTTGTCAAAAAAATGTGGAAATAACTCATTTTAAGGGTATAGGGGGAGGGACCATGCCTTAATAATTGTTGACTCTTCCAAACTGCATTGCACATAGAATATGTAAACAAAATATTTCTTGAATAAATGAATAGTTGATGTACTGAATGATTGGATGGATGACTGGCTGGTGGGCTAAATGAATGAATGTATGAGAAGCTGGGGGTTGGAGGTCCTGCTGTGAACAGGGGCTTGTATTCCACACAATGTGGGTGTGAAAGTTGATGGGACACTTAAGAAAATTAAGTATGTTGAAAGGTCTAAACTACAGAAAGTAAACCAGGGCCTTTCAGGTTAATCAAGTGGACAGAAGAAGCTCTGTTAGCCTTCATAGTATTTTTTTTTCAAATATGGATTTGTTGCCAATATTTAAAAATTAAATATCCAAACAAGTCTTTTCTTGAGACATGGAGTTCAGGCAGTCAGGACCTCACTCCTGCTGGAGGTGGGAGATACAGCAGCTTTAGACAGGCAGGGTTCAGGAGCTCCAGTCTGACACTGTCCACTACTATGTGGGTCTCTAGTTATTATTTCACCTGCGTGGCCCATTAAGCATCTCAGTTTGCAACTCCCATCTAAAATGGTACTTTGCAACCTGCAAATAGCAACCCCTTAGCAGGTGTTCAAACCCACTGAGTAGGTCATGACCAGCAGGAGAAGAAATGAATGTAAGATAGAAAATACCACACACTGAAAGAGTATGCATTGTTCGGGGAAGCCCTTGGGCTTGCTGCAAACCAACTGCTTGAAATTAGACTTAAGTGGTTTCCCTTAAAAGAGCATTCCTGAATTCTGCACCTGAGCAGATGTTTTGGTTACGTTGTGTGACATACTGGGGAGCTGGATGGTAGATCATTTCCCTTGATCAGCTATATGAGAGAGTTCTAAGGTCTCTAAACTGGGTATTCTTAGGCACCCCAGGTTGTCTCCCTTCCCCGTCCCCCATGGGATACTGGAGGGTAGACCCACAGAGAAGGAAGGGTCCCAACACCCTTCCAGGCCCAGCCCTGCCCCACCTCTCGGTCAGCGCCTTGCTCTGGGTGTCCCGGGCTGTCTGCAGGTCCTTCTCCAGTCGCTTCCGGGCCATCTCCAGCTGCTCCACCTCCCCCTGAGTCCATTTTCGGGGGCTGATGAAGCGCATCTCCTTCAGCAGCTCCTCCTTCTCATTGATGAGGATCAGTCGGTCCCTCTCTGAGTCCAGCACTCCCGGCCAGGCCTCACTGTCCAGCTTGGCTAGCTGGATCTTCAGATTGGCGATCCTGGGGGCCAAGAAGTACACATGACTGGTGTGCCCAAAGACATTGCGGGAGTGGGGCTACAGACTGTGTTTCCAAGGATACGAAGTCCAAGGAGCCAGGAAATGCCAGTGCCATCTTGGTAGTTATTGTCTTCCTGTGGATTGGCATGTCACATCAGGGAACATATTTTTATGTATCAAACACATGTGATGCCTACCATGTGCCAACAATGAGTGGGCTGTACAGGGATGGAGAAAGAGGGAAACAAGACAGTGACCTTGCCTGGAGGGACACAAAGCCTCATAGAGAGAGCTGGATTTGTCACCAGGCTAGAGCCTTATAATGATAGTGTGACCTTGGCCATGTCACTTCATTTGTTTGCTGGAAATTAACAAAAGCTCCTTGGTCATGGAGCTGTGCTTGAAGGTTCTATGACATGCTCCATAAATTCTCAAAGCACAGTATTTGGCACATACTAAACACTCAATAAATGCTTTTGCAGCTATTGTTATTACCTAGTTGGACCACTTATTGGGTGTCTAATACTGGGCAAACTCCTTGGCAAAATTGTTGGGAGGATGAACTACAATGTAATCAGAGCATAGGAGACAGCAAATACTATTGGGTTGTCATGACTTTTCCCACAACGCAATACATGGTTAACTGTTAACCATGCGCTGTCAGTCCAGAGGATGGGGGTTGGGGAGGAGTCACAGGATGAACAATTGTGGATCCAGGGTCAGGCCTTAATTTGGAATCTTGGCTCTGGCCTGCTTGATTGAAGGAAACTTTTCTTAAGAAAGCATTTTGCTGGGCATTCCTGGCGGTGCAAGGGGTTAAGTCTCAGCACTATGAAGCTATCAGCAGCCACTGCAGCACGAGTTCGATCCCCAGCTAGGGAGCTAACTAACCCATGTGATGCAGCAGACCTCTCCTGTCTAGCCCACTGCTCCCCTCAGCAATGTATTTCACTCAGTCTGCCTGTTCTGCTCCCCACTCTGTCTCTGGTGAATCCTCTCACCACTTCCCCCCGCCCTGCACCTCTGGCCTACACCCCAGCTTTTGTATGCATAAATAAATAAAAACAATCTTTAAAAAAAAAAAAGCATTTTGCTATCACCAGCTTTTTGCATGGTATAATGCAGGCACTTAATAAATGTTTAAGGAAGGAGTTGGGAACCCTATCCCTTAGCTTCTTTAAGACTCAGTATCCTCATATGTTGGGCGGAGATTAACAAAAAATGGGGTGAGCTATGAAAACCAAAGAAGAATATATCATTAAAGCTCTTTACACATTGTCAAGGGCTGTATGGATACTAGGGATTATTATCTTTGGGCCAAAATGAGATTCTCAGTATAACCATGAATATTGCTACAAGCATCTAACAGCAATCATAATGTGATCTTTTAGGATTTAGCCTTTCAGCTATCACATCCTTGTCCCCCCCACTCCTATGTGTCTCCCAGGATAAAATCCTTGTGGTTGACCCTGAGGAAGAGACATCCAGAGAAAATGTGGCTCCCCTAAGATTGCAATGATAAACATGGCCAGTGCTTGCCAAGAGTCCAGGTGTCTGGGCTCCCAAACTTATCTGCATACAATGTGCCCAAGCTCTTAGTTTATCAAAACACTGTTGGAAACGAATTCTCCAGGTTGTATAGTCAACATTTCAGTCTTGCTCATTTCCAGGCCCATCTCTTAGCAGGGATCTTTTAAATCCCATATTCTCATATTTAGCAGCCCATCAAGACTTGGCTCTGGGATAATTTTGTGGCTCTGGCTGCTTTGAGGATAGAGTGGTATGGCCGGATCTGGCAGACATTCTGGTACACATGGGGCAAGGAGGGGTGATTGATGCTTTCCTGGATGTATTTTCTAGTGGAGTTTCTCTGTGCCAGTGCTTCCTATACATTGGGTCATCCAGCCTTTGGAAAATCTGATGAAAACTACTAGACTCAATCCCCAGAAATGCACAAGTGACAAAACTTGGCATACAAAAATCAAATTTTGCATTATAGCCACCTGTCCTCCCTCCTTTAAGTCCTGCAGCCTCTGCTTTCTCATCAACAGGCGTCTGTGGCATTTATGCTCAAACTAGCTTTGGCGGGAGGAGAGACAAGATGCTGGATAAAGTCAGATGAACCGGGAAGCTCTCTGATGAGAAGTTTAAGGACTCAACCCCAGAGGGAAGATTTCAGTCCTTTATTCTTCCCAGGATTGATCATCTAAGGCTGGAACAGATTCAGAATTCAGAGTGGTCCCTTTCAGATGGGGACAAGAAGTGACTGTTCAAGTTCTGCTGAACCTCTAGGGGGAGCTGAGATAGTACACTTTTCTACCTGACCAGGTTCCAATTTCTTCCTCTTTTGTTAACAAAATTCCAAATTTTCTCTAGGAAATTACTCCTCCCATATGTTTAAGTCTCTTGCTCCCCACAAAGCTGACCACAATCTCCTTCCCAGAGTTGGGTAGTAGACCCATGCCTGGATCTCCAGAGTGGGGGTAATTCTAAAGCACCCCTACCTGCAACAGTGATTGTTTCACCCAGAAAAGCCAGCTGAGTCTCAACTCCCAAACTTGTTAAAACTGCTGGAAAAGGTAGGCCCTCTTTCTTCTGGGGTTTCTAACCTAGTAGTAAGTAAGCCTAGAATTGCTGAGGTTCATCTTGACACTTTGATAGGAAAATGTGTCAACAAAAAGGCAAGCAGGATGGAGAAAAGGACAGAGATTGTGTTTATGTGATGCCGTTTTAATCCCTGGATCCAGCTGTGCCTGAAGCCAGCATGGAGTTCAACAAGCCAACAAATTCCTTTTCATGCTTCCTCTAGCTTCTCTCAGATTTCTGTCATTGCTGCAAGATTCTATTGCTCACACAGGGTTGGTAGAGGGGCATCCCTCTGGTTCATAGTGAGGCAACTTAGCCTGATGAACAATAGATACAGTATCTCTGGCTTCATTCCCCACCATTTATTTTCCTGAAAGGCTGGCTCTGCATTGAACGATCATGGCCTTGAAGCAAGATTGTCCAGGGTTCAAATTCTGATTCTGCCTTGAAAAATCATGAACTATCTTAGATCTTACCTTTCTTCTTTCTAACATGGAGGTAATATAAGCCATGGTATATTAAAAATTATAAAACTAAATAAGATGGTGAAAATACATGAAATTTAGTATACTGCCTGGCCCATAACAGGTGATCTAAAAATGTTTGAGCATTATTCTATTTGTGGCAGTGGAATACACAGAATACCTAATGTCACTGGGTCTACATGGTTTAAATGCACAGCTCACTTCCTTTTGGGTAGGAGGCACTTAAATGAATAGGATCCAGATTGAGCCTGTGTGACACTGTTTTAATTTCTGGATCCAGTTGTGCCTGACATCAACTTGGTGTTCTATAAGACCACAAACACCCTTTCATGCCTACTGTTAAAATTCCAGTGGTGGTCTGTTAAACCAAAGTGCTGTACTTACTTTATTATAGAAACTGATGCCAGCAGGTGGAAAGATCACTAGGTTTTGAGATTTAATGTATTTGGGTTCAAAACATAGTTTTTTTGTTTTTTTTTTTAAGGATTTATTTTATTTATACAAGAGCTGGGGTACAGGCCAGACGCGCAGAAAGGTGAGAGGATTCACCAGAGACAGAGTGGGGAACAGAACAGGCAGACTGACGAAACACACTGTTGAGGGGAGTAGCAGAAACACACTGTTGAGGGGAGTAGCAGGCGAGACAGGAGAGGTATGCTGAGCCATGTGGGATTCTCGCTGGCTGGCCGGGATGAACCCGTGCTGCAGAGGCTGCGAACAGCTTCACAGTGCGGCGCTCAACTGCCTGCACCATCAGGGAGGCCCCTCAAAACATAAGTTTCACTCTTCATCTAGTGAAGTGTTCCTGGATCAGTCATTTCCACTTTTGAGTTTCAGAGAAGATTAAAATATAAATATTTGTATACCCATCTGCATGATCTTGGTGAAGATTAAAAGGAGATGCATAAAAGCAGGGACACAGGCATACACTCGAAAACAATAGATGTTATTGTTGGAACCATCCTCTACCCCTCAGCCTCTAATTACCTCCTTTTAGCCTCTTCATATCGAAGGCGCAATCTGACCTTCTCTGCCAACTGATTGTTGCTGCTGGTGCCGAACTGGAGGGCAGAACAAAGTTGGAAATTAGATGGCTGTGGTGACCAGTGCTGAGTTGGGCTTCAAGAGCTCACAGGAGATTTGACAGCTTGCATTGGGCAGTAGGTAAGAATGGCCCCCAATTATTTATCTGGCTATGTGGATCATAGGCCAGCTAGTTAGACAAAAACACTTGTCTTCCTTCAGGCCATAAGCAGAACCCCAAACTCGGACATCTCTTACTTCTAGAGCGAAGCCAATGGCTTGGAATACCATCTTGCAGCTCCAAATGGTTTGGAACCCATTCAAGCCACAGAAGCAGGGAGGATAGTCAGAAGTTTAGGAGACACAGGAGCAGCCAGTACACACGGAAGCCATTCTGGGGGCACTGGTAAGAGGGGGTGTCAACTGAAAACTCAGGGAATTCAGGAGTAAAATAGTGGGTGAGCGAGGAAAAGGTCCTAGAACTTCCAAGGCAGCACAAGGACCCGTCACCAATACTAGGGCCCACAGGTGGTTAACAGCTGGACACCGGGGTGCTGAGGGTGAAGGGGGCAGCCCCGTATGCCATGCCAGTCTGCCAAGAGCATCAAGAAGCTCCAAGTCTCACCCAGTTAGATGTGGACATGGCTTCTCTTCACAAGTGGGAACCCAACTATGGAAATCATACTGGGATAGCACGTAAGCCAGGGAGGCTGGGAGGTGGGTTTGTTTCCCGTCACCAGGAACATTCCTCGTGCTCTAGGAAAAGAAAAGTTCTCCCAGAGGAACTAGTGCCGTGGGTCAGTACTGCTCTGAAGCTTCATGAGCTGCCGCAGACAGCACTGACAGAATTCATCACCATGACCAGGCTGTGCTTTTGACAGGTAATCAATCAGGCAGCTCAGAGCTGTCTGCATTACTTTGGGACAAACAGGAGCATGCTTTCCTCTCCTTTTCAATGGATGAAAGGAAAACAGCACTAGGCTGCAAAGTCTTATGACGGAAAGCAGAGAGAGATGCTTGGTCCCTCAAAGGTGCTTTCTGTGCCACCTCTAGATGCTGGCACCGTGGCCAGGCCAGCATTGGGGCAGGGAGTCATCTCCCATCCTAGGGCCAGGAGATGTGCAAGAGTTCAGAAGTTAACAGCCAGTCCACTGGAGAGCTGCTGGCCAGCACTCAGGTGGGTAAGGAGAGAAGGGCCCCTCTGGAGACTGTCCCGAGGGCCCCAGCAGCACCACTGCCTACTCACACTTCCCGAGATGTCCGTCTGGGAGCTCACGTCCAGGTACTGTTTGGGCAGCGAGAAGCCTGAACTCTCCAGGGAGCTGCTGCTTGACCACAGGTCTGAGTGGGACCCTCTGTCAGTGCGGAAGCCGTCCTTCAGCATGGTGAGGCTCTGAAGGGGGAAGACAGGGGTTAGTGATCCACCTTCCTGGGAGGGAGCTCTCTTTTCCTCTTCACCTTTGAAGATTTAGTAGGAGCCCAGGCTTACACCAGATATTCTGCTTATCTTGGGAAGAGCTGGCAGTGACTACGAGCTTGCTCGAGCCAGGCATGTGCCAGGTCCAGGAGAGACCAGTATAGATACCAGCTCTGGAGCCACACTGCCTGATTTGGAGCCCCTACTCTACTTCCTAGCTGTGTGATCTGAGCTTGTTGGTTAACCTCTCTGAGCCTCAGTTTCTCTCCTGCAAAGTGGGAATCATCACAGGTTTTATCTTACAGGGCTGTCATTTCAATTAGATGATGTGAACCATGTAAAGTGCTACCACAGTCAACACTCAGTGGTCAGCTTTCCCACTATCATATTTACTCCTGATCACAGTGTGAGGGATAACCCAGGATTTATCCACCATCACCCGGATTTATACCAAGGTAATTGTTAATGGAGAAAATGGCTACTGACAGTGTCAGGATTTGGTCCTGGTCCATCAATTAAGACTCGGGGGCCTCCCTGGTGGCACAAGGGATTAAGAATAGCACTATGAAGCTGTCCACATCTTCTGCAGCACTAGGTCAATTCCCGGCCAGCCAAGGAGCGACCTACATGGTGCAGCAGATCTCTCCTGTCTCGCCCGCTGCTCCCCTCAGCAGTGTATTTTGGTCAGTCTGGCTGTTCTGTTCCCTCCGTCTCTGGTGAATCCTCTCGTCCCCCTCACCTCTGGCCTGTTCCCCAGTTCTTGTATGCATAAATAAATAAATCTTTTTTTTTTTCTTTTTTTTTAAAAAGTTTTTTATTTATTTATTTATTTGTTTGTTTGTTTGTTTATACATGCACTGGGTACAGTCAGAAGCGCGGGAGGGTGAGAGAATTCACCAGAGCCAGAGCGGGGAGCAGAGCAGGCAGAAGGACCGAAGTACACTGCTGAGGGGAGCAGCAGGCGGCAGGAGAGGTCTGCGCGCCATGTGGGACCCTCCTCCGGTGGCCAGGGAGCAGCCGGGGATCGAACCGGCGCTGCAGAGGCCGCGGGCAGCTTCGCAACCCAGCGCTCAACCGCTGCGCCACCGGGGAGGCCCAATAAATAAATCTTTTTAAAAAATGTGAAGAATCACTTTCTCCAGAAAAAAAAAACTCGGGGCTTCCACTTGCTGAGTATGGCTGGAGCCAGCCTCACTGTCCCCCACTGCATCATCTGAATGTTCTTACTGGGCTGCAGCCTGAGGCATGAGCTTAGAAATTACTGTTTGTCTCAGAGCATAAAGAAACCCTCTTCTGTGAGCCATTTACTGCATCTCTGAGTCTCAGCCTCCTATCTCCCAAGAGGAACAATAATACAGCATCTCAGCAGTCAGGGTCATTCCCAGGAGGTAAGGCAGGATGGACAGGGATTACAAGAAGCAGCTTCCGAGTGAGGCTTTCATGAGTTTGAATCCTGGCCCCACCATGTGCTGTCTGAGTTGTAAAGTCTTTATCTTTATGACAGGGATGAACAAATCGGTGATGGCAGGGATAAGGGAAGCACTATGCATGCAAAGAATTCAGCTCAACTACCCGGCATGCTGTTTCATATCTGTTATCAGTCGTTCTGTCCCCAGTGGAGAGTCAGTTCACACCATGAAATGCTTATAAAGATTGACATGTTGATGTCAAGGTTAGTGATGTTGAAACCACCTCCCCCTCCATTTGGCTCAGTCAGGTGCTTAGAGCTCGTGGCCAGGACACTGTCTTTAGTCTAGACAACAGGGCTCTTTCCCAACTCTGCCATTTACACATGCTGTGTGACCTCAGGCAAGTCACTCGGTACTTCTGAACCTCTATTTCCTCTTCTGTACAAGAAAACTAGCAAGGCGATCTTAGTAACTGGTATAGCAAGCAGAAGTAGCCCCAGGAGTTCTGGACAGATAGATGCTCAAAAGCAATGGCGCCAGGGCCCAGGTTCCCGGAAATGTGCATACCTTAATGAGATCTTGCTTTTCCTTTTCTCCACAGGTGATGGCCTTTTTGATGGCTTTGGTTTCTCTTAAGACAGCCTGAGCTTCATCCAGTTTGTAGCTGCCCTGAGCATCAGACATTTTCTTATCGATTCTAGGAGATAGTCAACAGGAAAGGTCAGACAAAGAAACAAAGATGGGACCAGGGGGAGGCTTTCCTGAAGGGAAAAGCACAGTTCACAGTGCTTCAGTCCCTCTGAAAGTATCCTTTCTGCCCTGCCTATGGGGTAAGGCACAGAAGGTGCAAATAGGGACCCATGCAAAAGGTTAAATTGCAAATGATGTGTGGCTATAGAAGCAACACCGGAGCCTCCCCGGGGGCGCAGGGGTTGAGTGCTGGGTTGCGAAGCTGCCCGCAGCCTCTGCAGCGCCGGTTCGATCCCCGGCTGCTCCCCAGACACCGGAGGAGGGTCCCACGTGGCGCGCAGACCTCTCCTGCCGCCCGCTGCTCCCCTCAGCAGTGTACTTCGGTCCTTCTGCCTGCTTTGCTCCCCGCTCTGGCCCTGGTGAATTCTCTCACCCTCCTGCACTTCTGACTGTACCCAGTGCTTGTATAAATAAATAAATAAATAAATCTTAAAAAAAAAAAAAAAAAAAAAGAAAAGAAATGTGGTCATAAAAAAAAAAAAAAGAGGCAACACCACTCTTAAAGTTAAGGGTCCTCTATATGTCAGCTCTTACAGGAAGCCTTCCTAATTACCTCCCTGGGTTCCCCAGGCTGGGCTAGGTGTCCCCACAACACACTGTGTGCAGCTGCACTGCACACATTACATTGTATTGTAATTAACAGTTTATGTGCTGGTATCCTCGACTCTGACAGGCATGAGGGTGGAGACAGGGTCAAGCATGTTTGAACAGTTTTAGTATCTGGCATAGAATAGTACCTTAAGCCAAGGCTCTCAACCACAGAACTCTTGAAATTTGGGGACAGATCATTCTTTGCTGTGGGGGGCTGCCCTATATATTGTGAGATGTATAGTAATGTCCCTGGCATCGACCCATTAGATGCTACTAGTATCTTGACCCCAATATCATCTCTATACTTGGCCAAATATCCCTTGGGGGAGGAACAAAATCACTCCTGGTAAGAACCACTGCTTTTAATAAGTATACTGACATAACAAAGGAAGGGTTAGAAGGGTGAAAAGCTGCCAACCCTACATATATATATATATATATATATATATACACACACACACACACACACACACACACGCACACACAATTTACTTTTTGTGTAGAACTGGGGTGTAGGCCAGAGGTGTTGGGGGGGGTGAGAGGATTCACCAAAGACAGAGTGGGGGAGCAGAATAGGTGGATTTACTGAAATGCACCGCTGAGGGGAGCAGCAGGTGAGACAGGAGAGGTCTGCTGTGCCATGTGGGTAAGCTCCCTGGCTGGGGATTGAATTCAAGCCATAGCAGTGATAGCATTGAGACTTAACCCCTAGGCCACCAGGGAGGCTCTAGCCCTACTTCTTAGCATATAACCTGGAGCATCACCTTCAGCTGCAAGAAGCCTCAGCTTTAGCCCCTGGAAAACTCTGAATAATGTGTTCTGCCTGTTCCCCCTGTTCATGGGGTCATTAGGAGGGTCAAATGGGCTACACGTTGGAAAAAATCAAGTGGTAAGCTAGGATGTACCAGATACAATGTACCAAAATACTTCTAACCTGGAGAGCTTATTGGTACATTGCAGCCCTGTATACAGGTTTATTTTGATGGGGGTGGAGAGGTGGGGGGAAGGGGATCAGAATGTCGCTTTCTGAAAGTCAAACCAAACCAGTGATGGTGGGGTCCCCATCTTAGGGAAGGAGAGCGGTGGTGTCTAAAAGGTCTGGAGGGCACAGATACTGTCACTGCTTCACACTTTTGTCAACAGGCTTGAGGTTTGAGCCTTCAGGGAAGGCAAGGAAGTTCTACAGTCTGAGGGAACATCACAAACCCATTATTTTAGGACAAAAACCGCTCACAGACATGCCTTCCTGTTCTCCAGTTAGAGACCAAATTGTCCTGGGCTAAAAATAACCTGAGTTGGGGCCTTAGGTGTGCACCCAGGTCTCAAGGTCTCAAGTCCATGCCTCTGAGCAGGAGAGGGAAGGAGGCACTGGGTCTCAGCACAGTCCACACCCCCTCCGTTATTTCAGCCTCTGTGGAGGGGAAACAAAACCCCATTTATGTCTCCCCACTAAAAATAGCTGTCCATTCCTTTCGAGGAGTTGGACCTGGCAGAGTCTGCCAGGTCGGGTAAGATGGGTCTCAGATTTAGTCTAGAAAATTAGACTAAGGGGAGGTCTCTCCAGCAGAGGCCAGTCCAGATGCTCCCTGGAAAGGAGGCTCCCTCGAGTGAGTGTCAGGATCAAATGGCTCTCTCCCAAGTCAAGGGGGGACAGGGGAGACACTGTTTGCTCGAGCAGGCCCAGGGGTTGGGGGCATTGGAGAGGGGGCTGCTCTCAGCTGCCCTCTGCCAGAAGGGTGAGGATGGCTTTGAATCCTCAGCAGGATGAGACAGAAGGGGTTTGTCTGCTGGGCCTCGGGCTCCTCAAACTGCCCCTACCTGATCTCTCAGGGCCTTAGCAACCCAGGCTGTGGAATTTGGCTGTGGAGAGTAGCCCGAGAGGGAACACTCTTGGGACATGGGGGGAGGGTGGGGGGAGGCAGGAAACAAAGGGTCACCATTATGCTCTCAGTGAATGAATCTTTTTTTAAGGGAAAGAAAAGTTGTGTGGTAGTGGGGTGGGGGGATGCGTATGTTTTAGGATTTCCAAATTGCGCAGCTGTCCTTTCCCCAGCACTTCAGAGGTTCACACGCCCAGTAGCCACAGGAGCCACTGGGAAGCAGGGCAGAGGCTCCAGCAGCAGCCAGCTCCTCTCAGTCTTGCCCAGACAACGCCCACCTGGGCAGGGCTGCTCAGGGGACCTGCAGAGACACGGCGTGCTCTCCTCCCACGGGGATGACACACCAAGTCTCAACTCTCTCCTATTTACAAGGGCTCAGGGCAGCTGACGGCCCCAAACCCCAAGCTTTGGTCTGGACGTTCCAATCTCCTCTAAGAGGTAGCCTTTAATCCTCATCAATCTTTGGCTTTAAAAGTGGGATTACTGACCACACAGTGAATGCATGGATACATTTCCCCTTCCCCCTCAACCAAAGACAGAGGCTAATGGGATCATGCCCTTACTAGACTCTGAAAAGGATCCCATGGGAGATGGAGGGGGGGTAGTCTCTTGGATATGGGGAGGGGTTACCTGGGAACCAGACAGTTTAGCATCCGGTTTAAGAGGCACCAGGAAAAGAAGGTATTTGGACGTAAGCTTCAAAATCCTACAGTTCTGGGTTCGAAATCCAGTCCAATGCTGACCGGCCCCATGGTTTGGGAGCTATTTTCAAACCCCATCAGTGCCCCCATGTATAAGGTCAGGCATAACAAAAATCCTGTGGTAAGGACAATGAAATGGAGTGATTGCACTAGTGCATTCTTTGAGCGGTGTCTGTGAAGAGTAAGTTTATCTGAGTGTCCTCCCAAGTTCAAACAGGCAATAAGCTAGAGGTGCCCAGCTCCCCACACTCACTGGGCGCTCTCTCCCTGCCAGGCCTTGTCTGCCTTGAGGTGGAATTTTCAATTTGACCTTTCCAATAAGCTATTCTTCAGATAAAGAAACCAAAGCTCCAGGGGGTTAGTCACTTTTCCAAGTTCCCAGGGAACTGGAATTTGAACCAAAGCCACTGGCCTCTTGTGGCTACACTCCTAACCCCTAACCTATGCCAAGGTGTGCTTTAGGGCAGATGCCTTCCTCCTCACCAAACACAGGAGCTGGCTTCCAGGACGGAGGAGGGTGGGCAGTCAGAGTTGTGAGGAACTCTTATCTGGGCCTGATATCGAGCATGGGGTGGAGGGAGGGAAAAATAAAGGAGGCTGGTCTCTGGTCCTTGGGTATCAGCTTACCAAACGACAAGATTTTCAATGCTGCTACAGGGTCACAAAGTAGTAAAACAGGTTTGTGGTGGCCGGGAGAATAAAGGGAAGTGTTCTAACTAACCAGAAGCTGGGGAAGACTACAGGAGGGGGAGGGGAGGCACCTGCCCAGAGAGACGACAGGGGAGTGAGAAGTCCTTCAACTCTGTGCTCAGAAGTGGTGCCACTGCAAAGCGGAGGGCTGAGGAGGCTATTTGCTTCATAGAACAAAAGCCAGGGACTTTTTTGAAGCTCACAGTATTGCCCTCCACTGTCCTTGGTGCTGCGGAGTACCAAGAAGCATAAAGCACCGTCCCTTGTCTTTAGGAGTTTAGCATCTGGTTTGAGAGGCAGGACTGGCTTTGTATTACAAATTGTGTATGGCACATTTTTCAAATTAGAAACTATCATAAATGATGACATTTATACAATATATGTGCGTAAACACACATCAATATATATCAATATATATCTCTACAAACACACATACACACATATGAAGTCATCAGTTAAAATACTTTGTTACATCAAAAAATGTGTGATGCACAATTTGTAATATAAAACCACAATTTCTTCTACCTTGTTTTGGGATTCATGGGCTAGCCCCAGGTAGTGGAGGTTTGGGAGGAAAGTAGGAAACTATGAATAACCCCGAACCAACCCCTGAACAGATGAGCATAGTTCCCTTAATGAATGGAGCCTCCAACCTGACATCCAAAGACTTGGATGAGCAAGGGGAGAGCAGGGGGGTAGATTTGAGGTTTACAGGATGAAGAAAAGGCAGTCAGGGAGAGAGAAAGCGACTTCAGAAGCTGCTGTCCGTCTGGATGCAGCCTATCTGGGACTCTGACATGTCCCCAAGGATGGAGAAACCTACAGGATATCCTCCCTGGACCTTCCAAGGAGGTAACAGTCACCTCAGAATGAGTGTTTGTGAGCCCGGCAGTCACTAAACCTGACTCATGACTAAATCTCAAGTCTGTGTTGTGTTTAGTAACAATCTACCAACACTGAGCCCTTCCAAGGGACTCAGTTTCCTCCTCTATGGAGATGGAGTTAGCTCAAAGAACATTCCTCACTGACTTTCGAGGATTAAGTGAAGATACCATGGAGAAACACTTAATGTGCTCCCCAGCACATTTGCCTCACAAATCCCAGCGAGCATGACTGTGAGGAAGACAATGGACACGCCTATTCTAAAGAAGCCACAGAGCAGATTCCTGCAGACAAGCTGCTAGTCAGCTCCTAAAAGTGAAAAAATTACATTTGGTCAAAGTTCTCCTGGAAACTCTGAAGTCACCCATCAAGCACAGGGCACATGGCACCATGCACACCCTTCTAGGAATGTACTTGCTACGAAAACACTGGTCACTGAGAAACACTGGGTAAAGTCCATGCTTGCTCTCAGGGTCATGGAAAAACACCTGCTTTGTTTGTTGTGTGCATATGAGATTCCAATAGACCGACGGGAGTGAGGAGATGGGTGTACGGCGATGACGTATGTTACTTGTTTTTATGACCGGTTCGTAAATCTCAACTGGATGGAACAGACCTTAACAGCTTTAGGAATTCAGAGGATGATAAGAACCCTGAAGTCTCCAATGGCTCCCCTTTTGCTTTTTAAACCTCAACCTGTGTGACAGCATCTTCAGTAAGTGCCAGTAGACCAGAGTTGGAATCAGTGGCGAGTCACATTTTGAGGAGGGTAAAAAGAACTGAAGAGGAAGGCAACATAAAGAAGATAGGAGGGGATTCTTGAAGGAGCTCTCGGCAGGGTGGACTTACTTCTTCAAGGTCTGAAAGCCACGCTCTTTGAATTGTAGCTCCTGCTGGAGGTGAACCATCTCTCTCTTCAACTTGTTGACCTGGATGACAGAAGACCATATACACGAGGTTGATGGTAAGCCACAGGTTGCCTTCTTCCCCAGTGGGTATCCAGAGTCCCCGCTGTCCCTTCTAACGGCTTCTAACAGCCTCCCAAAGCTTCTAACGGCTCAGTCACCATTTTCAGGTCACCTGGTCACTATACCTTCCCCTCACTGAAGTCACCCCAGTCTCTGACATGGCCCACCCAGTTGGCATTCTGCAGGTCAGTCATTTTCCTGGTCATTCCTACTTAGCCTTTGTTTGGGGGAAATAGGAAGTGGACAGGTGCTGGCTGGGCTAGTTTGACTTCCCATGCCTAGCTGGCTGACCTCTCTCAAGCCACCTCTGATTCCCCATTTACTGTTCTGGTGGATAAGGACAATGGCAGTTCCAGGGCTATGCATTACTTAAAGAAGTATGGGAGTGCTGTGCACAGCCGTAAGAAATATTAAAATAACTTTAGAGGCAAGACATGGCCTGGCAGCCAGACCCAGCTGGCAAGAATGTTTTGTTTAGCCTTCAGTATTACTAAAATTTAAAAAATTAGTTCCTAATAATTAAATGTTGAGTGAGGTGATATAATAAACCTAGATATACAATTCTTCTCTAAAATTACTTAAAGGTCTACCAATAGTGAACCTACATGTCAGCAGGGTCATAAGAGGCTAGAGCTGAAATCAACTACCTATTATACATTATCTCTCTAAGTTATACAGTCCTCACTACTCCCTATTGCCTCACCTCCAGCCTACTTCCCCCACTCTTTGTTTTCTTCCAGGCATCTGAGTTTGTAGAAGCTATTTGAAGTTAAACTAAACCAGTGTTCAAAATATGACTTTACATTGATCAAGTTACTTAACTACTGTACCTCAGTATCTGTATCAGTAAATGGGAGTAGTAATAGCTATCCCCTAAGGTAAACATGAAGCAACTAAATAAGGTAACATAGACTATGCAGTAGTACACTACATTATGAACTTTGGAGTGAGCCTTGAGTCCCTTCTGACCTTAAGTGTGGTACTCAGCTCTCCTAGGCCTGTTTGCTCATCTTGAAGGTGCAAGTAATGACAGTAGCTACTTTGTGAGGTTATTGTTAGGATGTGTCACTCATGAAGTCTTGAGCACGCTGCCTGGTATATAGTGATTTCTTGGAAAATGATAGTTGCTGTTACCATTATTGTTACTATGACAATGAAGACATCAATTGCTAATGTTTCAGGCCTTCTTAGTCAACAATGGCTGCCATTGCCTAGCTGAAGCATCTACTCTAATCCTGTGGATGGGCTTGTGACCTAAGACTGCCCTCATGACCCCCATCACCAGGACCAGCAAGGAGCCCCTACCCGGGATTTTGCAGTGGCAATTTCAGCTTTCAGGATCTCAGGGTCATACTTGGAGCTGGATGACGAACCAGAGACCACTGCAATGAGACAGAAAATAAAAACAAACTGTAGAAGAAACACAGTTTGGCTAAATTGTTTTTTTGGGCCATCTAGATAAACCCAGAAAGGAATGACTAATTGTGAACAACGTAAGTATTCCACAAAAGGGGATCTGTTCAATAAATATGACAAATAAAATAGGAACTATATGGCTTATGCAATTTTAAATGATGGTACAAAAGAACACTGAATGATAAGAAAATGTCCAAAACTCACTGTTACATGAAAACAACAGTTCACACACACACACACACACACACACACACACACACACACACACACAAACCCTATAAAGAAAGGAAAACTTTGATTTAGAAAATATACTCTTAACAAATACATGCACTAGGGCCACCCTGGTGGCGCAAGGGGTTAAGACACAACCTACGACGCTAACCGCAGCCACTACAGCACAAGTTTGTCCCTGGCCAGGGAGCAACCCACCTGATGCAGCAGACCTCTCCTGTCTCACCCGCTGCTCCTCTCAGCAGTGTATTACAGTCAGTCCGCCTGTTCTGCTCCCCACTCTGTTTCTGGTGAATCCTCTTACCCCACCCCACCCACACCTCTGGCCTGTACCCCAGATCTTATATGCATGAAAATAAAATAAATCTTAAATACAAAAACAAAAACAGGGCTTCCCCATTGGTGCAGTGGTTGAGCACTGGGTTGCGAAGCTGCTTGCAGCCTCTGCAACGCTGGTTTGATCCCCGGCCACCGAGCGAGGGTCCCACATGGTGCATAGAACTCTCCTGCCGCCGCTGCTCCCCTCAGCAGTGTACTTCGTCGGTCTGCCTGCTCTGCTCTCTGCTCTGACCCTGGTGGATTCTCTCGCCCTCTCGTTTCTGACTGTACCCAGTGCTTGTATAAATAAATAAATAAATCTTAAAAAACAAACAAACAAACAAACAAAACAAAAACAAAAACAAATACATGCACTAACATATGCATCTAAAAAAAAGACAGGAAAGAAACATGCCCAAAAGATAACACCATTATCTAGAGATTTGGGTGATGAGTAATACAAATTTTCAGCTTTGTAGTTTTCTACATTTTCTGATGAACATTTATTTCTGTAACCAAAAATTGCTAAAGATATTATTTATTCCATCTTACAATATTAATGCACTTTTGAAAAGAAAAAATAAATTATCTACAATCTTACTGCCTGGATATAATGATCTTTGCTCCAGGTTGCCTTCCAAATCTACTGGCAATTCTAACATGTACCTGTAATCTTACTACATTTTAAAAATAGTGTTTATCTTATGTCTTGAAAAGGGATTTTAAGGCTTTCAAAAATGAACACACCAGAGTAGAATATGTTCAAAGTAAGCAAAATGAGGCAAGAGGAAGAGAGAGAAAGCAAAATGGTGACAAACATGCGTAAGGTTAGGGATCCCATACACCACAAGGACCACTTCCTGACCCCAGTCTCCACAGGTCAGGCTCTGAGCTTCCTAACTAGTGATGTGAAAAGGGAAAGAGGCTGATACAAAATTCAAGGTGTCCCTTAAGGCAAACACAACCCCACACAGTTCTGGAGAAGAACAATTATTCTTTGTAGGGAGGCAAGAGAAGTGCTTCTCCCATGAATCCTGAATCCCACAGCAGGAGAAATTCCATCATGTCCCCTCTTTCCAGTTAACATCACTTGGACACTCTATTTGTGTGAGGCAAGATCATCTCCTGTGACCTGGACGTTTCCCAGGCTAGCAAAGTTTACATGGAGATCATGGCAATTTTCAGTGTTTGCAGGGAGAAGTGACAGTCGTAGAGGGGTGGCTGCTCTTTAGATTTGGTTGAAATACTTGATGGTCCTTTTAACTGTGCACAGGAGAGTTAAAATCTAATACTAGCAAGTTTGGGAAAAGAAAGTCCAACCGCTTTGCATGACAGCAGTAAAGGTGTTTTACACTTGGGCAGCGTGATAGTTCCACCGAGCTTGCAATGACGATGATGACTATAACAGTGAAGGTGGGATCTAGAGAATAGAAGGGGAAGATGGAGGCTAGGCAAGATGAACATCAAGATACCCGTGGTCAGGAGAGCCTGTGGTCTTTGCTATGAGCGTGAAACAGGGACTCCAAGACACAGGAAGGTTTCATTTCATTTTGAAGTTTTCATTTTCTGGCTACCAGTTCCTCTGGTCTTTGCTGCACTGATATGAGCTGGAGAAACTGCCTTAAGCATATTCCCCAAATAGGCACTTTCAACATAATTTCAAGGGACTTAATATTATTTGTTAGACATTGACTGGCAGTAAAAATACTGTGGAGAGTTGTCAGTGAGGAAGTAAGAGGGGGAGATACAAAAGGGGGCTTGGTGTCTGTTCTGGGAGCACCCTGTTCAGCCATCTACCTTGCTTATTAGGCTGGGCCTCTGGGCTTAGGGTTACCCTTGGGGGAAGCCTAACAGCAGCCTGGAAAAGCCTGTAAATATGGCCAGATCTGCCCTTAACAGGAAGAGGGTGGCTTGGGGGACCCGCAGGTCAGGGCTGATGTGTGGAACGTGGAGTGTTCCTTGGGCAAGCTCAGAAATACTGAAGGGAAGGTACTCCAAAAAGAAGAGACTCTAGCCAGCTGGGCTATCTGGGGTTTGGAATGTCACCTTCTGGAGTATCACCGATAAATATCCTGCTTGTATCTAAAGCTCCTGAAATGGGATGTAGTCTATCAGCAGTTTTTAGGTGAAATTTTTGTTGAAGTAAAACATACAGATGAAAAAATGCACAAATTATATGTGGCTAGTTTGATGGATTTTCATAAAAGAAGCCCAGCCAAGTAATCATCACCCCAGTCCAGGAAAAGGTCAATACCTCACCTGCAAAAGAGTTTTACAGGCAAACACTACCTTAGGGATTGTCTCTCAGGTGCTCAGTGTTTTCCAGAGTTTAATTTTTAGCTTTAATTCAAGATCTATTATATATGAACACAATTAATTGGTTCAACCTACTACAAGGATTGTGCTAAAAAAAAAGAACATTCCACAGGCACCTAATCCCATAATTCACTCTGCAAGGGGAGACCATTTCAAAGTGGTTAGTCAATTTTGTGAGTATTGCTGCTTTGTGAGTCTTTTAGTTTTAGGCATGATTAACTTGCTTCTCTCTTTGGAGGATGGGCATCCAGCATCTCTCTCTGTTCCCGAGGCCCCCATACCATACATAAAGCCCCTCGTAGTTCCCCACCCTCCTAAGATAGTGTCACTTTGGAGAAAGCAGTCTTAGGTGTCTGCATTGCTTTTACTCTGTAAACACCATTTGAGGCAAAGCCATGTGACTGGTTTTGCTTACTTTTCCTTTCCAGCACTTTTTTTGTTTTTCCTAGAGTTAATAATTGTCATTTTTATGTTTGCTTACTTTCTACAAACTTACCACAGATTTGACCTCCCATCTCCTATCTGAATCTCTCTCATGGGGGCCAGGCCAGCACACATCCGTGCCGTGCTCTCGCTGCTCTGCCTCTCCCAGGTGTGTGCCCGCGGTGGCAGGAGCTGGCTGGTCTTGCTGCAGAGCTGGCATGGGAGAGCCCCTTCGGGCTGCCCTGCTCCTTCCTAAGTGCCACGTCTTCGCCCTTGGTGATCCACCCCCTCAATTTGGTAGAACACCACTACCACTAGCTTGCTGAGAAGTAAACCATAAAGGGAGGACACTTACTGAAATCTTGCATGCCTAAACGGATATTTACTTCTTCTACTCATGTGTCACTTAATAACAGGGACAGGGTCTAAGAAATGCACCATCAGGCAGTATCACCATTGTGCAAACATCACTGAGTGGACTTCCATGAACCATGATGGTCTAGCCTACTACTAGATGGGGTCATCTTAGGCTGGAGGGGCTTGCCTATTGCTCCTAGGCTACAAACATAGGGCAGCATGTACTGTACTGGATACTGCAGACAACTGGACCATAGTGGCATTTTGTACACTTAGAACCCATGATGAAAACATGAGATTAAATCAGGCACAGGGGGAAACAATGCTATTAAGATGTATATGGCTATGGCCGGCACAAAATGCCATGATGTCACATTAGCTATGATGTCATGACAGCTATGACATCACCACAGATATGGCATCACAAGGCAACAGGAATTTTGGGAGAACTATCATAGGTGCAGGGCATTGTTGACTGAAACGGGATTACACAGTGAACGTCTACAATTGATTATAGTCAATTTGGGTGGTACAGAATTCAAGGTGGAAAACGGTTTTCATAGTTTATTAGGTTTCTAGTGTTACTACAGAAGCCTGGAGCTATTCTGTGTCCTGTAACTTTTGTGTGCTCTGGTTATTCTCTTGGAAACTTGTTAGGGTCTTAAATTATCTCCAGCATCTGAAGTCTCAAGAGTGGCTAAGTCTTGGTGTGAGTTGACTTTTATGCCCTGTGTTGGGCCCTGAGGGAGCCCTTCAAATTTCTCTTCCATCAGTTCTGGGAACTTTTTCTGAATTATTTCATTGATGCCTCTTCTGTTCTATGTGGAACTCAGATATTACTCAGATAGATTTCCTGTCCTGATGCTCTATTCTTTTTTTTATTTTTGCATCTCTTTGTATGTTTGTTTTGCTTTTTAGCAGATGTGCTCAGTTTTACTTTCTAGTCTTCCTTCATTTTTACCACCATATTTTAATTTGCAGAGGTCTGCTTGTGTTCTCTGAGGGCTCCTTTTTATAAAATATAGCATTTTGTCCTTGTTTTGTGTGGTTATGTGGTTTCTCTGATGCTTCTCTAGGCATATCCCTCCAATGTCTCCTTCGACATGTTCTTGTTATAATCACTAGTTTTCATGGTAGAGGCTTTTCTTGAATGTCTGGAATCTTAGCTGTCTGCTCACAGTTAAGAGTGGGGGCCCCACAGAAGAGTTAAATAAATATTTCTCCAAAGAAGACATGCAGGTGGCCAGCAGGCCCATGAAAAAAAAAAAAAAAGTTCATCATCACTTATCATTAGGGAAATGCAAATCAAAATGACAGCAAGATACCACCTCACACCCATGAGAATAGCCCACATCAAAAGACAAGAAGGAACAAGTGCTGGTGAGGGTGTGGAGAAAAAGGAACACTTGTACACTGCTGGTAGGAATGTGGACTGGTCCAGCACCTATGGAAAGCAGTATGGGGGTTTCTCAAAA